ATGCGATGATGAGGTCGTAGTAGTCGAGCGTGATGTCGTCAGTCTCGTCGAGGCCGGGGTAGGAGGAGAGGGCCTTGTGATAACGAGCATCTAAGGGTTATATAATATTAGTAGGCGTGCAAAGCTTCGCCGGACAGGCGACACCTACTGCTTAGATCAAATACAATGGTGACCGTGTGACCGGCTGCATCCCTGTTGTAGATGGCGTTGACCACCATCGCGACCTTCCATCCCGAGAAGCGTCGGTCTGGGGCACTATACAAACGATGAGCGTCATGAGATCCATACTATTAGAAGCGTGCGCATATACTCACGCGGAAAAGTCGCCATCCTCGAAGATCTCGAGCTCGTCGATATCGAACCAAATCACAATTTCGCGCTCGCACAGGATCTTCACCATCGGCGCGCCGAGCTGCATGCGGAAATGGATGTCGCCCTCGCTCCGGGTGAACTCGGCGAGGCATCGGGGACGCCAGTCGGTGCTGTCGCTCGTCATGCTCCCGCGCGCGAGCATCGCAGACTTGAGCCATATGGAGGACATGTACCCGTTGATCTGGTCGACAGTGACCCCGTGCATGCTCTCCATCCACTCGTAGTATGCTTCGGTCTCGCCGATGAGCGAGTACTTCACGTTGCCCGGCGCGGCGCGCTGGTCAAACTGCGGGAGTGAGAAGAGGACGTGGTTCCCCGCGCTGTGCAGCAGCTCGAGGTACTGCGTCATGAATCTAGTAAGCTGGTCCCGGCCGGAGGGAAGCTCGGGCTCGACGGAGTACAGCGTAGCCTCTGTTAAGTGCGACAATGTCAGTAAGAGCGGTAAGAAGGGAGCGGTTTACTTACTGTCAAGGTCGAGAATGACAAGCTCAATCGCACTCCCGTAGTCGTCCATCTGCTGGTCGTTACTGGTGATTCTACGGGTCCTGAAGCTGACACGGTAGGTAACCTCGAAGTCGGCCGGGAAGGGAACAATTTGACTACTACAACAACAGGTCACTTTCATGGAAGGCGTGCTAAAAATTGGAATAATGGCTACCTCCTGCCCCTGTGGGGGCTGTCCACCGCAATATGGCCTTTCGCGAACGATAGTTTCAGGAAAACGTCGTGGTCGCAGATGAATTTGAGGTCGGGAGCGTAGAATGAGGCGTAGAAAAGGGAGTCGTTTTCAGATGGAATCTGTGTGGCAGAGGCCGGCCGTTGCACGGCGAACTCTGCCAACGCATAGAGATGTCCTGAGCAGAGGATGGGGGTCGTCAATACGGGACGTAATAGAGAGCGTGGTGAACTTCGTGGCGCACTGTTTTCTTCAGTCCGGGCGTTGGGATGTTCTTGAAGACACCGGTCTGCGTTCTCGTGCAGAACAGCTAGTTGTGCATTGAGATAGCGGACAGCGTGCGGTGCGCTGTTCTCGTCCGCGCACATTATATTCGCCCGTGAATTTGTGGGAGAGGGGGTATATACGGGCGATGAGGGCTATGAGGTGGGCTTTGGAGGGTTGAAGGGAACTCGATGGTTCGGTCGCGGCATACATATATATATATATGCATTGTTCCCGCTTATGAATTGGCATTACAGGAAAATGACTGAGGCCCACCTTTCAGATCTCTGCGGGCGAGAGTAAGCCCAACCGATGTAGGAAACGGAGCGCCCCTCCGGCTCGTGATAGTCCCAGCGCTTCAAATTGGCCACCACGCTGTAACGAGGCTGCACTTGAGGATCGACTCGACGCTGGAATGAAGGCATGCAGCACGGCGCTGAGCAACAGCCTTGAGTTGGCTCGCCCGTCTGTGCGATACAAAGGCGTGTACAGTACGAGACGCCCGAGAACATTGCTTTTGTGGTGGAGGCACGCTCTGCCAGGACAAGTGTGCAACGTGTTGGCATGCAGCACAGACACCTGTGATCCGAGTAAGCTCCGACAAAATGACCTCCTAAGGCGAATGAAGTTTCACATACTAAAGCTGTGAGGGTCTGAATGACCGTCCCTCACCAAGGATGGCCCGCAAAAACGTGCGAACCTCATGGTATTATGTGTACTATTCTCCGTTGCTGGACAGCAGCAGTCTGCATATCAGACGCGAACAATGCGGGGTCGTGGGTGACAGTCAAGTCGAGCTGCCCGTCGCACATGAGCCGCTCCTCGCGGAACTCGTCTGGGTCAACCCGGATGCACTGCTGGGTCGCGCAGTATCGCCCTGTCCACATCGCGCCGGCAGTGAGCTTCACAGACGCAGGAAACATAGACGGACGCACCGAGCGTTTGGAAACACATTAGTGCCCACGGGGACAAGATACCCGTGCGATTCGTTATCTCGCATGGTGCGATGCGGGACCCCGAGCGGCGCTACCACATGCTAGCGCAGCGTCTCCCTCACAATCGCTTGGATGTACGGTACGGGGGTGCGTCATTGTCGCCAAAGTCTGGGAGGTCTGAGGTGTCCTCCTGATGGCCTCCAAGCGGCAAGAGGAATCACGATGCGTGGGGCATCTTCGTCTATATGATCGATACCATAAACGACCTTGAGAATTGCCCTAGTGAATAGACTGGCAACGCGTTATGTGTTTCAACGATGCCGCTGAAAAACTATCAGGGTGGCTCGTTGTGTGATGTGGAACTTCAGATGCGAAAGCGACGTGAAGACCATGCCGAGAAACTTCAGTGTCTCTGCTAGCTGTATAAATTGAGACTTGGAAACGACCCCTGGATAGAAGAACTGCCACAATTCTCGCCGGTGCTGCCTCCACCGTGGGCCGTATGGAAAGATGCCGAAGTTGAGATCCTGCCCCGAACTATATAGACCGAAAGGTCAGTGAAGCACGTCTCTGGTGATTCCGCACTAAGTGTACGGGTACGCTTACAGTTCCATCGCTGAACTCACAGCTCGGTCTGAAGTATTTGTTGAACGCTTATCGATAACTCGTGGGCCAACTCGGCGCTCCCCATCAAGAACAAGCCTTTGCGAAATACTCACAGATATATGAGATCACCTGCCAGAGTGATTTGAATCGTATGGCGTCGTACAAGGGGAGACGCACTCACCATATTCCTTGCTCGTGTCACGGAAACCCAACCAAGGTCTGATTGTCGGTAGGCCAAACTTCGCATTGCCGACGATTGGAAGTGATTGAGGACCTGGTGGCAACGGAAGCCCTTGCGAGCGTGCTTTCCAGTCAAGGAGCGGACACAGATAGTTTAGGGAGGCAACGAAAACGGTGACCAGGACCTGGATGGTACTCGGACAGATGAACCGAAGAGATCCATCATGACCATGAGGCTCGAAGAGCGTGACTCTTGGATACGCCTTTAAAATGCATCCTTATACTGTGCAGTTGGCGTCACCCACCGGCGTTGGTCATTGGCAGATGCATTGACAGCGAGACCAGGTGAGCGCAGGGCAATTCACATGGTGCACTTAACTGTCCACACAGTGGTCAGCTGAAGATGCCGCGGACATAAGGCGCGCAAGACGTACTTATTCAGATCTCCTTGCATGGTTTGAGGTTCGATGGGGTATCGCGAACGGCCGCGAGTGTCGTAAAAAGGAATGCCATGCGACCCACTCCGCCGTGGCATCGACTGTATGTCAGAATGATACAGGGCGTGGCTGGGAGAAACTAGGGCCAAGGGCCACTTACACCGCAGACCTGGATACGCCTTGGCTATTGAACTTAATTCAGAATATGGCCCTAGTTTGACCCAGCGCACCACATACAACCTCTTTAAGGGGATGATGCAGTCTTCCCAGCATCGGCAACTGCCTTTGAGAGGCTCTGAAGTGCGTAGTCGAGCGTCCATACTTGGGCAAGTGGCAAACTCAACTTTTCTCCACTCAAGAGGCTTCAGGACTTGAGGGCCTAGTTGGAATATCCCATGAAATGACACGCCGCGGCGCCGAATCTGCCGTCAGAACAATCCCATTTGGGCTTGCAAAACTCTGGTCTACCAACATACACGCTACCTTTGACTTCTGTTTGTCGTTGCCGGTCAGTCTACCGCTTCAGCGTACGCTGCTTCTCCGCGAATTCCACGATCTTTCGGTCGACAAACAAGCCCTTGCGCTCGCGTACCCGGTCCATGTATGTCTTGGCGACATTGACGCGATCCGCCTTCTCGCCGAGGTCCTCAAGCTCCTCCTCGGTAGTGGGCACCCAGAAAGGATCCAGATCAAGCATTTCATACCTTGTGCAGCATTAGCATTGACTCCGCTCTCAGACGGCCTGCCAAATGAAGATGCTTACCCGCTGAAGATAAGCTGCGGGCTCGCTGCGCCGGACGTGCGTTTGCGGATATCTGCCATGCATCATCAGACATGATAGTCAAGAGATAAGTGGAAATCGGACGCACCGTCCGCAAAACCGAAGCTCTCCACGACCGGCAGCTTCGCACGCACGCTGAAGAATTCGGTGCCTTCTTTCATCTCTTCAGCGACAATCTTGCCGCGCCGCCTGGCCACGACGCCGTACACCTTGCCCAGCACGTCCGCTACACAGGCGAGAGGTCAACATGCGATCTGCAGGAGGGCACTGGAAGAGGGATTCGACTTACTGGACGCTTGGATGTCACAGGTGTACATAGCGAGCATGAGCCGTGGAGACCAGTCGAGAAGTCCGTTCCGGCAGGCGTCCCGCACGGCGGAGATGAATGACCCTGTAAGGTGTGCCATGCGGTTGTGCGCTGGCGGAAAGGGAGGCTTAGCCTCGCGCGATGATAGGAGCAGAGTTTAGTTCGTTACCTTGCTCTTCCGCGATGCCGGCTTGGTCGAGCGTAACCGCCTCGACGAAGTACGCCATCCCTTCTACTGGCTCCGCGCACAACGGACCCTGGAAGGTCGCCAGTTGGAAGCCTGTCTCCAGATGATTTTCGAAGGCTCCAGCGACAGGGTCCTGCTCCTTGACAGGGTCTCCTGCCTTCATCTGCGCCAGCCGTTTACGGAGCCTAATCCGCAACACCATGAGTACCGGTCGAAGGAGAGTCGTGTTACACTCACGAGTTCGACTCGCCCTGCCGCGCGTCGATAAGGACACACGAGCCCATCCGCTGCGGGCCGAATGCCCACACCTTCTCAGCCAGGTCCGCCCATTCTCCGCCCGCTTTGCGGCAGCGTGCCTGCAGCTCGGGCCAGAACTCCTCCGCCTTGACGGTGGGCTTCTTGATATAGTCGCCCTGCATGTCATAGCTCTCGTCCGCGAGCACGTCTTCCTCGTCTGCGGTAAGCTCCACCTCGCCGGCCTTGCGTTCCTGTTGCATGCGCCGGAGGATCGCGAGGTTGTCTAGAAGGAACTCGTGGATCGAAGGGTGTAACGGCGCTGCGCGGATAGTGAACTTTGCGAGGTCGTGCGCGGCTGCGCCGTGGAGTGTGCCCCGCTTGGCGTTGGGTGTCTTAGGAGGTGCCATGTCTGAATTTGCATGAGCGCGTGTGCATTAGTGTCGTCAGAGTACTTACCGGCGCCTTTGACCGCTGTCTCCCTGAAAGGTACGATGGGCTCAGAGGCATGAATCTCGATCTTGGCAAAACGTTCCTTCAGGTCCCTAATGCACCTCTGAACGTCTCCGTAAGCTTGCGGGCACATATTGATATCATGCAAGAGGAAAAACTCGCCTCTCCGTGCAGCTCGCCCGCAGTAAGAATGACGTGCTCGCCGGTTTGCTGCTGAAATGTCTCCACGCACGGGTCAGACTGGCTCAGCAGCTTGAGGCCGCGAATAAGCTTCGGCATGTCCGCAGGGTGCTCTGGCTCGAGTGCCACGCGTACGATCGGGGCTGCCTGGAATATGTATGGTCGTCAGCGACCCACCGACGCATGTCCAAGAACAGATACCGCGCACGTAACGAATGACCCCAGCCATGTTGACTAGGCAATCCTTCGCACCCTCGAGGTCCGGCTTCGTCTCGTCCACACCGTGCGTAGACGGCGCGCACGCCGTCGCGCTGCGCCAGACTTTACCTTCGAGGCCACGCACTGCGAACACGTTGCCCGCCCGTACACTGTCTACCGGGACGAGTTCGCGGCCCATCATCGTGTACAGCTCCTCCACGCGCGCCGGAACTACATGCGCGACATTGCGGGGGTGCGTGGGTCCTAGGGAGGCGTTGTACTTCGGGAGCACACACAGAATGGTGGTGCCCGTGCGGATCGTGCCCGAGTATATGCGCGCGAAACCGAGTAGCGTCTCCTCCCCCGCGTCCCCCTCCGCGTCGGCGTCGGCGTCTTCGGGTTTGTCGGCGAGCTCGACGTTCTGCAAGGCGTTCTCAAGCACGGTTGTAGATGTTTCTGAAGCAGTGCTTTCCTGAGTCTTGGCGGCGGCATGAGCCTCTCTTGCGGCTTTCGCGCGGCTGCGCATCTCGTCTGCGGTGAGCGCCTTTTTCTTCTTCCCGGGAAGCTCCTTCGTCGGGACAGCAAACATCTTGCTGATGAGCGCGACGATGGGTGCATCGGGCGCGTCGTTACACGAGTAAAGGACCTCCTCGAGCTTGTTCTTCGGCTCTATTGTGGTCTCATAGATGTCTGGGTAGAGCATCTTCGGTATACGGATGCGCTGAGCAGCAGAGGGCGGCGGGACGATGTCGACAATCGTTTGGATCACGCACGTGGACAGCGGTAGCCATTGTGAGAACATGGCGGACAGTAGTTGGCGGGTGTCCTTCGATTTTTGTTCACGTGGCGGAACCTTGAGGCCAAGCGTAGTGATGATTTTGGAAACCTTGTCGGGGTTCCTACATCCAGTTGAGCTAAGTGGAAGCGTTGCTCGCGACATGCATTTGGACATACGGGTTGGTGACTACAGCATCGTACACAGCCCAAATGTTATCCAAGACGAATTGCACGAAAAGTGGCTTCAATGTACGACCGCGGAGGTGTTTGTGGCTGATTACCCGCTTCGTCTTCGGGTCCAGGTAGAAATCTCCCCAAAGCACCGTGCGCAGATTAGCTTCCTTGATCCCGAGCTTCACCGCGTACAGGTGCGCGAATTTGCCTATACGGAAGCCCCAGCCGTCGATAGCAGACGCAAAAACGACATTGCCCCGCTCGGGCGCGAAGTAGATGTCCTCGTCATCCTTTTCTTGGTACTCGTCCTCTTCATTAACCGTTGCATCGACTTCCTGAGCATGCTGCTCCTTCTTCGCCGCAAGCCGCCGTTCACGCTCCTCTCTCCAGCGGAGATCGTCTTCCATGCGGTCGCTCGCAAAGAACCCGCCCATGACCGCATTGACTTGCTCGATCAGCTGGGACAGGTGGTGATATGCTTCGATCGGCGCTAGCTTGAGTTCGGTGATGAGGCGATCAAACTTGTTAATGACCAGGATGGGACGGAGACGATCCTGCCACGCCTGACGAAGCACCGTGATTGTCTGTCCGCGAATGTGAGTCAAATACACGTGTCGCGGAATGAAAGTGGGCGTACCTGGGTGCAGACGCCCTCAACCACGTCCACGAGAACCAAGGCGCCGTCACAGAGCCGCGAGGCGGTGGATACCTCGCTCGAGAAATCTACGTGGCCAGGGGTGTCTATCATATTGACTACATAGGTCTTCGGGCGAGATTCTACGATGTTAAGGTAGTCAGAACGATATTTCACGGAAACCTTGCCCCCAATCCGCAGGCATGTCAGGAAAGCGTCGAAGACTGTTTCCCTACACCCAGTATGCTACGCAATCAAGATATCTGATAGCCTGGAACGCACAGGCAAGGATGCGCTTTGCACGTCGAGCCTACACGAAAATAGCCATTCAATACCTTGCCACACATTCAGGGCAGCAGTCCACCTCATATGATTCCCCAACCATGTCCTGGGTGTGTATACGAGGATATGTACATCGTGCCGGCCGAAACGGCTCAAAATTTGCGGGTTCTGACTGAAGCCCAGTATCGAGCGGTGGACTGGATTTACGCACCTCCTTCTGAAGTCCGCTCCATGACGTTGAAGCGGAGAGAGACGGCGCTGCTTTCCATGGTGATCCCCCGCTCCTGCTCGTCTTCACGACTGTCGAGGTATCTGATTTTCCCAGCCATCCTCGTAGAGATTATACTGTTGGCGGCCAAGAGCGCGTCCATCATGGTCGTTTTGCCATGATCGACATGGCCGATGGTGGTGACATTCCGCACATCTACGGCTTCAGCGGTAGCCATGCCTGCGACCAGATAGCCCGGGAGTTGATGTAAAGAGTGCGACTGAGAGTACAGGCCGAGATGAGGGCGAAAAGCAAGTTGCGACGCCGTTCGAGTGCATCCTGGAGAGTATTGACTCAAATTCGGACCCGTCCAATATTTCGGGCAAGCGCTCGTAGAAGGACATCTTTCATTACGTCATGAAATCCCAATAAGGAAGTCGTCTATGATATAGGCGTCTAAAGTGCAACTAGCGCCGACCGTGGGACTTTCCTACTTCGCCAAAACTCTCATCTCGCTCACCAGGACTCGAAGAGCGAGTCTATGTTGCCAGTGGCCCTACTACTCTCCAGTCTTTCTGTGTCTATTCGAAAATGTAAGTAAAAGTATATGCAACGTATTTCAATCAAATCTGACGGTTTTTGCCACGTAGGCACGGGATGCAACTGCGTGAAATGTGTTCGAAACACCTCGTAACTGCGCATTATAGAGTATCATGCTCGTTCATCGCCCCCAGGATGATCTTGAAGGTTCCAACCGTGTATGCGCGAGCTTACTGCTATCAACATCATGGCTCTACTCGTTTAAGTATACCGGTGAGCGCCCAGCATCGATATTCGTGTATTCGCCCCGTGGGAGGCAACGGCAGAGGCCCGTCATAGGCCTCTGCGATTTATTCTCTTGATGCTAAACTTGGGACAGGTCAGGCATATTGCAAGACGGTTCCCTGAACCCGTTCGTTACCGAAACGGATGGGGACCAGTCTACCTCCTGTCACTTGGCAACCCACTCTCACTACCTAACGCATGTATCTACACCATAATGTGTGCCTGCTCGAGGCGAGACTGCTGCTTGAAAACGCACACATGCAACTTTATGGTAAGATCAACCCTGTTGCGTGTGGACATGTCTTTGTCGTTCTCCGTGGTTGTCGCTCACAGCAGTGCAGGTCAGCTTGGGACGTTGTAAGGTCGATGACAAAACGACATTCCTGACATAGGACATATTGCCTGTATGTTGTGATCGTCGACCACGGGGCGTGTCATATGTCTTCGCTCGTATGCTATTGCTAGCTGAAGCCTCGGAATCTGGCATGCGCATTGTAACTGATCCGCAGCTTGATCCTGCTCGATGCCATGAGGCCCGCCCAGCGCTCCGAAAGCCATGCGTTATGCCGGTGCCTTCTGTTCACTGGCAAACGCGGCAGTGCGAACGCCTTCTACACTATCCTATACTCAGCGAAGCTGTGTTCGATGCGTAGTCATCCCAGTCCACCACACTGTTTTCATTTCCCAATAAGGTGCCACGCCCCGGCGATTCTGGCGCCCACTGCATTTCCATAATCTTCGGCGAGGGCAACAGGGCCTCCAATGCCGTACAGGGTACGCTCCATTCCCTGTTCCCAAAGTCGAGACAGAGTCCGAACTCACGGAAGCCGCATGTCGACTAGATTCACCTTCGCGCTCGTCCAAGCGGACGTACTTCCCTTCATCGATAGTGTTTAGCGATGCCACAGGGGCTGCGGTATATACTTTGACGGTGACGTGAAGAATGACGAGACGCCGGTTCAAAAAATGGGTAAGTGTCCTATCGTGAACTACCGGGCTATGCGAACTCACTAGTACTCGAAGCGTCACTGGGTACTATTTTCGGCTCACACTCAAGGTCCGCCGACGGACTTTAGTGCAAAGGCAAGCTTTTACCCTCGGGGCCCACAGTTTATCGCACCACAAAGGGCGGTTTGCAAGATACGCGTAGCGCCATTGATTAGTACGCCACCCGCCCAAGTCATAATATTAACTTCCGCATCTGATGTGTGTGAGTACTCATCCACCTCAGGCACAATTTTGACCAACCTCACCCGTATCGCAGACATCTGTGCCGCATGCTGGCCTGCACGTCGACGTAGAGCACGCCCATGCCACAAAAGCAGCATTCTCGGGCGTCCGCTGTGGCGTCCCACACGGTGTTCTATCACGTAGAACGGTGGCCGATACAGAACGGCAATTCAGCGGAGTGTTCCGTGACTTCGGTTTCGCGTTCGCTAGGGTCAAAACTGTCCCCAAGACCCGCCTCGATGCAGCGTGGTAGGTCAATGCGATGTGCTGGTACTGAAACGAGCAGAAGGAAAGCCTCCGAGGACCGCTCCGCCCTCCACCCCGCTAGTCTCATTTCCGGCCATCGGGAGCTTCGGAAGGCGAGTCGTTACTTCCCCCGTGCGCAACTTTGCGTGAGTATGTCTAATCAGGCTTTGTTCACACAGTATTGTATATCTGCAGGTTGGAACAACACGTATATATACCACCCTCATACCTCAAGCTTCTGCAGGATCTCTCTTTCAACGCCCCAATCGCCCATCCACACTCCCCTCTTCCACCCGAACACAATGTGCACGGACGAGAACAGCGCACCGCACGCTGTCCGCTACCTCAATGCACAGCTCGCTGTATTGCATGAGAACGCAGAGCGGTGTCTCCAAGAACATCCCAACGCTCGGACTGAAAAAAACAGTGCGCCGCGAGCCACCCCGCCTCTGTCATGTCCCGCACTGACGACCCCCACCCCATCTTCAGAGCATTTCTATGCGTTGGCAGAGTTCGCCGTGCAACGGCCTGCCTCCGCCACGCAGATCCCGTCTGAAAATGATTCCCTTTTCTATGCCTCCTTCCATGCTCCCGACCTCAAGTTCATATGCGATCACGACGTCTTCTTAAAGCTTTCCTTCGCTAACGGGCACATTGCGGTGGACAGCCCCCGCAGTGGCAGGAGGTAGCTATTGGTCCAATTTTTACCACGCCTTCCATCAAGCTGACCAAAGTTTGTAGTCAAATTGTTCCCTTCCCGGCTGACTTCGAGGTTACCTACCGCGTCAGCTTCAGGACTCGTAGGATCGTCGGTAACGACCAGAAGATCGGCGACTACGGGAGTGCGATTGAGCTTGTCATTCTCGACCTTGACAGCAAGTACACTGCTTCCTTCTTACCGCTCTTACTGATATCATTGTACTTAACAGAGGCTACGCTGTACTCCGTCGAGCCCGAGCTTCCCTCCGGCCGGGACCAGCTTACTAGATTCATGACGCAGTACCTCGAGCTGCTGCACAGCGCGGGGAACCACGTCCTCTTCTCACTCCCGCAGTTTGACCAGCGCGCCGCGCCGGGCAACGTGAAGTACTCGCTCATCGGCGAGACCGAAGCATACTACGAGTGGATGGAGAGCATGCACGGGGTCACTGTCGACCAGATCAACGGGTACATGTCCTCCATATGGCTCAAGTCTGCGATGCTCGCGCGCGGGAGCATGACGAGCGACAGCACCGACTGGCGTCCCCGATGCCTCGCCGAGTTCACCCGGAGCGAGGGCGACATCCATTTCCGCATGCAGCTCGGCGCGCCGATGGTGAAGATCCTGTGCGAGCGCGAAATTGTGATTTGGTTCGATATCGACGAGCTCGAGATCTTCGAGGATGGCGACTTTTCCGCGTGAGTATATGCGCACGCTTCTAATAGTATGGATCTCATGACGCTCATCGTTTGTATAGTGCCCCAGACCGACGCTTCTCGGGATGGAAGGTCGCGATGGTGGTCAACGCCATCTACAACAGGGATGCAGCCGGTCACACGGTCACCATTGTATTTGATCTAAGCAGTAGGTGTCGCCTGTCCGGCGAAGCTTTGCACGCCTACTAATATTATATAACCCTTAGATGCTCGTTATCACAAGGCCCTCTCCTCCTACCCCGGCCTCGACGAGACTGACGACATCACGCTCGACTACTACGACCTCATCATCGCATTCTTCTCCGAGGAGTATCTCCAGATACTCTACAACGCGCACTACCACATTCTGTACTCGCACGACACGCGCTGGGAGACAATCCGCAAGATGCGCTTCGACTCGCAGGAGGACTCGGATGGGTCCTGGTGGAGCCTCGAGCTGGGCGACTCAAGTGGCGTGTCCTCGCGCGAGACGATTCAGCGCACGAAGATGTTCGGCTTCGACCAGGTCACCGCGGTCTCGCAGGGATCGCTTAACGCGCAGTTCTCCGCGACCTCGTACGTGGCGTTCCACAGCTGGGCGTTCGAAAGCTACTTCTCGGCGTCATACAAACCGTTCTCGCTGCATCTGCTGAGCAACAACCGCGCGCTTGTGTGGGTGCACCTCGCGAACGGCAACCTCAAGACCCTGAAGGACTGGGCGCTCTGGGATGGGTAAGTGGGATGCTGGTCATGAATGATATCTGCTAGATCGCTCATACGCGTGTTCCTCTCCCAGAAGTGAACAATATGAATTCCGCGACTGGCGTGTGGCTTTCGAGGTCGATCTCAAGATGTGCTCTCAGAGCGAACTGGAGGGCGCGACTTCTACTACATACACCTCTTCACAACAGTTTGAGAGACACGGTCACATGGCAGACCGCGAGCTCAGACATATCTATCTCGACTTCCAACGTGAGTTATTAGCATATCACGTTTATGGAATGTGCTTAATCGAGCCACGCGTTACACAGATGCGGAATATGTCCACGACTACTCTAACTTCGGCGACATCAAGAACATGGGCGGAGACAGCCGGTCCCTCATCCTCAAGCTGCAAGCGGTCGTCTTCTATCTCACACAGCACTACTTCCCCGCATTGTGCAAGGACGGCATGAACGTCATCACGAGTATCCCCGTCTGGAAAGAGGGGCACCGATCCCTGCCCTCTTACGCGCTCACAGACGTCACTTTCCATGTCTACTCGAAGGTCGAGATCACCCGCCACAACTGGACGCAGGTCACCCCCGGGCAGGAGCCGATCATCGTTGTACTGGGCACGACGGGTGGACGTCCGCTGCCCTCGCCGGAGCTCGAGTTCTCGACGGGATGGATCGTGCATGCGAACCGCGGGTTCTCCCATGGCACCATCGGTATCGCACGCCGCGTGTTCATCGAGGAACGCCTCCTTACCCTGCTGTCCAACGTGAATTCGTACACGACGATGATCCCCGTTCTCCTCGACCCTTCGCAAGGCTTCCATGGGCTGAGCCTGAAGAAGTGGTCGGAACACGACCAACGCAAGGACCGCCCGTCGAAGTGGGAGCTCCTGCCGTCCGACGGCGAGGGCTGTCTGAAGTACCTCTGGGAGCACTGCGAGGAATGGCGCTACAAGCTGCGCGGGAACAGCAACCTCATGAGCTCTACTCAGGGCATCTCTTGTAAGCCTCTCATTCTGAGACCCTGCATGACTTTGATTGACGCGTATCAAGGCGTCACCCGAAACTACGTCGAGCTTCCGACTGCCGTCAAACAAGGCGCCCTTCATATCAAGATCAGCGGCAAAGTCGAACTTAGCCTTACCCTCCAGGTTGGGAAGTCCGAGTCCCAGACGTACGTCCTCCGTCCGGCGTATATCTATACCCTGATAACAATCTGCCTGTCAGCGCGAGCTCCTCGGTGAGCTGGTCCACAAATGTCACGGTTCAGACCATCGGCAGCGGAATCAAGGTCAACACGCTCGGCTCGCACGACCCGGTATTCGCAAAGGGCCTCACTCCTGACAACGCAGCGCGGTTCCGGAGCCCGATGGACATGCTGCGCGAGGCGTTCCCGGACAAGGTCGACCTCGACGAACTCGTGCAGGAGATCCGCGCGTTCGAGGGCCCCTGGCAGTACTGCTACCCGCTCGCCAACCCGTACTCTCTCGCGAGTCCCGTGTTCAACGACGACGGCGATCTTCTGTTCGAGCTCCGCAGGCACGGTGTCTCGGCCATTCGCGTTACTTCGGCAACATCCCCCCCTGCTGCGCGGATTGGGCGGAGCTCGTCCCCGGCGTTTGGGCGTCGGGCGCACTCGCGCACGCGACAGAGTGGCGGCAGGACGTCGCCTGCCCCACACTCTCCTACGCGCTCCCCTGGTAGGACTAAACGTTGATAGGTCGCCGTCCTTTCGGTACTGACTTCGATTTGCCTTAAGCATTGACGGCAGGTGCCACTGCGTCCGCGCAGGCCGCCTTCGGCGAGTTCATCAACGTCGTGAACGGAGCTACTGCTGGGGGTCCTACCAGGGTTCCGCTCGGCCGGGTGCGCCCCACTATGGGCGTGGTGTAGTCCGGACGACCACTTCGACAACTGTGTTCTCTTTCCGATCGCTGCGCGCAAAGGTACCTCGAGCGAAATTTGTATGATACTAACGTGTCTTGCTTTGAACCTAAATATGCCATCTGTGTCCCCGTTCCACATGAAAGCATTGGACTGCACCTAGAAATTCGAGATGCTACGGTACAGGTAGGCCAGTACAGTTGGTTGTGTGTCTTACGATCCAATCATAGATGAATGCCAGCCACGGAACATATGATATTACACCTTTCATGCGCCATAGGCAAGTGAGTTTCCAGCATACCACCTCATAGGATGGAAAACGTTGTGCTGACACGAAGAGACCGACCAGGGCAAGCTATACTGCACGCGGTTTTCCTCGCGTGACCTAACTATAAAGTCGTTAGACAGACGTCGAACGGAAGCACTGTGCCCGCATCATAATGCGGTGCTCATCGAAGCATGGCCATGCTGTCTGCGTGGTGAAGGCAGAAGCATGAATGCGCTATTCTCGATGGGCGCGATGGCCAGCCGCAGGATTCTCCCGTGGACGGCGGACGCCCACGAAACCAACCTACGGGATCATCTCCGACTCGGAGAGCATCCGAGTCAGTTCTAATAGTCTTCGGCGAGGCGCCTCACGGTAACTCGCGATTGATCTATACGAACGATTGCTCAGTGCAGCAGTTGCGAGCTCGAGGCCGCGGCCTGCCTCGAGAATCGATCGGGAAAGGTGTTACACCACGTGGTGGAGTAACGGTTGCATATAACTACGATGAGCGTCCGATCCTTGACTCCATTGAAAGGTGCGCATGGACACAACTTCATGGCGCTTTCAGCTGTACGTGCCAGCGTTAGTGTTTTCGCTGATCGCTCATCTTTCAGGAAGTTCACATACTTAGGCTCACCCATATGCCGCTGGTATCTGGGTTCAATCATATGAAGAATCGATGGTCCTCGCCACAATTCTTGCCTCGGAAGACGAATTTTCACAAGCGGCGCACAGTCCCGTCTTAGACATCATGAGTGTTATGTCTGTCAGAGATGCCGTAATGCTTGTCTCAGCGTCACTGAAGGACTTAAGATCTACGCAGCCTATCGCGGCTGCGTAGTTTTTCAGAGCTGCTTTGGAAGGCCCTATACTTCCTCGGCCCATTCGGTCTCCCGAAGACAAGCAAACAGACGCAAATGCAACTTCTTCCGGACATCTCTCCTCATAAGAAACAGGGAATAGACGCGTCCCAAGCCACCGCGATGTCAATATCCGCAATCCGATGGACGGCACCATGACATCTCCTCCGGCAGCTTACAGAGGTCTTCAATATGCGTCTGCTGATCCACCCTCCCCAAGGGCAGCGTGGTCGAAGACGACTACCTTCTCGGAGGGTATATCAACCCGGTCAGAACCACCCCGGGATGACAACAGAGATCTTGCTTGAGTCCCGCTCGACTCTCTATCGTCTTTTCTCCCATATATCTATCACAACAATCGCCCAACGACTCGATGTGCTCCGACGAGAACGGCGCTCCCCATGCGGTTCGCTATCTGAACGCGCAACTCGCGGTCCTTCACGAAAACGCGGTGAAATGTCTGGAAACCCATCCTCAGGCTCGCGGTGAAGACAACAGTACGTCGTTCTGGGTCTAGGCCGACTTTGGCATGATAACATCTCCGGCTCTTGGTACCTCCTAGGGCAATACAACGCATTGGCGGAGTTCACAGCCCAGCGACCAGGGGCCGCGTCATACATGCCTTCCGAAACCGATTCCCTATTCCATGCATGCTTCAAGGCGCCTGAACTCCGGTTTGTTTGCGACCACGACGTACTGCTACACCTCACCGTGGAGAAGGGACATGTCGTCCTAGACACCTTCAAGGCGGGCAAAGGGTAAGTGCGCCCATCCCTCAACAGCATGCGGCGGGTACTGACGGTGCACCGGATCGACGCAGGGAAGTTGTTCAACTCCAATCTGGCCTTTGCGTCACGTACCGTGTTGGGTTTGAGACCAGACGCATCGTCGGCAACGACACGAAGATTGGTGACAGCGGGAGTGTCATCGAGCTTGTGATCCTTGATCTGAAGAGTAAGTTGTGTTTTCTCCAGACCAGCACCTCAATAACATGTATCCACCGTCAACAGACGCCACCGTGTCGTCCATTGAGCCGGAGCAGACCAGTGGTCGTGACTCCCTCCTTCGCTATCTCAACCAGTATCTGGACCTCTTGTACAGCGCCGGCAACCATGTCCTATTCTCCCTTCCCCATTTCGGCCAGGACGTGGCCCCGATGGAGGTTTCCTTCTCGCTCATGGCTATATCCGCACAATACGAGTGGCTGGCGACGATCTACGGCGTGACGGTGGAGCATATCAACGCGCACATGTCCTCGCTCTGGCTCAAGTCAGCGATGTTGGCGTACGGCGGCGTCGCGAGCAGCACCACGGACTGGAGGCCGCGCTGCTTGGCCGAGTTCAGCCGCAAGGAGGGAGGCGACTTTTTCCACATCAAGTTCGGCGCCCCCCATGTGAACATCCTCTGCTCGAGGGAAGTTGTGATAACATTTGACATCGACGAAGCTGAGTTCTTTGACGACGACGATTTCACCTTGTGAGCGTTTCGAACCGCTTACGACTGCGATATACTTATGGACGCTCACCATATCTCCTTGGGTATATATAGGGCGCCAGTACGGACCTTCACGAAGTGGAAAGTGGCAATGGTCGTCAATGTGCTTCAAGGAACGGGAATCTACGACAACGTTGTGAGGATCATGTTCGATTTAACCAGTACGTATACATCCATCATCTTGAGTTGGAGCCCGTACTCACATACTTCCGAAGACGGACGCTATCACCACACGCTCTCTGCGTACCCCGAGTTCAACGAGAACGACGAGGAAGCGCTCGAATATCGCGAGCTCATCATCGCATTCTTCGCTGAAGAATATCTTGGAATCCTCCATGGCGCGGGCTACCACGTCCTCTACGAACACGATGCTCGCTGGGAGAGCATCAAGAAGCACAGGTTCGAGTCGTCCGACGACACGGAGGGCAGCTGGTGGAGTCTCGAGCTCGGCGACCCGAGCGGCGTTACTTCGCGCGAGACCATCCAGCGGGCGAAGATGTACGGCTTCGACCAGGTCGTCGCTATCTCCCAGGGGTCTATCAACGCGCAGTTCTCGGCACTGTGGGCGAGCGCGTCGGCGGTGTTGTTCCACACCTGGGCGTACGAGCAGTTCTTTTCGTGCACCTTCAAGGCGCTCTCACTCACCCTGCTGAGCAACAACCGGGCGATCGTCTGGGTGCACCTGACGAACGGAAACCTCAGGGCGCTCCGTGACTGGGCGCCCTCCAGCGAGTGAGTTGCATGGCAATGCATCTGTGCAACGATGGTCAGCTTAACGATATGTACCCCAGGAGTGCCGCGTACGAGTTCAGAGATTGGCGCATGGCGTTCGAGGTCGAGCTGAAGATGTGCACGCACGAGGAGCTGGAAGGCGCGTCTTCTACAGCGTTCATGAAGACGATGTCGTATGAGAGACACGCAAACCATCCGGACCGCGAGCTCAACCACATCTACCTCAACTTACGGAGTGAGTGCTCCGTCTCTGCCATTTCGTTCATCGCTCATCACATGTATATAGACGCGGAGTATATTCACGAATATTCCACCTACAGTGATCTCAGGACGGACGTCGAAGACAGCCGCGGAGCCATTCTCAAGCTGCAGGCTGTGGTGTGGTACCTTACCCAGCACTACTTCCCCGCCCTCTGCAAGGAGGGCATGAACGTCCTCTCGAGCATCCCCATCTGGAAGACCGCGGGCCTGTCGCTGCCCTCCTACGCGCTCACGAGCGTCGCCTTCCACGTCTACTCCCGCGTCGAGGTCGCGCGCCACAACTGGGCGCACGTCACGCCCGGGCAGGAACCCATCGTCGTCGTGCTCGGCACGACGGGCTACAGGCCGCTGCCTGCGGCGCATCTCGAGTGGTCGACGGGCTGGGTGGTGCACGCAAACCGCGGGTTCTCGCACGGCACGCTGAGCATCGCGCGCCGTGTGTTCCTCGAGGAGCGCCTGCTCGCGCTGCTGTCGGGCGTGAACGCGCACACGACGCTCATTCCGCTCATGCTCGACCCGTTGCGCGGCTTTTATGGGGTGAGCCTCAGGACTTGGGCGGGCCACGAGCAGCGCAAGGACCGGCCGTCGAAGTGGGAGCTGCAGCCGGCGGGCGGGGACGGATGCTTGAGGTACATGTGGGAGCACTGTGAGGAGTGGCGGTACAAGATGGCGGGGAGCGGGGACATGATGAACGCGACTCAGGGCATGTCTTGTGAGTGCTCCCCTCTGGCTGTCGTGTCGGTAAAACACTGACGGCTTCGCAGGCATCACGAGAAACTTTGTCGAGCTGCCTACCGCTGTCAAGCAGGGCGCGCTGCACATCAAGGTCAGTGGAAAGGTCGAGCTAAGCCTCGCGCTCCAGACTATGAACTCCAAGTCATACACGTGCGTTCCCTGAGCTGTCTCCGCACGTAGGAACGTGGCTCACCTAGCCTGCAGCGCGACCTCGTCCGTGAGCTGGTCCACGAACGTCACCGTGCAGACGGCCGGGACCGGCATCAAGGTCACCACACTCGGCTCACACGACCCCGTCTTCGCGAAGGCAGAGTTCACCGACGGCAGCGCGGCCAAGTTCCGCAACCCGATGGACATGCTCCGCGAGGCGTTCCCCGAGAAGGTCGCGCTCGACGAGCTCGTGCAGGAGATCCGCGCGTTCGAGGGCGCGTGGGAGTACTGCTGCCCGCCCGCCGCGCCGTACTCCCTCGCGAGCCCAGTGTTCAACGACGACGGCGACCTGTTGTTTGAGCTCCGTAGGTACGGCACGGGCGCAGGGCGCGCGGCAGCGATGTCCCCTGCGAGTCGTATCGGCGGCCGCAGCGCGTCTCCTGCGTTTAATGGGCGCCGCGCGGTTTCGCGCACGCGCACGGGTGGTCGGTCGCCTGTCCCGCACTCGCCGACCCGCAGTCCTACTGTTGGTGAGTGTTGATACCATGTGTCTCAAACACAGTGCGGTGCTTACACCTTATATGCAGCGCAAACGGGAGCCACGACGGCGCACGGGGAGTTCGTGCATAACGCCAATGGGAAGCCGGGCTCGCACACCCAGGGCCCTGGCATCACGGTGATCACCAACATGGGGTAGGTGTAGTGATGTAGGGGGATGTTGTATGATCGCTGTTGTCGTTGATAGTATCCGTATCGTTAGTGGAAATCTCGTATGAAACGTTGTATGCGGCCTCTATTAAATCCGTATGGTACAATCGTCCGTGGGCGTGAAGGTTTTGACCCCTCTCTAAGATCCTCAGAGCGTCTTGATCTTCGCCTTCTCCTTCTCCTGCATCACGCGTTTCGCGTGGACGTCTGCGAAGTCGACTTTGAGCACGATGGCTATCACGACTATCCTTGTTACCCTCACCTTTGCGCTTGACCCATGCCTCCACCGAAATACCGGCGAACACGACGCCCGTGCCGAACCATTGTCCGGGGGTGAGCTTATGGTTGTAGACGATGACGGAAAGCAGCATAGTGAACAGTTTCCGCGTCAACGTAATCGTGCTGTGCGGTGGTCAGCGATCTATAGTTGTATTGAAGGAACAAAACCGTAAGACGTACACCAAGGTCAACGAGCCGAAATGTTGCAGGGTCTCGAAGATGAACAGCTGGCCGAGCGCGCCCGTGAGAGCAAACTGCGCGAGCGGCACGACCACGGACGGGTGAGTGCGGATGAACTCGAGCGCGCCCTGCAGTTCGGTCCCAGAGGTGGAGGGGTGGAGCACCGGGATGTAAGGCAGAGGCAGGACCGAGATAACGGACGTAAGCCCAGTGCAGAACAGGTTAATCCAGAACATCATCTGCTGGCCGGTAACCCGGTAACGCGTGAAAATCTCGTCCTGCGTTGAGTTTGTCGCGCCGTCGATGAGCAAGTTGATGAGGAGGTACGTGAGGCCGATGAACTGCGTGTATGCGGAGAGGTCGGCGTTCTTGGACGCCTTCGACGGCTTCTCCTTGCCGAAGCCCATGAACATGGTGATCCCGAGCGTGACCATCGCGACGACGAGGTACTTGTGCGCAGCGAACTTGCGGCGGTAAAGGACGACGTTCATGAGCATGACGGGGACGAGTTTGCAGGACTTGCCGAGCACCATGGCAGGATAGGTGATGTAGGAGAGCGCGGCGAACCCGAAGGGCGCGGCGGACGTGATGAAGACGGCGCATTGGAAGTAGCGGAGCAGGAGGGACTTGTTGCGCGAAGAGGTATCTTGTGTGTGGGTATGTGTGGCATTTCCGTTTGTTTTCGCAGGGCCGTTGGTGGTCCCGTTGGCGGAGCCGTTGGTAGTCCCGTTCGGTGCGGACTTGGTGTCTTCCGCGAGACCGAGAGTATGCGCTAGCGTTTGCCCGGACTTTCGGCGTAGGAAGATGTATAGTAGAGCAGCGACACAGCTAAGGAAACTCTGACAAGTTCCCAGGAATAGGGGGGAGTGAAACTTGTCGGCGGAAGCCCCGTCTATTGATTGGAACGGAACGGACACTGGGTAGGTTGTGAGCGAGCCGCTTCCTGCGCAGCTGTAGTCACGTACGTCGTTCTTGGGCAATAGCCCACAACTACTGTGAGTTAGCTTGTGCATTTGAGGTGATAATATAGACAACTCACCAAGAACATAGAGTAGACTCCGACCACGCATATTACCAGCCTACACCCGGACGTGAGTCTCGATCACTGTGATCTGTGCCTCGCTAAATGCTACCTGAGGTACGACATCGTGGGTGCTGGGCCAGTCTAGGGCAGCCCGGCTATGAGAGACGTTGGATGACAGAGAGCAGAGCAAGAGAGTGAATATAATAAATTAGGTGCAAGCAAGCTGGCAAGAGGATGGCGGACTTTGATGATTCTCGGAAACTCGGAGAATACGTGGACACTGGAACGCGCCCAAACGTGGCACAAACCTTAACCTAACCGCGTTGCGCATAATTGGCACAGCTTTTGTGTCGGCTCCGGCCCGGCCGTCGCGGACGCAGAGCCAGTCTGAGTGGCTAACGGGACGGGAGAAGTCAGAAGTTTGAACTCCAGTCCCAAGGGAACCGCAAAGGTGTTACACGGACAAGGAGGCTTTACCGGGCATCGCTGTGCAACTTGGAAGGGCCAAAAAAGCAGGGTGGCAATGTGCCCGCAAAGCGAGCAAACCCATTCAGTAAAAGCGGCAGTACAGAAAGCACGATACGACATAGTGATGCAACGATGATTATGGCAAGCAGCGGTAAGATATGGCAAAAGCAAGGAGAGGAGGGAGAGTGCGCAGATATCCAAAGGAGGGCGGCCGTCACGTCTGCATGGCGTCTTCGTCATCGTCGTCATCCATTAGTGCGCGTTTGGACCGTTCGCCATCCCTAAACGTACGGGTACAGTCAGTAGATGCGTGGGCTCTTCTTCGATCACTTGTGGACGCACCTCTGCGCCTCCTCGTCATCTTCATCGGACCGTTTTCTGCGAACATTGGTCTCGCGCTGCTGCGGGTACGACGCGACAGCAGCCGTGGCCTTGTAGATCGACTCGTATTCCTGCTCAGACTGTTAGCGCAGTATGTGCGTACAACGAACTCTATGCGCACCTTGATCTGAGTCAAGAACCCGCCGTTCGGCGAGATGCAATACCGTCGATTCTGCACAAGGTGCAAAGCGTCCTCCCATGATAGTCCATGGTGCTGCATAACGTACATGACGACAAATGCAGGCGACAAGCTGATCCCACCTGGTAGACAAGGGCGATCAGTAAGCGCTGCGCACATGAGCAGTCCCATCATGACGCGCACCGTTACAATGCACGAGGACGCATCCACCCTGCGAGATCGCCGTGTCTATGAACTGCTTGGCCCTGCACGCGTTGCACATCACAGATGTTGAGTTTGAGGTCCCCTGCGCGTAGGGAGAAGGGGTGGAAACGCGAGACTTACTGGGGAAAGAGGCGGATGAGGTTCTGCTCCTCGTTGTCCTGCACGTCCAGCACCATGTACTGGAACCGATCCGCGAAGCGTGGCCGCACGGAGAACGCCTCCTTCGCGTCGCGTATGCACACGCTACGCATCGTGAACAAGGCAAGAGGCGCTGTTGTGTCAACACCACCGCGGAAACACGGGGAAGGAGGGGCGGGACGTACACATGCGTGATTCCCAGTGAGAGTAGCGTGTCTAGCGACTTCGACGCTTGCAGAGGGCCGAGGTAGAGACGCGGCAGGATCTCCTGGCATTGGCGGCGCATTTCGTACCTACAGAGAGACGCGGGGTGTTATGAGATTGTTGGTGGGGGTGGCTGACGGCGGCGCCAGGTACGCACGTCCATTCCACATCGGAGGGTCCTTGGATCAGCTCCCGTAGCTCTTCAGGTGGTACGTTCTGAGTCTCCATGGTGTATACGAGAGCGAGAGGGGGCCAGAGAGCACGGTGGGAGGGAAGAGTAGAGAGGTGAACACGGTAAGCCAGGGACACAACAGCGTCGGTTATGGAATAAGCACAACGAGCGTTTGGGCGCCGGTCTCGGATCGGGCAAAGATCGGGCCCGCAAAGCACTTTAGAAGTACTGGCGTCATTGGTCCGCCCGACCATCTTGCTTCCTGCCATAAACTTTCCTCAGCTTACCATCATGGCAGACGACGACTTCGATATTCCGTATGTTCATTCGGTTATGGCTTTTGAAAAGCGCATACGCTGAGGAGGCAGAATGGCACCTCAGAGAACTCCTGGACACTACTGCACAGAGCGAAGGACCTTCGAGCGGAGCGCAGTCGCGTACGGTCCCATTGACCATTATTTGTGGCTTTCTTGGTGCAGGAAAATCCACATTGGTCCGGTGCGTCACTTTGCGTTCTGAACGAATACAGAGTGTTCTGATACAAAGGTGATTGCGCGCAGGCGCATACTCACGGAACGGCATGGCTATCGGATCGCAGTCATCATGAACGAGTTCGGGGACACTGCCGTGAGGACATTCCACCCTCGTGTGCACCACACGCCCCGCTGAACGTGGAGTGTGAGACAGGACATCGAAGGTAAGTGCCCGGCGTGTTTAGCGTTGTGCTATTCTAACTTGGATGATGTCATGTACGCAGCGAAAACCATCAACGTTTCTTCCCCAGACGACCCGGAGAAACAATCAGAAGAGTTCCTCGAACTCGCGAACGGATGTTTGTGCTGCAGCATCAAGGACTCGGGCGCGGCTGCCATTGAGAAGCTCATGCAGCGCAAGGGTGCATTCGACCACATCCTGCTAGAGACGACCGGCCTTGCTGATCCTGGTCCGTGTTCTAATTTTAACATGCTCAGACGCATAAACTTACAATAACGCGCACAATCAGGGCCGATTGCCTCCATGTTCTGGCAGAACGAGGAGTTCTCCGAGGGACTCGGGCGCGAAATACACCTTGACGGCGTCCTCTGCGTGGTTGACGCTGTCTTCGGCCGACAAGTAAGTAGCCTTCTCACAGATACGTATATTGTATCTCACATGGCCCTGCAGCAAATGGAAGAAGACCACGCCGCTGACGGCATCGGGGAGAGCCTGCGGTGCGCCCGACCGCCCTCTGACTCACGCATACACTTGCTGACAGCCCCGCCGCAGGCAAATTGCAGCAGCGGATGTCATCCTGCTCAACAAGGTTGACCTCGTGCCCGCTGCAGAAGCGGACGCGACGGAGGCGGTCATTCGCGGCGTCAACCCCGCAGCCGCGATACACCGCACTATACGCGGCGAAATCGACCTCGGGCTGCTTATGGGCGTTGACGCGTACGCCGCGCGCCAGCTGCTCGCCGGATCGCGCAAGAAGGCCGTGGGGTGCGACGATGGGCACGGACATGATCATGACCATGACCACAACCATGCGCACGATCACGCGAAGGCGCCGACGCATTACGAGCTTCGTGGAATCTCGAGTCTGCAGGTCGAGCTCCCGACGCTCACCGCGGCGCAGCTGGACAAGCTCGACGAGTGGATCCTGAACGTACTATGGGAGAAGCAGCTACCAAATCGATCGACAGGAGGACCGGACGCCTTGGATGTCTTGCGGTGCAAAGGGATCTTCGTCACGGACGATGGGGGAGTACACGTCCTGCAGGGCGTCCGGAATTTGTACGAGATTGTGCGGGTCGAGAAGGAGGATGAGGAGCTCGGGCTGCCGGACACGGGGAAGCTGGTGCTCATTGGCAAAGGTCTGAGCGAGGATGTTCGCCGTAGTTTGATAGAGCATTTGAATATTGCGTGAATGCGTATCAAATCCGACAACTCGTGCGTGATGAGACCTCCCCCTCCCCCGGCTGGCCAATACTCGTTCATAGCCACTGTCTTCCTCTTGGAGCGTTGCTAGGGCTAGCTGGTGCTGCTTGTATCTCGAAGGAGGGACTGGAATCGGTCCACGAAGCCTACGAATGGTTAGATATGTGAGAATCACTGAAGGGGGTACAGACGAACCAGCAGCGGTTCCTCGGAGTGCGTCCTTCGATCCCCGGTGGACCTCATTATTGTGTTCGCAATCGTACCGCAGTTTAACAGGTAGCCGTTTCCTGTATCATCGTCAGTGAATCGTAGAAATCCAACCGAGCAATGAGCATACTGGAATTTCGCGGCACTCCGTAAAGCGCGAGCGGGAGGACACCGATCACCGCGCAGTTCCCGTATGTGTTCACCCACAGGATCAACTCCATTGCGGTCTCAATCCGGAAGCTTCAGCGACCGCCAAAAGGCGCCCCTTCAGCTGAGCGATATCTGCAGCCTTCGGCCTCGCTTGCGCTGCTGCGGACCCGCCTCCCGCACTCATCTGCGCCATGAGGTCCTCCAGGCCCTCCATCTCCCTCTTCCCCTTCAGCTCCTCATTCAGGCTCGCGGGGTCCGCCAGGTCCTCCCCGTCGCTGTCTTTGTCTGCTTCTGCCTCCGACATCTTGGCGTCCAGGTGCTCCCGCGCGTGCGCGAGGGCCTCGAGGTCGGGCGGGACGATGTCTGAGAAGCGCACGTTTGCGAGCTGTGCGGCGATGTCGCGCGTCTCTGCTAGGGCTGCCTGCGCTGTGTCGGTGGGTTGGGGGCGCGAGAGGAGGGCGATGAGGGCGGAACAGAGGCCGCGGAGGATGCCCAGCTCGCGCCCGAGGGGTGCGCCGGTGTGTGCGAAGCCGTCGTCGAAGCCCTGCTGCAGCGCGGACTCCTTGCCGGCTGTGATACCTTCACGGTAGCCCGCCTGTATGTGGATTTTCAGCGGATGGCATCATTGTAGGTGTGAGGGTGCGGCTCACGTTCGTGAACTCGTTGGAGATCTTGGACCACTCCGAGTCCTGCAGCACCTTCGGGTCGCTGCTCCAGAATGCCTCGTCGTCCATCGTGCAGGTGAGCCTGTTTTGTATGTTTTGGTGGTGTGGAATCCGTTGACGACTGCCTGGCAGATTAATTTAAGGCCTCGCGCGTGAAAAAGCTCAGTCAGATATTCTGCAACTCGAAGGCATTGCACAGAGATTTGCGACGAGATCAGTACGCGCTACGTCGTTCGGCAAAGCCCGAGTAGTGTCTCGCGATCACGTTCGGGCGCTCCCGCCTTCGGTCACCTCGGTGTACATCCGCGGGGTAGCGCGCGGTCAACCTGCGGGGAACGCGTCCGTGTCGCGACTAGCTTGCAGTCATCTCTCATTCACTCTCATCCTGCACCTGAAGTCTCCGCACGAAACAATCACATCCTTGGGCACCATATTCCGACTACCGAGAGTGGCATCAATATACGCCAGGACACGGTAAGCAGATGGGCTCTAAACAAGCCCGGCGGCGGCAGGTACCCCCCAAGACCGAACAGGAAGGCCCGACGAAGGCACCAAACTCCAGGGCAGATGTTGTGGACGGCGCCAGTAAGTTGTCTCGTTCGTTTGCATTGGCAGTACCGAGAGGTGGGTACCGACCAGAGCCCGGGAAATTGGACAATGCTCGTGAACTATCCAGACGAATTTGCGAAACGTCCTTGCAGCTCGCGGCACAGTTGTTTACCTGGGCTCAGGTCAGTGCCAAACCGCCACCGCGCCGTTCTAACCTCCCGTTTCCTAACAGAACCGACACCTCTATGGAGGCTCGTGAAAGTAGCATATTTCCTCCTGCTGGCCGGGGGAGTGTACCTCTACTACAACACACTACTCTGGGACACTGAGCCAAGCCCTAACGCAATCCCTGAGGAAGACGCGTACACTGCGCCGGTGAAGGTTATGGCGCTCCCGGGGCGGGGCATGGGTGTAGTGGCCTCTCGAGACATTTCGGTAAGCCCAGTAGCGCTATGATACGCGTATTTCGGCGATACTGACAGCATATAGCAAGGGGACCTTATAATTCGCGAGAAGCCATTATTCCTGGTCCCAAATAAAGGTGTGTGCCCGATTGTGCAGGCAGAGCATATATGCACGCAGGCTCACATGTAGTCATCTGTCCCAGTGTCTACCTCCTCTCCCGGTGCTATCCTTCTTGCAGCTCTAGCACCCCTCTCGCCTACGCAGAGGGCGTCATTCTATAACCTCTCCTACTCTCACTTCCCAGAAGGCGTACAGAAAGGCACTGCAAGATATAACGAGGAACTTGCTCTCGCAATCTTCCAGAACAATGCCGTATCAGCGGGCGAATCGACGGGGATATTTCCGCGGATGGCCCGCCTGAACCATGGCTGCTCGCACGCGTTCAACGTGGTATACGCCTGGCGCGACTACGAGGGCGTCCTGGTTGTGCACGCGCTGAAGCCGATCAAGGAAGGACAGGTGGGGCTGAATCGCTGATTGCATGCGCACTTTGTGTATATGTCTGATGTGTCGGACGGACAGGAATTGCTTACGACCTATACGGACACGAAGCGCCCCCAGCACGTCCGCAGGTACGCCGCCGTCCGCTCTCGCTCCCAGAATACGCCCGCTGAGAAGCGGCACCCGTGGCAGACAATTCCTCCTGGACCATTACGGCTTCGACTGTCGGTGCGCCGCATGTCGCGCCCCGTCCGATGACCTCGTAGCGCGCTCCGACCAGCGTTTGGGCGCCATGTCCGAACTCTATGCACAATTTTCCGGCTGGCAGCACGGCCGGCTGAATGGCAGCGAAGCAGCCGCCGTGGCGATCTCTATATGGAACCTTGGCGAGGAAGAAGGCTACTGGAGCGAGCGGGGCCAGCTTGCGGCCGACGTGGTGCACATTGCGGCTGCCCATAGCGAGTGAGTGTTGGATACGTACATCGCGCACACGATCGTAGCTAATATTGACGTTAACGCGGTGGTAGCGCTTCAGCCGTCCACGAGTGGGCTCGCCTTGCCCAGACGTGGTTCGGATACGAGCTGGGCGGGGATAGCGTGCAGGCACAGCAGATGGGGCAGCTGGCGAGCGCTGCAGGCCCGCAGCTACACATGGCGTGGGGGACGCGGGCGCGCGAAGCAGTTGGGGGCCCGCGCCGTGGATGCTCGCTTCGTAACGCTGCTGAGTCCCGGTAAAATGGGCGATTCCGAGAACTCCGGGCGAGGGGGCGAAGGTCATCGCGATTTCCGGGGCGTTGTCTGCGCATTCGCAGCGCCGTGAGAAGGAGCTGCAGGTGTAGCCGGCAGCGGGCCACGAGTACTCATTCGGGTTGACTGTAGACGAGATACGTCTGCAGACGGCTTCGGCCGCGGCGTCCGAGAGGTCAGATGTAGTCGGAGCGGAGCTGCTCCTGTCGAGAGTTTCTACACGTAGCACGAGGCGATGAAATGAAACACCGGGAGGCGCAGTAAGGAAAGCGAAGGTTCATAGGAGGCCCAGCTGTACGCCGCCGTGCGCGATGAGGGCACCGTGGCGCTCGGGAAGTTGGCGCTGAGGTAAGCATAGCCGGTCAATGCAATGGCCTGATTGCCCTTTTTTGGCGCGATCAGAAGCGCGAGATATAACGGCGCCGCGTCTCTCTGTCTTGATCGTCCGCTCTCTCCCGCTCAGCTTAAACGACGACCTCCAGCGCGGCGTCGTCCCCCTCTCTCTCTCTTTCTTTTTTCTCCTTTTCTCCCCCTTTTCTCCCCCCGGCGTCCCAGCAGGCTCGCAAGTTGTCGGCCATGGCGATCGCCTCGTCCTCCGACATTATCGTCCTCGCCCTCGGCGTGGTCCTCGCGGCCGCGTATCTCTTCCGTGACCAGCTGTTTGCTGCCTCCAAGCCCAAGTCCGTCCCGGTATCCTCGTCAAAGGCCAGCAATGGTGGAGGCAACCCGCGCGACTTTGTCGCAAAGATGAAGGAAGGCGTGAGTACATCGTTTCGCTGGCAATGTCATCCCGGACGGGACAGCTAATGTGCAACGTGGCGGCAGAAAAAACGCATCGTCATCTTCTACGGCTCGCAGACCGGTACCGCGGAGGAGTACGCCATCCGTCTCGCGAAGGAGGCCAAGCAGAAGTTCGGCCTCGCGTCGCTCGTGTGTGACCCCGAGGAGTACGACTTTGAGAACCTCGACCAGCTCCCGGAGGACTCCTGCGTGTTCTTCGTCATGGCCACGTACGGCGAGGGCGAGCCCACGGATAACGCGGTGACGCTTTGCCAGAACCTCTCCGACGACAGCTTCGAGTTCTCGAACGGCGAGCACAAGCTTCCGGGCCTGAAGTACGTCATATTCGGTCTCGGGAACAAGACTTATGAGCACTACAACCTTATCGGCCGGAACGTGGACTCGGACCTCGCGAAGATGGGTGGTATTCGCATCGGTGAGCGCGGCGAGGGTGATGACGACAAGAGCATGGAAGAGGACTACCTCGAGTGGAAGGACGGCATGTGGGAGGAGTTCGGTCGCGTCATGGGCGTCGAGGAAGGCCAGGGTGGAGACTCCCCCGACTTCGCCGTCACGGAAGTTTCTGAACACCCCCAGGAGAAGGTCTACCTCGGTACGTATACGCGGTCATTGGACTGTTCGCTTGTTTTACTGAATTATTGAACTCTATTAGGCGAGCTGTCCGCCCGTGCTCTCACTCGGTCGAAGGGCATTCACGACGCGAAGAACCCGTACCCCGCCCCGATCACTGTCGCCCGCGAGCTCTTCGCGGAGGGATCCGACCGCAACTGCATTCACGTCGAACTCAACACCGAGAACTCTGGCATCACTTACCAGCATGGCGATCACGTCGGTGTCTGGCCTTCGAACGCAGAAGTTGAGGTTGAGCGTCTGCTGTGTGCCCTGGGTCTCCACGGCAAGAAGGACGCTGTCATCAACATCGAATCCCTCGACCCGGCACTCGCCAAGGTTCCTTTCCCCGTCCCGACCACCTACGTCACGGTTCTTCGCCACTACATCGATATCAGCGCTGTCGCTGGTCGTCAGATCCTTGGCGTCCTCTCCAAGTTCGCCCCCACGCCTGAGGCGGAGGCGTTCCTGAAGAACCTGAACACGAACAAGGAGGAGTACAACACTGTTGTCCACAACGGTTGCCTGAAGCTCGGCGAGGTGCTCCAGCTCGCTGCGAGCAACGACCTCCACGGAGTGCCCACTCCGGAGAATACCACTTCTTGGAAGATACCATTTGACATCATCGTTTCATCTATCCCCCGTCTCCAGCCGCGGTACTACTCGATCTCGTCCAGCCCGAAGCTCCACCCTCACTCTATCCACGTCACTTGCGTCGTGCTCAAGTACGAGTCCGTCGAGAACCACCAGGTTAAGGCGCGCTGGGTGTACGGTGTCGGCTCTAACTTCCTGCTTAACCTCAAGTTCGCCGCGGAGGGTGTTGAGGCGCCCATGATCGACACCGCAGACGAGCCCGCCAAGGTCAAGTACCCGAAGTACGCGATCGAGGGCCCCCGTGGCGCATACAAGCAGGAAACTATCTATAAGGTCCCTATTCATGTCCGTCGCTCGACCTTCCGGTTGCCTACGAACCCGAAGAGCCCTGTCATCATGGTTGGCCCCGGTACCGTGAGTTTATGTGAATTCAGCTCGTACCAATTTGATCGCTAAATCATTGTTATCAGGGTGTCGCACCTTTCCGCGGATTCGTCCAGGAGCGTGTCGCGATGGCGCGCCGCACGATCGAGAAGAACGGTCCCGAGGGTTTGGCGGACTGGGGCAGCATCCGTCTCTACTACGGCTGCCGCTCATCGACATCGGACTTCCTGTACAAGGACGAGTGGCCGGCGTACGCGGAGGAGCTGCACGGGAAGTTCACGCTGCGGTGCGCGTTCTCGCGCGAGACGTTCCGCCCAGACGGGAGCAAGATCTACGTGCAGGACCTGCTGTGGGAGGACCGCGAGACGGTCGCGGACGCGATCCTGAACGGGAAGGGGTACGTGTACATCTGCGGTGACGCGCGCAACATGAGCAAGGCGGTCGAGGAGACGCTGTGCCGCGTGCTCGGCGAGGCGAAGGGCGGGAGCGCGGAGGTCGAGGGCGCGGCGGAGGTGAAGCTGCTCAAGGAGCGGAGCAGGTTCTTGACGGATGTCTGGAGCTAGGCGCTCCGCGGGTCTGTTTGTCTGTTTTTGCTGTGTGGTCCCCCCTCTCAGATCTGTTTCCGCTATACTCTCATACTCTATGGATGTTCGTCGAGCTCTCTGGCATTAGATTAAAGCTTGGCTCGGGCTGTGTACATCGCGGAATAGATGTAGTATACGTTCACCCCTTGGGTTTTGGCGTGTGAGGCACGTACATAATATTTATCGTCTTGCATGAATTCGATGTGGGTGTGTATGCGCAATCATACGGTACACCGTGGTCTCAATCTAAGCGAGTGTGCCCGAGTGAGCGCGAGATCTATCTGCGCGCCCACAGTCGGGATGCCGAAGTACGTCTCTCTTGACCGCCACCACATAGCTGTCCGCCCGCGGCCGCGTCCACGATCTCTCTCTTGCTTGTGCCTCGCCCGCGGCGATGTATCGCGGAGCGTGTAGAAGACAACTAGCTTTACGGACAACACCAGCTTCCAGCAACCCCGCGTCAGCATGGCGTGCAGCCCGTCCTCCCGCCGCAGCTCATAGACCACGCTATCTATCTACTACACCTATCCCACCTCCAGACAAGCACAAGGAACCGACACCACAGGCATCCGACACTACTCTTCCTCCACCGCCGCCGGAAGAGCCGTTGTCCGCATCGCAAACGCCGCCGCAGGGGACGCAGCACCCGTCTTCCTCCGAGTCTTCCTCCGAGCATGGATCGAGCGAGACGAACGCGGACAAGCTCGCACTGATCAGGGCCCAGTTCAAAGAGCTATCACACGAAACGCTAGGTCGCATGCGCGACCGCGGGGACGGCTTCACGCGCCAGGTCGCGCGGACGTTCGCACAGCTGGGGAGCGAATTGAACCGGGTGACGGGGTACGAGGAGATCGAGGCGCTGAAGCGGCGGGTTGTGCAGCAAGGTACGTTCTCGTCTCAAGCACCATGCACACGGCATCCTGGGTGGTGAACGGTACTGACCCCACCCACCGTTCAGAGGCGAAGATCCACGAGGCGCGCGAGGCGGCGCGGACGGCGAAGGAGGACTACGACCGCGCGGTGCGCGAGCGCGCGAAGTCGCAGCGCGAGGTGAACGACCTGCTGCAGCGCAAGTCGCACTGGACGGACGAGGACGTGGGGCGGTTCACGACGCTCGTGCGCGAGGACCACGCGCGCGAGCACGACGAGGCGCGCGCGAAGGCGGCCGCGGCGACGGCGGAGGACGCGGTCGAGCGCGAGTTCAGCGAGCTCATGCGCGTGATCCTGAACCGCTACCACGAGGAGCAGGCGTGGTCGGACAAGATCCGCAGCGCGTCGACGTACGGCTCGCTCGCCGCGCTCGCGCTCAACATGGCCGTGTTCGTGCTCGCGATCGTGCTCGTCGAGCCGTGGAAGCGCCGCCGGCTCGCGCAGACGTTCGAGCGCAAGGTGGAGGAGATGAGCGCGGCGACGGCGGATGCGTTTGAGCGCAGGACGGGCGCGCTCGCGGAGCGGTTGGAGGAACAGGGGAAGCTGCTTAAGCTCGTGCTGGAGACGGTGCATTTGACGACGCAGGTGTCGAACGCGGAGCTTGCGACACTGGGATCCACTCAGGACACCCTGGTAGCCGTGCCGTCAGTTTCGGAGAGCGGGCGAATACCTTTATTTACGAAGCCTGAGCATGAGCTGCTGCTTGCTGCGACTGTGGGTGCCGCGGTCACCGCCGTCGTCGGTGTGGTAGGCCTGCTAGCTCGTAGTTGGTACGGATAATCTACTAGATTGTGCTCTACGGCGGCATGTGTGCCGTGCACGGTCGATTATGAGTCCTCCGTTCCAAGGAGCCGTACGATTGCAAGGCCTACCCGAGGCGCTATATACATATGCCCGCTAAGACCCACATTACCATCTATTATCCCTGGATCAGGTATTCAGACTGCGAAACACGCGACAATGCACTCTGCAACGAACGTCAGCACTGATCACCCCGGTGGAATGTTGTATCTGTACGAACCTATCTTCGAGGAGCTCCCCTATTGGATCTCCCATCCTGCATTCTGACCAAGATTCAACATCCCACTTACACCAACCCCACCCGTCTTTGATCTAGCCGAGACTATGTTAAGTACGGCGGCGCTGCGGAAAGGAAATAAACGCACCTCGGGTCGTTTGTGTGGGGCCAAGATAACAAGCCAACGCGCCTTCGTGCTGCGTCACCGTACGCAGCGTGAGCGAGCGGTCATTTTAAAAACTGAACACGACGCACCTGAGCTCCCATAACAACGCGAACAGCTCCGATGGCTTCTCCACGAGATGCAGCGCGAACGAGCACACCACCATCTCAATAATCGGGCCCTCTATCTTGAGCGGCGTGTGTCCGCGCAAGGAGCTCTCGGGCGAAGGTGACTGCGAGGAGTGGTTGTTGCTCTTCGGCGCCCCGATTGGCTTTGACGCGATTTCGGGGAGTTTGCCCTCCGCGATATCCCGGAAGGACAGCGGGTGCGCGTACAGTGTTGTGCGCGTGTGGAACGCCTGCGCCGTATACTAGATGATTGCCCATCAGTGTCAGTGGCAGCCCGCGGGGGCAGAGGTAGGCGCGGGAGGGAATACGTACGGGATCGGCGGCAAGAATGACAGGGACGGGCATGTCGGGCGCGATGGGCGGCGGGATCCGCGCTTTCGCAGCAGAGTTGGGGCGCGCCCGGCGCGCATGGCGCTCCGCGTCCGAGTCGACATCGTCACCTTGCTGCTCGCGATTCTTGTGAGCCTCGCGCCCGGCTTGCCACCACTCGAGGAGCGCGACGGTGACTTCTCCGCTGGGTGCAGGCGAACGTTAAGACGGCGCGCTACTAGAGGGAGGAGGAACGTGAAAGGTTTACCTCCCTTCAAGCTATATCAGCATGATATGCAGTAGAGAGCAATGGGGCGGACGAACCGCATGCCAGGTCGAACACGAAGAACTTCTTTTCCTCGAGATGCGGCTGCCGCATCTTCCACCACCTGGAAGAATCATCGCGGGGTTGGTGAGTTGACGGACATTAACGACACGCGAGGGCGGACGTGCCTGTTGAGCCAGAGGAAAAGGCAGTTCTTCACTCCAGGGAAGTGGGGATTACGGTATGTCGCGCCAACTTTCTTGTAGTACTTCGCCATGTTCAGTATCGCGAGTGGATCGCGAACGTGTACCTGAGCTCACCTCGTCCACACCATGTTCGGTGTAATTGTCCCGCATGGAGCCCTTGAGGATGCCGGAGGCCGCATCGCGGTCACCCCTTGACATCCCTTTTGAGTGTTTGGAGAATATGTCGCGCAACACTTTGGCGACGAGATCTTGACGACCTCGAAGTTCTGGACAATGGTGGAGTGGGGCGCGAAGGCAGCCCAGAGCACGCGGTGGGAGGTGGGCCTGAAGAGGTGGCAGGAGTAAAGAAAACGCGGCTCAGGGGTTGCCTTGACCATCGCCGGCAGGGCGCGCGCGGGAGGGCGCGCACGCGAGCCGCGCTGACATTCGGCGCTAGCGGCCCTGGCCGCGGCGCGCGCCGTTTGCGGGGTTGCCTCGAGGCTATCGCCGCCATCCTCTTCGCGTCCACCTCTGTCCACCTCCGCCATCATCGCGTCCTTCGCGTCGTGATATAATGACCTCCTTCATCATCAAAGCACACGAGAAACGTACACTCCCGCCTCAATGGGCTAGCACCGACGCGGGCTGCGTCTTCTGCAAGATTATACGCGGCGAGGCACCCGCATACAAGCTGTATGAGAACGACAGGGTCGTCGCAATTCTAGGTTACTTTTAGGCTCTCCAGGCTTGGCTAGCTCGTTGAGCTCACAACAGCGACTGCCGCGTCGGCGGCGCCCGGCGTATACACACGGCCCTGAAGACATCATGCCTCTACGCGCCGGCCACGCCCTGGTGATCCCAAAGGTGCACATCCCGCGCGTCTCTGAGCTGCCTGACGAGTTCGCCGCGGAGTGCGGCAAGGTGGTCTCTAGAGTTGCGCGGGCCATTGCAACAGGTGCGTTCGAGCTCCATCCGACGTCGGTCCCGCTGCATGCCGGCACCGGATATCCAGACCCCTGCTGCGTGTTGTTACGTCGCAAACGTGCGGGACAGCCGAACGGGGCTGGTGTGGACTCGCTGTGTCGGTGTTTCTAGGCGGTCGTAGTTCCTGTGGGAGGCGGCTACGCAGCACTACGGCGCGGTGTCTTGTATACTGTGCCGCGACGCGCAGTGGTACTGTTCGGGAGGCGCATTTACTGACGCCGCCGCCAGCGGTCGAAAACACGGCCCTGAACGTCGTGTGCAATCAGGAATACGCACAGGCTGTGAATCACGTACGCCACCTCCGTAACACCTGTCCTCCGCGCTCCTCATCACATCTATCTGCAGGTACACTACCATATCATACCTGCGCCGAAGCCCGGATCGAGCGAGACCGCAGAGAAAAGCGATCACGTCACACAGCCGCTCACGCAGAAGGAGATGCATCAACTAGAGTTCGAGTCTCGTAATTACTTGGAGGAAGATTCCGCGAAACGGCTTGTGGACAGCATCCGCGCTCGTCTTTAGAATGTAATATATGCGCGGCACGTCGTAGTAAGTTGCCTTGTATCATCGGTCGAATTGACGCACGCATTCAAGAACTTACTCAAACAAGCTTTCATCACAGGAATAATTATAACTGCTGCAGAGCTTGTGCAAGAAGCCGTGGGCAACGTTCACAGCTATTGCAGGCGTGTACGATGCGAGTCGTCTGTGTCGCCGCGTTGCCGGCGTGGGTTCTCGTTGACAAGTTCCAACCGCCACATGATGATGGCGGGACAGTCCATTCGTGGTCACCCCATTAATGCCGTACTCGCGGGAGCGCGTTGATGAAAACTGCTCTTCCACTAGGTGGCACTACCAAGTCGCCGTAAGTACCTCCCAAGCAGCCCGACATATTCCCCGTCGCGATACAGCTTGTGGACAGTGCAGTACGTCTCAGTAAAGTACACGGCCTCGACTTGGAGGTGACGTCTGCAATCAATAATTGACGCTCTTCTACTGCAGATATTTTGAAGGTCAAACGAAGCTTGTCAAGAACCCCTGGGCGTCATTCACAGGTCTGGTCTGTGCGTCCCGCACAAAGGATGAGCGCCGTCTATGTATATCCCCCCCGGTACCGCTGTGGATCGCCGACGTGTCGGGGCGCTATATATGCCTTGAACGTCACAGTAAGTTGTCCAGTATCGGAAGCGGAGGCCATGCTTGCATCTAAGAACTGACGTTTGCCTCTCACAAGAACTGTGAAGTTTACAGCAAAGCTTGTGCAAGAGGCACTGGGCGGCATCGACACAGAATCGTATGTGGCCGCCGCAGAAACGACCACCATGTGATAACAGCGGGATGAGCCAGTCCTGGCTACCATCCCGGAACCTTCCCCGGAAGAGTGTGCTGCAGAGCCACACCGTTGCGGCACGCATCCTTTGGAGCAGCATACGCAACTCCCGAATGCCTCGCTATATCATCGTCAGGTCAATTATGACCTTATATCGTGAAACTCACTTCCGCACCTAGTGCAACGTACGCTTTCACGCGGCCTCCGCGCAATCCCCCACATCCCAACATCGACGTCCGTCTGCTATCAACAGAGCACAGCACCTACTGGAGCTCTCCGTTGCCGTTACGGACGGGCAGGTCGGCCTGTTTGACTTCGTGCCCCGGTTTGCCTGCGCCTGTACCTATGCCACATCTCGACCGGGGAGTTGTCTCTAAATCGCGCCGGTGCCGAATAGCGGATGTTCCCAAGATCCAGGGATCCAGTTGGCAGCCCTGCCCACCGCCTGCAGCGCAGGACGCTTCCCTAAGGGTCCGTGGAATACTGGTGCGTCACCCTGCTTTGCATCCATCCGGCCGTGCCGTAAGCTACCCCACTTGGATTCAAACTTTGTAGCCCAAGGCGCGCATTGCTGCGTTCGCCGACGTACGGACGGTCAATGTGCGGTGCAGCGACGTGGGATCGTATCGAGAAGCATGCCAGTATCGTCATGCGCTACGCAGCTAACGTTACGCGGGTTACTAGCCGCTGAAAGGCACTACTGCAGCATTCACCACGTCCTCTAGGGCACAGGTCTCCGCTCAGGCGTTCTTCCATTTCCCGCACCGTGATGCGCATACGGCCTTTCAATACCTGCCGGCATCTGCGCCCGTGCAGAAGCTGCCAAGCAAGGTCATGGCCCTTCTGACCGGGGCTCACCACTCTGCCCTGTCTACGCTCACCACTCTGCCCTGTCTACGTCCGCAATACCGATGCTGATGTACGACACCGTCCACAGGTCAACGCTCCATTGATCAGTCGACTACAAAAACAATCATTGCGCAGGTGGACTTACGTCGCGCTCGGTGTGGTTCCCTTTCCAACAAAGAAACAGCATGGACGCCCGTCCTTCGACACCCACCGCATTCACAACCGGGGTACTCGCGTCCACGAGTCACGAGGAAATACAGGTAGCGGGTGCTGCTCCCGGAGAAATGGATCGATGACCGCTCGGCCTCCCTTCAACGTTACCGCCGATGGGCGTGTGGAAGGCCAATGATCATGAGTGTGCCACAAATTGCAGCCCACGCCAAATTCAAAGGCGTTCAGTATAGAACATGTTCCTCCCGGATCTTCGGAGGCGCCCGACGGTACGAACGTCGGTCCTCGCTTGCGCCTCGCTGACGGGGTTTCCGCCTTCCTCGGTGCTCCAGCCCCGGCCCGTACGGGTTCCGAGCGCACCCCATGCTACCCCATGGTTTTTCTACGGTATGGCTGTTGACGGTTGCGCTAATCCGCTGAAGCTAACAACGAGGAATTCTCTATCAGGTTGGGCCATGATTGTGGCGCCAACACGGACCCTCGAACGCTGGCAGTAGTTCAGCATCGCTTACGCGCCAACAGCTCAGCCTCAGCCACCAGCTGTCCGCGGTCACAAGTCCGAAGGCCGTTGATGGTGCGCTGGCCGTGCCCCGGAGAACCTGCCTTCCCAATCGGTACCTCCCCGCGGCCTTATAATTCTTTAGCCTTGGCGATCGATCTCGATCAGGGCCTTTCTAGGTCGTTGCTTTCAACCTGCGGGCACCCGGCTCTCCCCGCACGCAGCGCAGAAAAAATTCGGTGCTTCGCTTCTCTGCACAACCGCATGTGCGTTCTTTTGCGACGTCGTCTACGGGGACCCTTGATAGAACTCTCATGCAACACTTCAGCCAAGAAAGTGGACGTCGGTGGAGCAACCCGTCATCTGACGGACAGTGATAGGACTGTGCAGTGGATTCCACAAACTGCGCGGTGATGCGTTAGCGAGCGAACTCTAATATCGCGGGCGTTACCCCGCCCCCGGGCGGATCGATCACTGCATGGGGTCTCGCCCGAATGTGGTGGCAAGATGGAGGTCGTCGAGTATATCAGGGACCTGGGGTCGCAAAGTCTATTTAGAAGCCTGCCCCATTCGCCTGTGGCAGTCCGCGACGACCGTAACGCCTCCAACCGCACTCGACGCCTTTAAATGCCCCCGCATTCCCGGTCGTCTGCAGGACTTCGCCCCCAGAACCCCCACGCTGCAGGATCCCTCCGTCCGCCGGTCCTTAGTTGTACCTTACTGAATGGGGCAGCGCTATGACCCCGTCTGAATACGCTGCCTTCGTTAAGGATACTGATGAACTGTGAGTCGCGTGTCCCCCCTCCGAATTGTCCGGGGGCGTCTGATCTCTCATGTTTACCTTATCAGGAGAACTACCTTCGTGAGCCCCATTCGAGCTGTATATTGACGAAGCATATCATTGACATGGACGCATGCAGTATGTTGGCATCGCCAGCTTCACGGTGCTGATATGGGATCACATCGTGACTCTGGACGATGAGGTACGTTGTCCGCCATGAGTGGTAGCGTACCGGTGATCGAACCCCGTTTGCAGATCGAGTACATCTGGAAGCGCAAGAAGGGACTGCGTGCGTATCTATGGCTATCCGCGTGTATACCGTGCCCGCTGACCCCGCGCTACTAGTCATCTATCTGTTTTTCCTGGTATGCTTCTCGGACGTTACTATGGTATCCTATTCTGACACCCCAGTAGAACCGCTATTTGACCCCCCTCGGTTTCATCGTCAACTTGTTCGGTGAGTAGAGACGATTTTTAGTCGTACAATGTTCCTGTCAGTGACACAGACACCCTGTTTCAGCATATTTTTCACCCATATGGACTCCTGCAGTGAGTTACGCCTGCTCCGTAGTGTCTTCATCAGGCTGATCTTCCCGCGGTCTAAGATGTGGGTTCTGACGGTAGCGCGTCGCGGAAGAAAGTCTGACCACCCGCAGGTGTCAGCATTTTGTGCGGTACGAAGGCAGTATGACCGTCATTGGCATCAATACCACCGCCATCATGATGTTGCTTCGGTGAGTAGATTCAAGTCGGTTGAGACGAGCTTGACGCTGACGCCGAATTATATGTGCAGAATATACGCCATGTACGAGGGGAGGAGATGGGTAATCGCTTTCGTCACCGCTGTCTTCTTCGTCGAATTTGGAGTGAACGCATGGCTCATGACGCACGGCATTGGTACGAAAATACGAGCACTACGATGATCGCGCGCTCTAACCCTTTATGTAGCTGTCAGGCATACAGGAGGGATAACCGGTACGTATCATTCTCGAAACCCGTCGCCCATCCGGTCTAACCCGCGTCTGGCATAGCTTGTACCATGATCTTCGACCCCGACAAAGTGTACGTACTCGGTTGGCATCGGCGCTTGATGCTCGCATCACTCAACGAGGATACAGTAAAGGTCCAATCGCTTCCGCATCAGCGTGGCTCCCGCTCTTGTACGACACGATCGTCCTCATTTTCACCCTCAAGCGCACGTGGGGAGGCGTGAACCGGAGGAACCCCACTGCCGGACACATCCTGCGTATGCTGCTTAAGGAGGGCATCATGTACTATAGGTGCGTCGACCATCCAGCACCAGCACCGTCAGTTTCGGCGGGCTGACCATGTTCACTCCGCAGTGTCATCTTTACCATCACCCTCATCCTGACCTTGATGATCGTGTTCGCGCCCGATGGACTGAAAAATCTGACCGCACAGTACGTACACCATACACCACCTCCCAGAAACAGCTGTGCTAACCACATGGTGGCATCCGCAGAACTGAATACCTGTGAGCAGCCTCGGCACCTAGTGCGCCTCTGCGCTTCCGCCACAGCCTGACATTATCACCCATAGCATGACCGTCGCCATGATGTCGCGCATCACGCTCCACCTCAAGAAAGAGGCGCACGCGACCTGGGACTCGCTCGGGCTGTACAGCTCGGGTGACCCCATCCCGGTCTCCCCATCGTCTGGCCGCTACGCTGGTCTGCGCTTCGGGCGCGGGGCGGGCATGCGGGGCGGCGCATCGCGCGGCACGGCGGTACACGTTGCGATCCAGGAGTACTCGGTCACGCACGACGACCGCGGCGATGAGATCGGGCTGCCCGCGCCGACGCATGTGCACCACTCGAGTTCGTCGAAGCCAGGGCGCGAACCGCATGCGGAGTGGCACGAGCTGGGCCCGGTGCGCGTGAAGATACCGGGGGATGGGGGGAGGAGCCGCGCGTTCTAGCGCGGCGTTTACCGGTTGTTTTTGGTGGTGGATGACGCCGAACACTCTTTTACTTTAGTTTACTACTATACCACGACCTAAGGGGGACGAGTGTTGAGGCCTTGATGATTGTTGTGTGTGATTCAATAGTGTAGTATTACGGCTATCTATACGATATGTACGCGAAGCTACACACTCTGCTAATGGAAACTATATGCTCGTTTCCGTGCAGCGGTGCACGTCGTGATGCATCGTACAAACACTAATAATACATTCCAGCAGAGCTCCCTGGTGTTACAACAATCTTTACTACGGTCTACTATCAATGGAAGCTTTGTATCTGGACCAGCACGTTCTTGACGGTGTCGATGGGTAGTGTGATACGCTCCGCCTCGACATCGCCCACCAACAGCTGCTCCGGGTGCGCGTGCGACAGGAAGGTCTCCAAGAAGTCACCGTCCAAGAAGCCGTACGAGGCCTCTGCGTCGGTGTGCCCACGCGGAGTTGCAGGGGCCCGACGTCTATGTCCGGATACATCAGTACAAAAGCCTAGCACGGCTGGAGGGCTGGGAAACAGTACATACTTCGTGTGATTGACGCCCCCGGGGCCGATGAGAGACTTGGCCATGTTGCGCTGCAGCGCAGTCATGTGCAGCGACATCGTGTCGTTCATGTCCAGGATGGCGCCGATGCGACCTGTGGAGGTGAAGAACACATGACCCGCTTTGACGGCCTGGTCTTGCGAGACGTCGGCGGATGATAGCGCTCCTGGACGTGGGCGTGGTCAGTCGCGAATGTGTACACGCACGAAGGGCGGCGGCGGACCTTTGATCAGCTTGTTAACGACATCGTCGATGTGATAGACGCCGTTTTTCTCAAGACCGTTCCGTTGCGGGCCTCTTTGCAGCGCGAACGAGAACAAGTTGCAGTCACTCTGCAGACCAGCTATATCAGACCCCCGAACTCGGTATAAAACCAGGAAGACTCACGTTAGCACCTATCACACCGCCATTCCCTGTGCTCTCGATCGCAACAGGCCACAGCGGCGCGTAGTCGCGCGCGACGCTCTCGAGTTTCGTCGCATCGTCCGCTACACGCAGCACGGACACGGAGCTGATCGCGTCGCCGACGAGGAGGAACTGCCCGTCCCACACGAGGCTCGTCACGAAGTGGTTGTGGTTCCATTCCGCGGCTTTGTCGAGCACGCGGTCGAAGCCCTCCCCGAGGTTACCTTCCCGGATCTTGTAAAGCAGCACCTTCATGACGACGGTTTAGCAGCATGCAGACTGGGAGTGGGGCAGGAATGGTCATACCGATGTGTTGATGGCGGCTGCGATCACGCCCTCCGAGACGTGTTGGAGAGCATACACGCAACCTCGGACTTTGTGCGACGCGACGGTGGTCAGTGAACGCACGCCGTTTTCCGATGAGAGTGAGAAGAGCAAGATTCGTCCGTTGGAGGGCTCGCGCTCCTCCGGCCGAATAACTGCCGTTCCCAAACAGAAGGCCGGGCTTGACGCTGAGCCCTCCCCGGGCAGGGCGAGCACTGATGCAGGCTCTTCGTCGGGATCGCATTGGAAGTGGTGTAGCTCTGTGGCGAAGACATTTCAGTACTATAATCAGAAATCACCCTGGGGCAAACGTACGTTGGAACGAGTGCGCATCGAGTAGCTTGAACGAGCCGGTGATATCCTCGTTATCGCCCACCCGTCCTGGTGCCGTACGCGCGCATGCCACCCCAAATACCTGCTGTCCTGCATGGTATGCCATCTTCCTGGGATTGTCCATCCCGAGCGGAATCTAAGAGCAAACAGTGAAAATGTGAGGGACTGCCATCTCGAGGGGGAACGCGTACCGTTCGGATCTGCATCTTGTCTACACCCCGCACATTTCCGATAAGCAGCGCCGATGATGTAGCAATGGCCAAGCACGACGGGAATGCTGCAGTATTCAGCGTAGCCCCCCTCGCCATGTACTGTAAGGCCAACTTAAGTGGTGCTACAGCAGGTACGAACGCAGCAAACTGTACCTTGACCCCAACCGGCGACGGCCTGATTCGTTGCCTATCCCAGTATAGCACATTGGAACGCGCGCCACCGGCAAGCACGACCGTCCTCCCGTCCACTGCGCACAACGACAAGCTTGCCGGCGCGTTCCCCAGCGAACTCGCCTTGCTGTCGTGCAGTTCCCCATCGCGCAGCGCGAACGTCATCACGTTCCCGTCTGCTAGCCCCGCGAGCAGGTGCGGTCGGAAGTCTGCGTCCTTCGGCCGCGCCCCAGCGCCGAAGTTGTGCAGGAGGATGGAGCGCGGAAGGGTGGGCAGGGACACTTCGCAGATGGGCCCGAGGTATGAGGCGGGCGAGTCGAGCGAGAGGACGGCGATCTTGTTGGAGGACCAGAAGGAGACGGCGATGTGCGTGGCGTAGTTCTTGGTAGGGTCGAACGGCGTGCAGGAGATCGCGCAGATCTCGTCCGGGAAGTCGCGTGTCCTGTGGAGTAGCGTCAGCGACATGCGTCTTTGGGAAATGCGGGTGGGTTACGCACTTCACCACCTGAAGCGCGTCGTTCGCGCCGAGATTGAGCAACGCGAGCCGGCCGCCGCTGAGACCCACTACAAATTGACTGGGGCTCATCGCAGCGGCCACGATGTCTCTGCCAGCCATACTTGCGTCTCCCGACTTCTTCGGATACCAGCCCGCGCCGAATGGAGTGAAGCCATTGAGCGTAGGGTCATACTCGACGAGGCGCACGCCCTCGCTAGTGATCTGTGCTACCAGCGGGGAGTCTACGTATGAGGATGTCGTCCGGCCTCCGCTCGTGGTGGTCTGCCGTCGAGGTACGTTGCCTATAGCGTAGGTAGGCACATGTGTAGCAAAGCCCGCAACGGAGGGTTCGACGTGAGTGATCGTGTCCTGCCCCGCGAAGGACAGCACGAGCGTCTCGCGCGAGGTAGACACGACAAGGTGCGTGTGTGTGCTGCAAGTCATCGTCAGTAGGGACTTGCCTTGATACTAGTAGACGTTCTTACGCGTCATTGAAGCGGGGCCGTACCGGCCATATGTCAGTGATGCCAGGAAGCCCGTCCAGTTTGGCTTGTTCCTGGAAGTCTGCCTCTGTGCGTATCACGCGTAACGAGCCCGTGTTTCGAGCGCCAGAGGCAGTGATGACCTGAGGCTGCAGTAATGGTTGTCAATCGTGTCTCGTATTGACAGGCAGAAAACGTCGTAGTCCTACCTGGCCGCTCCCGTCTATGTCGGCAAGGACGGCGTCCATGATCGGGGCGACATTGTCGTGAGTCTGCAGCACTTCGAGATACGTCCCCTTGGTTTGGATCACCCGGCCTTCCCGGACAAGGCCGTCGTCTAGATCCATCGAGCGTCCTTTGCCTTTGCTAGGAGAAGACGCGAGTGCAGAGGGCGATACTGTCGACACGCCCTTGGGGATAGGTAACGTATCGACGCTTGCGTTCGCAATCGGAGCGGGGTGTATGCGCAGCTGCTGCGAGTCGCCAAAGTGGGAACCTACGTAGAGGACTTGGGAAGAGAGGTATGTTAGACTGGTCGCAGGAGACGTCTAAATTGGCCAATTCAGTATATCCACAATCAGGGGTGAGGATCCAGCAGCGTACCTCTCCGAGAGGAAGCAGTGTGAAGGCGACAGCGTCATTGTTGAAGGCTAGCATTGCAAGACGACCGAAAGCGTCGCCCAGCAAAACCCGTCTACATCTTGCGTCTACGGCAGACCATCTGGGTCATTGTTAGACTAAAGCACGCGTACTCGCACACCAGCTCCGCTACTTACGCCGTGATAGCGTTCCAAGGCCACTTGACTGTCGCCCTGGCCTTGATCTTCCGCGTCTCACGCTCCTTCTCTTTCTCCTTCGCTTTCGCGACTTCGGCTTGTACGGTACTCGAGAGACGCTTGCCCAATCGGCGCTGTTTCTCCTTGCGCGTGTCCTGCTGATCCTGCGAAGCGTTCTCGAAGAACATCACCTTCCTCCCACCGAGTACGAGCACCCCGCCGCGATGCGCGGGACCGGTCTCGTCTTCGTCATCCTCTTCCGATCCTGTGGAGTGTGAGGGTATGGGAACAAGAAGCGGCGCAGGGTCAAGAGACGGGAATGTGCGTTCAGAGAGCAGAGTAGTTATTAGCAGGTTCGAGTGCGCTGCCGAGAGTTCGAGATCCTCAAGTAAGACGTCCCGAGAGAGAAGCTGAATCTGCCGCTTGTGGTTCAGATGTAGCAGGGCCAGGGTAAACCGATCTTCGTCGTCAGTATACAGGAACGTGAACGCCAGCAGGTTGATCTCAGGCAGTCTGAACGGATGTAAGCCTACAGTCTCGCATGTGGAATCAAGATACGCACGAGACGTCGAAGGCTTGGCCCAGCTCGCCATCCTCTATTCGCACAACCTTTAGTTTCCCAGCATAACAACTCGCTATCACGACTTGTCCGGTCGGATCGACCTGGAAGTCGGTCACGAACTCGGCCGGGCGCGCAGCTTGGTCCATGAGCGAATGCGAGGTCCCCGACGTAAGTGCTGCAACGCCGCCCTCGGTGCTGTACGTCATGAGCACCAGCTTGGCGTCGGGGAGGTCTGTCATGACCAGCAGATTCGACTGCCCTTGTGTCTGATCTCGCAGGAGGTGCATGAGTACCCACGAAGACCTAACAGAGAACAGCGAATCGCGTACCCTTGCCGGGACGGCCTGCAGTCCTACAATCCTCCCCCACATATCCGTTGTACATTCCAGCTTCAGGCCACCAGGCTGGAGGGAATAGACTTCGATGCGGTTGGTCTTCGCGACGACGAGGTGCTCGAGCGCGGTATCGGGCGTTAGAAAACATTTGAGGGACCGCGATACGGAGGACGAGGGGTGGAATGTGCCGACGACCCTCATAGCGGCTATACCAGCTCAGTTCGACAAAGATGCAGGCACCCGAGGACACAGAACGAGAAAGCAGGAGAGCAGACGACCGGGGCGTGCTGAGTGAGCCCGCAACTAACCGTGGACGTCACTTCACATATACATAGCAGGCGCCCGGCCCGGACGATATAAGGCTAACTCCGAAGTCCCTCGATGCCGATCGGGATCTCGAGGGAGTTGAGGACGATGAATATATGCGAGGGCTGCACAAATACATTGTAGTAGGTATACAAAGGTAAGGCAAGGGCTTCGAGGTAGTGAAACGAGGAAACCAGAATCACAGCAGCAAGGGGAGATCATGAAGGCTCCGACTCCGCGGGACCCATCGACAGCGTCCCGTCCTCGTTCGTGACGATATTCATCCTCAAAGGGACGTCCTCTTCGTCTGTGCCTTCACCATCGTCTCTGGTGGGTTTAGAGACGAATTGGTCGAGCATCGTGGGTCCATGTGTCCCCTTCTCCTTCTCTTGCAGAGCCTTCGGTTTTCGTTTGGCCGGGGCCTCCAGCGACGACCAAGGAAATAGCTCTGCGCAGAGCGCGTCAGCCGGTAGTATTGACGCGGATGCAGAAGGGGTACGCACCTTCGAGAAACGCGAACTCTTCTGCCCTCCTCACCGTGGTAACTAGAAAACACGCCATTCAACCACATGCCATCGGATGAACGGCAAGGGCACATAACGCACTAACATCCTTCCCCTGCACCGTCGCGCGCCCCTCCCTCCCCGCACTCCGCTGAATCGCCTCCGTAAACCGCGCGACGAAGTCCTCCGTCGCCAGCGAGATGAGAAACGCAGCCTCGCGCTGTACCATGCACAGATCCTGCACCCGTTTCCCCAGGTCAGCGCCCGTCCCCATATGGCACTAGGGACACGCACCTTGTCCGCCTTCAGAATCTTCTGCACCCTGGAGAAGGGCAGCACCGACTTCCCCGGTTCTCGCGTGATGAGTGTCTCGGGGGCTTTCGCTTTCTTTGCTTTCGCTGGTGCAGCTTCTGCGCGTTTCTCTGCCAATGCGACCTCGGGCACCTCTGCAGCCTCCTGGGCCGGCTCTTCCGTGTCCATTGTTTCTAAAAGGGTGTCTTCAACTGCAGGTGTGGCTGGTCGAGACATGTCGAGGATAGGAGTGAGCCAAGGGCGAGAAGATCAAGGACGGGTGAAAGGCAAGACGCGTCCGATCCCAGCGCGTCAAACGCGCTACGTCACGCGTTCTGTCACCACATACGGTCACGCCTGCAGGGGAGGAGGGAGCTCTGGCGACCTGGATGCGTCAGCTTCTGTGCAAGTACGTCGGTGGGGCTACTTCGCTAAACGACCCTAATCGCACCAGGGGATCGTTCATAAAATCCGATACATTGCGACATGTAGCTACGCGAAACTGATGTACGGTGCACGATCCGAGTCCATTCGCCATGGCAGGAGAGATTGAGTACTATGGGGCGAGAAATCCAGACATCGGGGTTGTAATGATAGCGAGAAGAAAGACTGGGGACGGTCGTAGTAGTCATAGAAGGGGAGGTGGGTTGGGGATTACAGTCAGAACGAGAGACGACAAGAATCGCGTGGGGAAAAGAGGTGGAGGTAAGAAGTCATGCTGCAAGGTATGTACTACCCGTCCGTGAGCATGCTACTTCGTGGTATCAAGAATGTGGGGGCGCATTCAGTGGGTGGTGAAGAGGGAGACGGCGCCAGTGAACGCCTGCTGCAGCGGGCGGAGGAAGACTTCGATCTCGTCCTCGTCGGCGCGGTTCGGCGCGTAGTAGAAGCCCGACACGAGCACCACGTAGCTACGTAAACAAGTAAACGCGTCGTCAGTATCATCGCACACGCAAATCAGTATGGGAAGGAGAATGCGCACCTGAGGATGAGGATGCTGCCGCGGTGGTAGTTGCTCTTGGCCTCGATGTACGTGTACGTCATGAGGAAGACGGAGAGGATGATCGCGACGATGTCCCAGCGGGGGAAGATTAGCCTGGATGCGTAGTCGTGCTGTCAGCTGGGGAAACTTGGGAGTGATAGAAGGGACGTACGTGAACGTCTCGGCAACGGAGCCCATCCGCTCTGGGGCGTACCAGGCCGAGAAGGCGACCATCGCGGGAATCTGCAGCAGACACACTTGGAGCGCGTATGCAGAGCCGATTTCCATACTGCATACACGAGTCAATTCAGACTCGATGCGGTGCGGAGATAAAGACATACCTGAGCGCGATGTTGCCGTTCAGGGCAAACGAGATGGCGTTCATGAACTCAGTGGTGTTCGGGACGAGGGCGAACAGGGTGACACCGAGGAACTTCTCGTCGATGCCGGATCCTTCCAACACAACGTCGACGACGTCAACGAGGACCTCTGTGGTTCCAGACGGCGCGTCAGTACATCGCATATACACATCATGCATCAGGGAGAACGAACCAGCAATGATCGCATACAGCGCCGTGCACGCAAGCAACACGCTCGCACTCGTCGTCCTGCTCCACGACGGCGCGTCGTGTCCGCCATGTCCACCGCCGTCGTCCATCTCATGGCCCGAAGCACGCGCCCTCGCAGGCGACCGCGCCTGCTGGTGCCGCAACGCGCTGACGGTCGCAACCGCGACCGCACGCGTGAACTCGTCTGTCGTGATGTTGCCCGGGAGGTGCGACGGCTGGATGCCTGTGTCCTTCATCGCGTGGTCGACGCTCTCCATGATCGGCGAGAAGCCCTGCGTGTTGATCACCGGGGGGACCGCGTACGAGATGCGGCGCTGCATCCCCGGCTGCGCGAGGGGCGTGGGGACAGACGGATGCACGGCGGACGACGGGGTTGGGGGCGCATCGGGGGCGTGCTCGACGACGCGCGGGACGGGGGTTTCGCTGCGCGAGGGCGCACCGCTCTCGGTGTGCTGCGTGATGATGCTCGGCTTGCGGTGCAGGCTGCCCTTGCTCTGGCCGGGGATGAGCCGGTGGTAGATAGACATCCGCGATTGTCCGGGGAGCGGGGCGCCATTGATCTCCATCGGGTGCAGGAGTTGCTGGGGGTTCTGCCAGATTTGGCTCGCGTGCGTGCGCAGGGAGAACCAAAGACCGATCAGGTACGACTAAAGTGGTGTCAGTATAAGGGCAGAATGTCAAAGAATACTACTTACAAACAACAGGATGAATGCACACAGGTACATCATGCTCTTGACGGTTGACTGATAGAAAGGATCGTCGACGGGGTCAGGATGCTTGTAGTAGCAATGCTGGCAGATCCAAGGTCTAGTCAGAGACGACGAGCCATCCAAGTCGTCGGGGCATCCATCGCAGATGAGTTCGAACTGTGTCCAAATGATGAGCATCATGCAAATCCAGCGTGGACAAGCTACTCACGCTTCCGTAAGTCTGGTAGAAGAGTGTAGGCGCAATGGTGCCAATGAAGGCCATGATCAGCAGCATACTGGTGACTCCCGCGCTCTTCGCGTTGAACTTGTACTCCTTCTTCCGCAACGCGCCGCTGACCATACTCATGCCCGGCATCAGCAACACACCCGCGAGCAGACTGCCCACGATGGAGCCCTCGACAAGGTGGCCCTTGCCCTGGGTCAGCGCGATACCGTAGAGGATGATTTCAATGATGGAACCGAACGTCGCGTTGATCACTGCACCCATGCCGATCGAGGATTGAGCGGATATGGAGGCCACGGCCATGCCAATGAAGTACGAGAGCGGGATGACGCTCGCAAGGGCCATGACGAATATGAGCGGGCGCGACGTAATGAAAGCGAGAAACGCGGGGATGTGGTGGCCTGCGTGCTCTCGACGTTCTACCATTGGCAAGAGCACCATGCCGTCTAGGATTACGAAGAAGACGATCGGAAGCAAGTTGACGAAGATGATGTTGACACCCCCGACGGTGTACTTGTAGTACTTCCATCCCCAAGCGCGGTACGTGCAAAGAAGTACGGTGGATGTAGGCGACCCGGAAGGAGCAGCCTGACCCGCTGAGAGCCTCGCGTGTTTGAACGCAACCGGAGGCTCCGGCTGCTCTTCACCTTCCTCGCCCTCTTCAACTTCTCCGCTCGGGCTTGGAACCGCAACAACTGGAGCTGCGCAGAACCGGATAGAGGTGGGATGCTCAAAGAGATGCTTGATGAGGGCCCAGTTGAGTCTAGCCATGGGGATAGTGAAGATGAGGAACCAGCATATGAGAGATACCACAAGCATAAGAGGAGCGATGATAGAGGCAAAGGCAAGCCAGAAGCAAACTTTGCCAAGCCAGTCGGCCGTCTGGTTTTCCTTCGACATACCGATGGAGTATAGCGTCGAGGAAGAGGCTGTTGCGCCGTATGACTTCGCGGGCGCCGGAGCTGTTGGGTGACCATTCGCGTTCGCACCTCCAATTAATGGTGTGGTCGCGCTGGCGGGGTTTGGGACGCTCAACCAGGATACAGTGCTACCCTCCTGAGGGATGGCGGTCCGGGGTGTGATCGTCGAGTACGCAGATGGGGAGACGGGGGCAGTAGATGAGCCCGCACCGTTCTCGTCCACACCGTAGTCCCTGACCTCGGGCGAGTGATTGCCTTGTTCTTCGTCATCTGAGAGCGCGCCGAGTTCGCCCTCGACGTACTTGCCGAACGGCCATGCGATATACCACCCCAGGCCAAACACGAGGGTGGAATATAGCCGCCCACCCTTGGGAATGAAGAACAGCACCGCCGAGACGATAAAGCAGACAACGGCCAGCCACCACCCGAACGCCACTAACCAGAAGATGTTGCCTGGGAGGAGATGACGCTCGGCCTGCGCAGACGGGACTGAGTGTAGCGCTTGGTCGGCATAACGCGTCACTGAGCGGGACTTCTTGTAGAGCGCGGGCTTCCATATGGGCAGACCGAACGGATGTTCGACGTTGATGAGTGACTGACGGTCCCTTAGCGTAATGGGGTCCTCTTCTCGAACAGACCCCTCGTCGTCGTTCTCGCCGTCCCCTTCCCCACCTGCTGGAGGAGTGTCGCCTGAGTCTTCATTATCCTCACCCTCACCCTCTTCTTCATCGTCCTCCTGTAGATCCTTGGCGGTAGCTCGGGAAGCGACACTCGTACTCCTCGTCACCCGCCGTCGTGTGGAGCTCGTGATCGATACGTTCCTGCCCGTGTTAGCCGTGTGCACGCGACGCGGGGTCGGTGAAGATGGACGCTGGGTGAAGTACGACGTGCCCTGGAGGTGGTGCACTGGGGTCTCCGGGATGGACCAATGGGAGCTATGGCTCACGCTGCGATAGAGCGGGCCGCGGACGCCCGTAGGGGTCGAGCCTGGTGTCGAGGACCCGGTGTCGTCCTGCTCGGGCTCCTCGTAGTGCGCGCCGCTAGACATCGTGGGCAGTCTGCCGGATGGGTGCGAGGAGGAGACGTAAAAATCTGAGCCAGCAGACGGGGAGTGGCAGAAGGAGGGCAAGTTGCTACGCGCCCTGCGTGTCGCGACTCGCCCAGACGTCACCGGCACGCGCTGCCGCCCGGCGCCAATCGGGTGTCCAGATGCGGGGGCAGATCTCCTGCGGCAGCCTAACAGAGCTCGACCATTTCCGCTACTTTGCCTCCCTTAGCATGCTCCATAAATCATACGAGCCGTCGGAGCTTTCATTGGTTTCACTCCCGGGGGTGTTACTGAAAACTGCGCAGAGCAATACTATGCACAGTCGCCAAGGAGTTTCGTCTCCAGTGCGTACTCCATTATTTAGTAAGACTCGAAATTGTTGACACGAAGCTCGGAGAGCATCATGTATTGGCACCAGTCAGTTCGATAGGCTTATACGGAACCGAATGGAAATAGAAGGGTACCAAACCCGCCGACAACGCCCCGTGGCTGAAGACATTGAGAGAGTCGACCCCGGGCTCTTCGATAGGTCCGCTGGTGAGCGGCGAGTTCGAAATCTTCCCATGTTTCCGCTTGTGGGTGGACGGCACACGGTGGCGTGTGCATCTAGCAGCGCGATTGGTGCAATGTGGGCTTGTCGCGGACAATAGCTAATGATGTTCCCTAGGTAAACGTACCGATGAGCATGCACCAGCTGCAGGGACGATAGCGCTCTACTGCCAGCTGCTGCCGCGCTCGTAGCGCACGACTTCGTCGCCTAGTACTCGCCGTATACACACTAGAACTTAATGTCTCCCGTAAGCAGACAATAAATGTGACAACACGCCCTCACGACATACATTCTGACAACCTCCTCCCCATTAGGTCGAGCTCTACGTTGGATGAGGGGACTCGCGCGTGCCCGCGTTCGAAGTCACCATGTCCATCCAGAGTTCCTCAGCATTACCGACAAAGACAGTCTTGGATATTTGTTCGGACAGCTTCGCAACTTATTAGAGTATGATGCGGTGTAAGCTAGGTACATTACATCCATTAGTGCATGATGGTATAGTGCGTAAGCCAGGTGGTATCGACGTGAATGGACTCGTAAAGGTGAACGACAGGACAGCAGCAACGAAAACGCGCCGTTATGTGGGTGTATCGTGCAACAACAGCAGCAGCGGTGAAGGAGCATAAACGAACGGCGGGGTGCAGGGAGGGAGGATCTATATCGCGAGGGGGATCTATCAAAACACACCACGGCCAGGGGATGCGCCTTACTTGCGCAACACCTTCTCGCGCAGCTCCGCGCCCTTCAGCCGCGCCCGCAGGTACTCCAGCCGGCTCTCGTACCGCGCAGTCACCTCCCCGCGCCGCCGCCGAATGTCCGCCAGCTCGGCCTCCATGCTCACCAGCTCGTCGTCGTCCACCTGCGCCGGACCCGCCCGTCGCCCACCCGTGCCCGTAGACCCTGCGTCGGAGCGCGCCGCGGGGGATATTGGGCTGTGTACACTGGACGAGTCTGCCCACCGCGAGTCGCGCTTCGAGCCTGCGCTCCGGATCGGCGCCGACCGTAACGGTTTCCCTTCGGCCTCCTCCACGGTCTCCAGGGGCAAATGACCTGTACTGCGCGCCAGGTTGACGCTCGAGCTGCTCGCGCCAAGGCCAAGGTGGCCCAGAAGGTTGGGGTTCGGGAGCGACGGCGCAGTCCTGCCCCGCGAGGATACAGAGGAGATAGAGCCCTTGCGCAGGAGCGCGTGCTGCTGCGAGACCAGGGTCCCGACAGAGTTAACAGTCCGTATCTTCCCCCCGACCGAAGGCGCGCGCTTCGCCGACATCGTGGTCCGCCCGGAGCCGTTCGATTTATACGAGATCGCGTCCGCGTCCTTGGCAGCCCGTATGGATCGCTTGTCGCTCCCTGGCCAGTTCGGGTCGGAGAGCGGGCCGTGCGAAGGAAGCGGCGGTATCACCGGGGGTTTGCGCTGCCGTCGCGTTAAGGTCGAGAGCTCTAGCCCGTTAAAGGCGTCGAGCAGACGCCGCCCTTCGGCTTCCACCAGCTCTAATTGATGTCGAATGTCCTGCACGGACTCGACCGTGTCGTCGTCGGGTATTTCGCTCGTGCCGATGGGGGTATATGCGGGCTCCGCGGCCTTGGGCACGCCGTGGAACGCGGATGGCGGGGCGGTTCTACTGCCGGATCGTGTTCTTGTGCGAGCCGCAGCGCGGGGCCCAGGATCGGTTGCGCTGAAGGTGTGGTTGCTGATGACCCTGCGGCTCGTGCTCTGCGAAACGCGGGATGATGTGGATCCATTGGTCTGCAGCGACATCTCACTGGCTTGCTTCGAGAGCCGCCGGGGAAGGGTAGTGCGCTCCGCGGGAGTGGAAGCCATAGAGTATACACTCATGCCGTCGCCGCCGTTCGCGTCCACGGGCATGGAGACAATTCGGCGGCTGGTAGCGCGGCGCAGGAGACCGGTCACGGTAGAAGTGAATGAACGCTTGGACTGCACGGAAGGGGAACGAAGGGAAGGCGACTGAACGTGGAAATTGGAAGATGGACGGCGCTGGTGCGACATGGAGTCTTCATTTCCCATAGATGAATGAATGGGGCATCCAGGGAGCGGGGAGCGGGAGACGTACTTCGTGGCTCAGCAGATGATCCCGCTGGCTTGGACATGGGTACAAGGGGCGCCTCGACGGGTACGGCGGACCCACTGGCGAAGCGTTCGAAGAGATTTTGGCGGAGTAGGCGGTACTCATCGTCGCTACTCCGACCCCCGACGATCAGCAGACGCTCTAGGAGAGATATGATGGCACGCACCTGAGCAAGCCCTCCGAGTTGGCCGTAGCAAGTTCGTTCAGTCGTTGGGCTAGTGTTACCCTACGGGACATATCTGTCAAGAGGCAGGAGCTAGCGGGACCAGGGGGCACTCACGTAATGACATCCGTCGACGAGCGAGAGCCCGACATATCGCTAACATTCCCGGCACGACGCGGAGAGACGGTGGAAGAGCCAGTCCAATTTCTCGATGTGGAGGTGCTGGTGCGAGGACCACGGAGGGAGCCAACTACGGAGCGTTTGTCGGCCTTGTTGGTGGCAAAAGAGGCGGTGGAAGTGGCGTTGGCGGGGGCAGTATAAAACGAGGGCTCTGCCTCCCGCTCTTTGCCCTTGGGCTTGCCATACTGAATGGGGGCGCGTGTGAGGGCTGTCTGCCTGCCTGCATGGATGAATGATGCGAGCTGACGTACGAATCTGGAGCGGATAACGCGGACGACGGCGGGGTCTTTGTGGATTGTGTTTTCGACTTCTTCTGACCGCCGAGCAGAGAAAAACCCCATCACTTCATGCTGGTGTTGCACGAACCGTCCGCGCCCTGCTCGCCGTTGGACGAGCACGCGCGTCACGCGGTGTCACAAAGCATCACGCGTGACTCGCCGACTTCTCCTTTTCTGGGCTTGGCGCACGTGGCAATAAATGAATCGGACCACTGTACACGGGCGCCTGGTCGACGCGTCGCGACATGATCCTCGCGCGCGGCTTCGACGCGTTCTCACGTCCCTCTTCCTCCTTCCACCATGTCCCCCTCCGCCGTCTCCAAGACGTCGTCCGAGGTGAATCCCCGGACGACGCACTATGAGTTCCTGGGTCCTCCTGGCGCATTTGCCATCAGCTTTGGCGTGCCGTTCATGACATATGCCCTCTACTTCGGCTGCTCCGAGCACACCGGTGGCTGCCCGCCCCCTGTCGACACTGCGCTCATTCTCGACTCGCTCTCCAGTCTCGAGTGGTGGAAGGGTCTCTGGGACACCCAGGCGACGCTCTTCTACCTTGGCTGGTATGCGTTCATCGTCGCGTCGTGGGCAGTGCTCCCCGGTGACTGGGTTGAGGGAGTTACTCTGCGCACCGGCGGGAAAAAGAAGTACAAGATCAACGGTATGCACACCCGCGTATTCTATGAAACCCCCGTCTCATGACTCGGCAGCATTCTCCACCTTCCTTCTGACTGCGGGCATCACCGCGGGCATCATCTATCGCTACGGTCCTCAGCCACTGACCTTCATCTATGAGAAGTGGGTTGGTCTCACCACCGCCGCCATCCTCATGTCGATCGTACAAGGTCTTGGCTGCTATCTGGCGTCGTTCCGTGAGGGAGCTATCCTCGCGCTCGGTGGTAACAGCGGCAACCCCATCTACGATGTAAGCTCCCGTCATAGCACCCCGTAAACCCGGTGACCAACAGTTTACTCCCAGTTCTATATTGGTCGCGAGTTGAACCCGTCCATTGGCTCGTTTGACCTGAAAACCTTCAATGAGCTCCGCCCGGGACTCATCTTGTGGGTGCTGATTGACGTCGGTTTGGCGTGCGAGCAAGCGGTGCGCCGCGGAGGAAGCATCACGGACTCGATGTGGCTCGTCCTTGCTTTCCAGGGGTGGTACGTTGTTGACGCTCTCTACAACGAGGTATGTACATGGCCGTTCTCGATGCTGTCAACCATACTTACACTCAATTAGCCCGCCATCTTCACCACGATGGACATCACCACGGACGGGTTCGGCTTCATGCTTGCAGTTGGAGACCTTGCCTGGGTTCCCTTCGTCTACTCTCTCCAAGCTCGTTACCTCGTCTTCAACCAGGTCGAGCTCGGCCCTGTGAACACGGCTCTTGTGATTGCTGTTAACCTGGCTGGCTACTATATCTTCCGCTCATCGAACGGCGAGAAGAACGACTTCCGGAATGGACGCAACCCCAAGAGTGAGTCGAAAGATTATGGGTTCTATACGTGTACTAACGCACATATGCGCCACAGACCTCCAGTACATGCAGACCGAGCGCGGCACCAAGCTCCTCACCTCCGGCTGGTGGGGCAGGTCCCGTCACCCGAACTACATGTACGCTTCTTCTGGCGTTGCGGTGACATCTGAAAACTGACCGTCCCGTTATAGGGGCGACTTGTTGATGGCCTTCGCGTGGTCTCTCCCGACAGGGTTCAACACCCCAATCACCTACTTCTACGTCATCTACTTCGCGGTGCTTCTCATTCACCGTGAAAGACGAGATGACGAGGCGTGCGAGAAGAAGTATGTCGTGCCGGCATCCATGTCTAACCTATATTGACCTCCTTATTTCAGGTATGGCAAGGACTGGAAGAAGTACAAGACCCTCGTGCCTTGGCGCATTGTCCCGTACGTGTACTAAGGGCCCAGCGGTTGTGTGGAACGGAGCGAATATCATGGACTTCTCGGACTTTGTTAGTGGTATGGATCTGTGCTTGAGTTCAGTTCCGGTCTGTGTCGTAAAACCGCGGTGCTCGTCGCGCTGTATGAACAACGCACATAATAATGCAACGCCAGCGTTCCGCCTGAAATCAATCGCTAGGATAATGACGTCCTTGCTGCACCCCCATTATAGACGCCGCCCGCACCCATGTGGATACAGTCCGATACACCATCGGACACCGATATTGCGGATCTGTCAGCAGGGAAGCTGAAGCTGACTCGATGAGGCGCAGTCTACGACCCGCTGACAGTGACAACTTTCCTGCAGACACAAAGGCTGTCCTGTCACCAAGTGTTTCCCTTCACTTGCGTTCTGCATTGCCATCCCGAAACCACAATCACACCAATGACAGAACCTATCATTTTCTATGACATCCCTAGCAAGGATTCGCCCTCGAAGGCATGGTCGCCGAACACCTGGAAGACAAGGTATTGACTGCCTAGATAACAGCACGCATGTACAGTCGAACTGACCTGTCCGCCCACGCCCCAGATTCTGCCTAAACGTAAAGGGCATCCCATACAAGACCGTCTGGGTCGAGAACCCGGACATTGCGGCCCTCATTCGAAAGATCGGCGCGCTCCCGACCGACGTGAACGACGACGGCACTCCATACTACTCCCTGCCCGCGATCTACGACCCGAACACGAAGACCGCGCTCGCGGACTCCGCCGCCATCGTGCGCTATCTCGATCGCACGTACCCGGACACGTACTGCCTCGTCCCTGCGCACACGGACGCGCTGCACGCCGCGTTCGGGCGCGGGTACGGCTCGCTGCTCACGCTGAGCCCGATCATCGTCCCGCAGACGGTGCACCTCCTCCCGCCGCGCAGCGCGGAGTACTTCCGCACCACCCGCGAGGTGTACTATGAGAAGAAATTGGAGGAGGTCTCGCCGCCCGGGAGCGCGAAGCGCGCGGAGTTATGGGCCGGCGTGGAGAAGGCGTTTGCGACGTATACGAAGTGGCTCGCGGCGGGCGGGGAGGAGCAGCGATTCTTCCTGGGCGAGAACATTGGGTACGCGGATGTGACGATCGCGAGCATCTTGATGTGGATGCGCGTCGTGTTTGGGGAGGAGAGCAAGGAGTGGAAGGAGGTGACGGCTTGGGATGGGGGGCGTTGGGCGAGGCATGCGGACTTCTTTAAGAAGTTCGAGGCTGTGGATGTGGGTGAGGCTGCTGAGATCTGAACTGTGTATCCCATGTATGTACTGGCATCGTAGGATTGTCGCAGTACTAGTGTTGTATTCCTTGTTGATAACTGAGATTTTGAACCTACAATGTTACTACTTACAACAACTCTCTGGATAGCTGATGATGGCACGGTATCAACCATACATCACACCTACGCTCACCTCGTGGTGAATTCTGTGGACCGCCACAACGCGTTGAGAGCCAGAGCCTGAACCAGAGGACCTCGACTCGCCTCAGGAGGGAGACGGTGTACCAAATATTTCAACTCCGACACTTGCAAGTACTTTGCTATTACGCCTCGGACCTCGGAGCCCTCTCCTTCTCTCATAACATTTACTGCTGCAACGCCGCATACAAGAAGCTCGTTGAAAGCTTCCATTGTATCACGATGAGTATCTTTCGGCAGGTCGCTATACAAGGATCACTGTTTCAGCATGCCAAACGTTATCATAGATACTAACATATCTTATGCACAGGACCTATCATAGCAAAGATTTTGACAGACGCGATGCAGCGCATACGTACCACTACTCCTGCAGCTTCTCTCGTAATCTGTCATGCAGAAGCGCCATGCTATTCATTTTACCAGCTTTAGTATGGCGCACACTCAAAACTGCATATCCATCTGAACGTTAAGGCCTCAACCAATTTGTAGCCCGCCCGCCCCCTGCGACTCCGCGACTCATGGCTACGTTTGACTTGGTCCTTGCCCGTGGCGATTCCGAGGACACCCTTCTTCTGGAGCGATATTTTCTTGCTGGAGACCTCATCATCGGCATAGGATACGGCAAGTGTCTCGTTTGCATTGTGTCAGAAATTGACTCATGTCGACCATGGCAGGATTACAACTCGTCCTTTGGTTCCTATGCACGTCATATTTGTGGCGGAAACGCAATCGAGGATGGATGTCAACCCTCCTCTTGGTTTATCTTGCAGTCCTCTTGGGAACCGAGACCATATTCGTCGTCGCGGAGGGCCTCAATATCCAGCACATTTACGTCGACAGTCGGAATTTTCCTGGAGGGCCGTGGCAGTACCATCTGTCTTCCCAGACATCCGCAGCGAACGTCACCTTCAATGCGAGCATCTTCGTATTGACGTTCCTCGGAGATCTTCTTGTCGTAAGTTTTCGCTCCATCTGCGCATCTCCATCAACTCACGCCTGGTGCATAGCTTTGGCGCTGCTGGGTTGTCTGGTCCGCCTTCGACACCGGGATCGCAGTCATCGCTGTCACTCTCCCGGCGCTGATATTGTCGGGATCTTTTGGTGTGTGTCTCCTTCCAGCAAATTTCTTTGCTCCCGTCAGTTTCTGATCAAACAACGGCCGGTCAAAGTCCTCGGCGCTATATGGACTTTGCAGTCTAGCCATCCCGAGCTGGCCATCTACCGCTCGGTGCCGCTGGAATTCGGCACGGCCTACTACGCTGTTTCACTCGCGTTGAACGTCATTCTCACGGCCCTCATCACCGGACGTCTCCTTGCGTATCGCCGTGCGCATATGGCGCTTCTCCCCGAGGACCATGCGCGGCAGTATCTGTCACTTGTAGCGATTGTGGTCGAGTCGGCGGCAATCCACACTGCGTTCGCCGTTGCGTTTGTGACCTCATATGGTCTTAATGCCCCGGCGAATGTACTGCTCATGGGGTTTGCGTCTGCTGCACAGGTGCGTTGATTCACAGTTGAGGAAGGACTTCTATTTGCTGACGTATAGGTTCAGCAAGTCGCGAGCTACCTGATCATCTACCGGGTAGCAGATGGCAAGGCCTGGTCCAAAGACACGCCGCGTCTCGAAACGATCAGCTCACTCAAGTTCGCTTCGCATGAAGAGGAACCGCTGCCACATTCCAGCACTCCGGACGCACCTCTCAGCCCGATGGATCCAGAAAACCAGAGCGAGGATGGCGCTGGCGGTTGACTCTAGCAGACATTCGGTCGTTCCTCTCATGATAGGCAGAGGTATGCACGTTATGCTCGCATAACTAAATGACATCTTCAAGTTGTCGCTATTCATCCCATGGCCATAGACCGATCATACCGGTTCCGATTTTTGCGGGTGTTCACTTCCCATGACATAGACAATCTGTCCCACTACGGATGGGTTCGCACATCGGCGTGTCGCCACGTTGGGCTCGGATCACATAGGTGGTAGGAAATACTGCGCCGGCGTACGTAACAAATGTCAACTTGTGAGCTCTCTGGCACGGTCGGCCATCAAGCAATGACCCGCCCTAAGGCTCAGGTTAACTGTAAGTCTCGACCCTCCCGACAGCAGCAGGAGTATTACCTCTGGCACTTGCCTCGCAGCTGAGTGTAGGGAGGCGTTACAGTATTCTGATGTGTGGCGCGTCAGTGTCGCAGCGACGAGCTGGGTGCCTGAAAGCGCGGATATGTTGATCGAGGCCAACAGCACCGCCACGCTCTCATACATTCCCGTTCCCCCGGCGCAGCCCTTGCGGTGAGCCTAAGTTTGGCTCCTTACAACTTCCAACCAAGTACAGCAAAGTTCGCGCTCTCGTTCAGTACTCAGTCCTCGCACAATACGCTCACCGGACAACAGTTGGATATATTATGCGACAACGACGTCTCTGGAGCATAGCCGCGCCGCAAATTACGCCAGCGGCGGCCATGCGACGGACTGGGGTCAATGTGATCGCGATCTGCTCTCGTCTTGATCGGACTCCCGCCATTTAGCCGACACGTTCGCCAAGGAGGCCGCCACGGCATCGTTGCAGGAAAGGTAAGTGCGCCTAGAACACGCGGAAAAATGCTGACCGACAACCCATTTCGTAGCTGAGACGGCCAATAACTCATCGGTACCGCCCATCACATCTCTTGAGGTCTTCCCTTTCGCCGCCATTACTCGCACGACTCGCCCATTCCCTGCCTGAGAGCGTGTATACGCTCGTCAATCCCCTTTGGTCGTCAGGGCCGCTCAGCAACTAAGGGACCCACTGCTAGCTCCGACATCTCGGACACTGTAGCCTGGGCCGTGGCAGGTCCATCTCGCCTGGTGGCTCATTGACACTGCTAGCCCATCCTTCGTCCGTCTCTCCCACTATCTCTTCTCGGAACCAACATATACCTTCCTGGGCTTGGGTGTGAGCTCTCCATGGTCCGATTATCTTACTTGCTGTCCCACGCTATCGTCGGGTCCTCTCTCTGGTTCGCTGTGGCTGGCGTTCGAGCTGCGGGGAACACGACGTGCGCGAGCGGGCAGCTGGACTGGTACACGAATGTAGTGGGAGAGACACCTTGTGAGTACTGCCTGTTCTTCACGCGACGCGTCAGCTCACAGCTCTGGATGACGACGCGTAGGCGCCACCTACCAGCGACTCAGACAAATATGCAATCCCGATTGTAAGTCTCGGTCTTATACTCAGCCATGAATTTTGTCATTTACCCTCTCTTTGTCTCTCGAAGACCAGGTTGGGCAGTTCCGATCGCTCACGCCCGGGGACAACTGCGATGATCAACTTTGTACGTTGACATTCATACCTTCCTCGCTCGCACGAGCAGGCTGACCGTTCGATAGCCTCATGTTGTTGTAACTCCGTGTCATGGGCGCTGAGTATGTTATGCATGAAGTACGTCTGCACCTCTTTCTGCGCTGAGCATCTGATATAACACCTGTCCGTTAGCTGCCAATACGACACTGCTAGCGGAGATGTTGGCATCGATGCCGGTTCGTCGTTTGACTTCCCCTTCTCCACTGTTTATCTGACAAAGGGTTTGCAGGGACCGGCGGATACGGGTTGTATGCGGGGACATGCGGAAAGCCGCTGAACAAGACGTATGGGCCTATCTCTTTTCCACGCATCTATGTAGTTGTCTCATCCGGATCCAAGGCTTCCGACCGATATCCAGACTGCAGTCTGCAATAAGGAGATCAAGCTCGACAGGAACCTCTACTCTTTATTTTGGGACACAGGCGCATGGTGAGTTTATTCCATATCATGCAGTGCTATTGGTGACTGACCATTGTGAACAGGTTCTAGTGAGTATTCTTGTATACGAAGGTATATTCTTCTTGACCTTCTCTTGTAGCATATACACGAAACAGACGATGTCGAAGGATTTCGCCGCGACGAACAACAACACCTTCACGCACTGTAACTCCACGCTCAAGGCGTCAGCAGCTGCCAGCTCCTCCGCGTCCGCGTCTCAGACCTCGCTGTCCCCAACTTCCTCCTCATCAGGGTCGCCTGATACCACTGCCAGTGGCTCCGCAGCGGGAGGCAAGTCTGTAGCCCCCATCATCGGAGGCGCGGTCGGAGGAGCTCTCGTCGCCATGGCCTTGGCTGCTCTGGGGGTGTTCTTCTACCGCAGGAGTCGCCGGCGACGAGGCCCAACGCCGCTCGACCTCAGTAAAGAATACACTCCGTCAGGCGGCTTCGTAGATGATCCCTCAATGGGTGTCGTCACCCCGTTCTCCGCGGCATCAGTGCAGCAGAGCAGTACGTGCAACCCTTTCCGCCGCCGCCGCACCCTGCTGACGCTGACGTCCCCGTAGATTCCGGGTACGGAGGAGGGCAGGCGCTGTCGGAGGAGTTCGCGCTGCTCCCACGAGGATACACGAGCCCCCACGGCGGGGAGAAGGCCGGGCCCTGGGACAGCTCGCACTCGCTCGCCAGCGACGCCGGGGAGCGGCACGAGGACGGGGGCCCGGTCCCTGCGCTCCAACGCTCCGTGTCGGGGAGGCTGCCGCCTGCGTACCGCCAGTCGTGGGATGCGTCGGACGCGGGCACGTCGCCCGTGGACGCGCCGGAATACGCGCCCCCCGCGCCGTCGGAAGGGAGGAGTGGGAGCGTTAGCACGGGGACGGGGACGGGCAGTGGGGTGGCCGGGGCGTCGCGGGCGCCGCTGCACCTGCATGGGGACGTTAAGAGGCCGCTGCCGCCGCCGTCATAGCGTTGGTCAAGGACTGCCTGCGAGTCGCACGTCACGGACATATGGATACCCCAGTCTTAGCTCTCTCGCATGGTGTTCTTAGGTACTTCTTGTTGCATTCGCTCGTTTGGAACGCTCACGTCTGTCATGTTAGTACACGTACGACCCTGCGCGTAGCAACGCCAGGTCATTAATTTATGGTACACTGATGATTCTAGATGATCGACACGCTTGTCCCGCGCGGCGATATGCACAGTGCTCACGGTGCTGCCCGTGAATTCATCAAAATCTACATAGCAGAGGTACGTGGATCCCGCATCGCAACACCTATCCTACACCCGACTAGAACTGCACCTCTACCGGTCCGCGCCTAATCACCATATCGCGCCCAACCATGACACACTGGTTCTTCGGGATCAGCTCCCAGTGCTCCTCCTTATAAGTCGTCGGCTCGCTCGCGACGATGACATGGTCCCCGTGCTCCTCCTCCGCCCTGAAGTTCCCCGCGCCGTTGTCCGCTCCAGCGACGTCCGGGTGCCCCGGGAACTTCGTGTTCAGCGCGACGCCCGCGCGCGTCGACAGGTACAGCGACGGCGGGTGCTCCGCCGCGTGGTTCCGGAAGCGGATCGCGAGCAGCTGCTCCCCGTCCGTCACCGCGATGTTCAGGCTCGACGCGTCGGGGGCCTTGCCTGCGCGCGCCATCGCATCGCGCTGCAGGCCGAGCACGGTGCTGATCGCGCGCTCGAGGCAGCGCTTGAGCTCGTCGAGCGGGTGCGCGGCGTCCCACGCGTGCGGCCCGCGGCCCTCCTCGAGGTACGTGAAGAAGAGCGCGGCGAGGAGCTCGGAGTCGGTCGTGCCCTTGACGAGGTCGTGCGCCCCGTCCGACAGGGCCAGGGCCATCGCGCGCTTGATTTCTGGGAAGTGCGCGACGACGCCGTTGTGCATGAACGCGTGCCGGCCGAAGGTGAAAGGGTGGTTGTTGTAGGTCGTGATCGCGGTCGCGCCGGACGCGGCGCGGATGTGCGCGAAGACGGCGTGCGCGGCGGTGCCCGCGCAGAGGGATTGGAAGACGGGGTCGGTTTGGGGCTGCCGGAGGATCTTGTAGGAGACGGGGCGCGGGCCTTGGCAGGCGCGGAAGTCCGAACGCGCGTTGGTGTACCTGCATGTGGGGCGGGGTGAGTAGGTGCTAGTTGGTGAGTGGGGGGAGGGTTGGGGTGGGGCTCACCAGACGAGGCCGAGGCCGTCGAGGTTGTAGGGACTGTTGCGGAGGCTCATCTCCTTCTTCGTGGACTTGTGGTCGGCATCGGGCTCGTAGTGGAAGAGGTAGGGCAGGAAGCGGTCGTGCACCTGCTTCGCGATCGCGTGGTCGGGCAGGATGAGCACGTCCTCAAGCAGGCACGGCTCGGTCGTCGAAAGGTACGCAAACCACCTGCACATCTTGGCTTGCTGGTCTGTGACTGCTTTGCGCGAGATCGCAAGGTATGGCGACAGTACTTAGGACGTTGTGCAGCCACTGAAGTACTGACGTCTAGGTCGCCGTCTTTAGAGGCTCCATGTTGCCTCGTGGGCGGGGCTCCACACCGCTCATGATGCACGAAACGTGGGCGACTGTGGGGCGTAGGCCATGCAGCGCTGAAATGCTCTCTGCTCGACGTTATCTGCTCGAGCAGATACTGCGATTCGATGTTCAGGCACGGCGATATGCTTTGTATCCTGCGATGGGTCACCGGTCCCGGGTCACATTGCCCCAAAGTTCAGCGCGCGAGCGTTCTCCGTTCATCTGCGAGGGACGAGCGTTGATGCGAACGCGCGTTGGTCCAGAATAACTCGCGCCATCGTGGATGTGGACGCTCGAGGCCAGGGCGCGTTCGCAGGAGCAAACTCTGCTATGAATCGAAGGCGAAGAGAGATACAGAATGGGTGGGTGGCGGCTCGAGCAAAATAGCTTGCCGCATGCGATGATAGAAGGTTTATTTACCAGCATCGAGATCGCAGCTGGGGAGCAATGTCAATATGACACTAGAGTATCGGCTGCCTAGACGTGAACGAACAAACGGCCTCATTCAAAGCATCCATATACCCTTCGAGGAAGATATTGTTGAGTCGACCACCGGAGCGTGGCGATTGGCGGAAGGCGGTAGCATCTGTCTTCTTCACTTTCCGTGTGCCGTTCTCAGACGGGTCATTATAGGGAAGCTGATTGTGCACATGCTACAGAGCTATAGTTAGAATCGCGACATCCAAGGGACCCGCGGCAGCGCTTCAAAACTCAACAAGGGTTGGCTTTTCAGAATCAGAATGCGCACCGCATACCTATTGACCTAACCTGTATGAAATATATGCTAGCGACCTTCAATGCTCCAAGCAATGAAAGAGATATGGATGGCAACTCATCTCTTACCTGAGAACTTCTGAGCTGCTACGGTTCTGTCGACGATGTTTGAGTGACGTTCCCAACACGGGAGACAATCGGATGAGGAGCTGCCAGTACCGCATGAATAAGGATAACGGCTTGTCGCATACTGATCGTAACATGTCCGGGTGGCAAGTTTAGTGTCTTCTCGAGATCTATGAAGTACTCACAAACGTCAAGGAAGCACTGCATATACAAATAAACTGAGACGTGCATCACATCCGGAGGTAACAAACTGCCACCAGGATCGCGATCGCAATATCCCACTAAAGCATCAACTGCCTAGGGGCTGGTCGGCCGTCGCAAAGAATGACGTCGCACCATCGAGATTTGTTTGAGGAAATAGTAGAGAACATCCCCGATTGGGAAGGGCGCTTATAGTCTGGACTTAGCGTTTTTTGCGCGAAGAGGGCCCGCCATTCGTGTTCCCTCCCCTCCCTCGCTCCGCTCGGGGGGTCCCCCAAGCCGGGAACACTCAGGCGGGTACACTAAAGCCTCGTTCGCGTGTTATTCCAGACCGGCTCCCTCTTGGGGGGAGAGGAGGTTGGAGGCGTCTAACCCCGGCAAAACCCGAACCCTAATCCCGAACCCTAATCCGAACCCTAATCCGAACCTTAACGGCTTCTTTTGCGACGTCATTCTTTGCGACGGCATGACAGCCCTGCCTAGGACAAATGACAAATGACGAACATACAGGTTCGAAGCGCTCGCGTACCGGCGAGCATCTTGTTGACCAGTAGAACGCGTTCTGCGCGGCGGAAGGGAAGGCGACAGCGTTGGTCCTTAACAGCTTCTGTGGATCGTTGCCATGCATGTCGAGATATAGGGCGCACTTGGCTGACGAGCTGTTTCTATCGTGCGGTCAGTGACCGCTGGACACGTTATTTTGTAAGGAAGCGGGTATAATCCCGATAGAAGTGAGATTACTCCTGGGCAGGGAGGCCTCGAAGACAGGGGCGGCGGCGGTGATGGAGAACCTGATTGAATTCCGATGAATTTGAATGAATACATACAAGCTCTCAGGGGGGCTTACCTCAAGAACTGATGGGCGGTTATGCCTGAATTGAGGCACGCCGTTGAATACGCTGCCTAACAGATTGGAGGGGAATCGTGCTTGTGGCGTGACGCGGGTATAGTGCCAGTGCACGCCGGACAGGCTGCGGTCCACAAGTCTTCCAGCGGCAAATAACAGGCTCCCATCGATCCGTCAGAGCGTGGCGGAATGTTGGAGGCGGAGTAAGGCCGTGGGTTTGAGATGAACGGTTCTAAGTTTGCGAAGCTGGCAACATGAGGCCGCGGTAGATGCACGGCGGAGCAAAAGGGCGTGAGTCTGGGCCACACGGAGTGCCGATGTCCGCAGTGTTCAGAGAGCGTTGGTCGTCGTGCGGGTAGCTGCCAAGTCTCGGGTGTTGAGTATTTGAGTACACAGAAAAGCCCAGGCAGGTCCACGAGGAGTCGCAGCTGGACGAATGGTGGGAGACGCCGGGACGCGGCTGCCGGAGACGAAGCGATGGGCGTCTACGGCGGCTGTGTCTTTCGGAAAGGAAATACGGTCACCATGGTTGCACGCCCGGCGTGGCGAGAAAACGCCTCCGCTCATGTCCGTCCGTCAAAGTCCGCCGTTGGTGCGGCATACGTGCGGGGGTGAATAACACGTCGCTGAGGGCGCAGAACGCGTCGAGGAGAGGGGAATGGAGGAGGGCGTCGGGCGGGAGGGGGAATGATGATCAGGGCGTTTGTAGTGATGGGGGCCAAATAAGGCCAACTTGAGCTGAGGGCGGGGGGTCGCGAAACACGGTCGGTTGACTCTCGCCATCTGTTGCGCTCGCTCTGGTTCGCACAAAATCCGTCAATAATCGGTCAAGAACTCGGTCTGCGCGGCAATCTTCCTCGTTTCGCACCGCGCCGTCCCCCTTCTCTCCCTCTGCCTTCCACAGCAGCCCCACGCTCCTTGCTCCCCCTCCAGGCGGACGCGCCCGCTCCGTCCCGCCGTCCACGCTCGTCAGCACAAATCTAACCTGGTCTTCGCCTTAGCACCATCGTCTCTTCCACTATGCATCTCGTCTCAAACGTTTTCCTCGCTTCTCTGCTTGCTTCCGTTCTCCAGGTCTCCCCAGTCGCCGCCACACATTCTTCGTTCACGTCTTCGCATGCCCGTCGCTCTCTTGCAACACGGCGTGATGGCCTCGCATCTCTACTCCAAACTCGCGACCTTGGTGATCTGCTCGGTGAGTAGCGTCTTCTCTCTGTCTCTCGCCACTCGTTTGCGGCGGCAACACCTGCCGCCGTATGTCCACTCTGCGACACTTCCTGCGTCCTCCCTCCTTCCCTTGAATGCCTCTCTCGTAGACGACGGTGGCCAGCTTGGAGTCGGGTTGGATGGCGGCGAAGCTCACCGTGGCAGGCCTGTGCATTTCCCCCATCATTCTCCTGGTCCATACACCTCCAGAGGCGCACTCCCCAACAAGCCCTCCCTCTGCTCAGGCTCCGCTGCCTTTCCGGAGTGCTCTCGAGGACCGTCGCTGGGTTCTCACCGCTAGCAAGGGTTTTCCGCTGTCCGACGCGGATTCACTTGTGGTATTGATGATCACACGTCCTGAACGCGTTTGATGAGCCTCCACCGCCCTCCGTCAGCGCCACATGGCCGCCTCTCGGCGGCGGGTTACAAGCACTCGTTCACAGATCGTCCTACCAGCTCTGAGCGAGTGCCGTGGCCCCATGCACTCAGCCAGCAGAGCAATTTGGTCGCGGTAGCTATAATCATTCGGGCGCTTGTTTGGGCTCGATCGCTTTGGGCCAATGGCAAACCTGAGGCTGTAGACAAGGGGAAGGCCAAGTGCCATACATCGTACTCACCGCCTGAAACGGAATGCGTCAGGTGGCGTCGATGATCCGCCCAGGCATTTGGCGGCGAGACTCGCACTTCCATGCCTTTCCTGATGTAGCAGCGTTCGAGAGGAAACACGTACTGACTGTTTTGCGTTTGCAGGAGGCGCTACGGGTTTGTTGGGTGGCTTTGTAGGCGACACCGGCGGCTTCCTGGGCGACACGATTACCAACACCGGCTCTGTCCTCGGAGACACCGTTGACGACCTTATTCCCGGGAGCGACGACGGCACGACAACGTCGCTCGTCCCCGCAAGCTCAACAAGCCTCGCGTCGTCGACCGATACCGCCGTCTCGAGCTCCACTACTGACTCCGCCTCCGCGACGGACTCCGCGAGTGTCTCAGCCTCGCTGACGTCGACCGCATCTGACTCGGCATCAACTTCCGCGTCGGACTCGGTCTCTGCGAGCGTGTCCGCGTCTTCGACGGACTCGGTCTCTGCGAGCGTGACGTCTTCAGTTGTGTCTTCTACCGACAGTGTGTCCGCGAGCACTAGCGGTTCCGACTCTGTGTCCGCATCGGCCACGGACTCTGCAAGTGTATCCGCGTCCACGACGGACTCTGCCTCCACTACCGATACCCCATCGAGCGCCGCGACCATTACCACCGCGCCGGCCTCGACATCCACGCCATTTGACCCCATCGGCTCGCTCACGTCCGCGCTCGGCTCCTTGACGTCCGCTATCGGCTCCCAGCTCTCGTCGTTCACTTCAGCTGAGGGCTCGGCCGCGTCGTCGTTCACTTCCGCGATTGGCTCTGGTGTATCGTCGTTCACGTCTGCGATCGCGCCGACGACGACGAGCAGCGATGTCCCCACAAGCGCTGCCAGCGATTCCTCGAGCCAGGTCCCCACCACCTCAGCACCCAGCGCGACGGACTCGTCCACACCCAGCGGCACCGACAGCGCCTCCAGTGTACCGACATCGGACAGCGCCTCAGTGAGCGCCTCGACGACCGACTCTGCGAGCGCTTCCACGACGGCGCCGGGCAACCCCTTGTCCTCGATCCTCAGCTCGATCCTGTCGCTGCCGCCCATTTTCCCGACCTCGGTTTCGTCCAGCGCGTCGGTGTCAGCGTCCATCACCTCAGCGTCTGATGCGTCTGCATCTGTCTCCGCATCCGCGTCCGATTCTGGCTCTGCGTCCGCATCCGGATCTGCCCCCACCTCCGTTTCGGACGTGAGCTCGAGCTCGTCCAGCGGCGGCATCCTCCCGACGATCTCGCTCCCCCTTAACCTTACCACGATCTTCCAGCCATCGTCTACGCCGTCCTCGTCTAGCACGATTACGTCGTTTTCGTCAACTATCACTGACGCTCCTGGGAACTCGACGATCACCACGTTCAGTTCCACCACCACGGACGGCGGGAATGCGACTACGGTCTCGGGCGGCACCACTATCACCACGGTATCTGGGAACGTGACCACTACGATTACCAGTGGAGTGTATGTTTGGGTTTCGTGCAGTTGGTGTATTCGGGTTTGGCTGACGTATATATGCCCACAGCACGACCATCACCTCCGCACCGGTGAATGGCACGACGACAGCTAGCAGCGGCATCACCACGGCCTCGGGCAACGACACCACCACGTTCAGCGCGAGCGGGAACGCGACCACGACCACCGCCAGTAACGGGACCGTTATTAGCTTCCCGTCGATCACCTCGGCCTCGATGAACTTCACGTCGCTCTCGACGTCCACCATCCCGCTCACGTCGACGCCGTCAGTGAACTCCGAGTTCACGTTCGTGACGCAGTCCAGCCTGTTCATCGCCCCGACGAGCAGCTCGACCCCGACCACGACTGCGACGGACCCGGACACGCCTGTGACCACGTTGTCGATCTCGCCTGTGTCATCGCAGGCGGCGGACACGAAGCCGACGGCGCCCGCGCTCCCGACGAACCTCCCGCTGCAGATCTTCCCCGCGGAGGGCTCGCACCCGGGCGACCCGGACCTGTCGAACTACTCGCTCATCTCGATCTTGTTCGACTCGGCACTGAACTGGAAGTTCGTCGCGCAGAACTCGACGTCGTCGTCCCAGATCTTCGCGTGGATGTCGCCCATCCTGCAGACCGCGCTCAACCTCACGCGTACGTGATATCCTAACCTCGATGTATGTGATGTTGGGGATGCTGACGAATTTGTGGGAATGCAGAGTCGCAGATCAAGACGTACGAGCTGAAGGTGTACGCGCCGTCAGACTACACGGGCCCCGACGACATCGCGCTCCTGCAGACGATGTGGCTCGGCTGGATCCCTGGGCAGACCGTCGACGATCTCGCGCAGCAGCTCAAGGTCACCTCGTCCCTGTTCTACACCGCGCTGCCTTCGCCGTACAAGGACCTCGCAGAGCACGTCGTGTCCTCCTTCCCCGTCACGAACGCCCCCGGGTCAACGAGCACGGATACGAACAGCGGCGGGAGCAGTGGCGCGTCCTCGTCCGCCTCGTCGTCATCCAAGACGCGCGAGGACGCGATCATCGGCGTCGTGAGCTCCCTCGGTGCGATCGCGCTCCTCATCCTCGCGTTCCTCGTGTTCCGCGCAGTCAAGCAGCGCCGCGAGCTTGCGCACCGCAGGCTGTCGGACGCCCCCGGACAGAACGAGTTCATCGGCGCGCCGCCAGAGGAGGACCACGAGTTCGACCGCGACAGCGTCGGCGGCCAGCGCCGCCGCTCGTTCTACTACGCGGCGGACTCGCTGCGGGGCGCGGAGCCGCAGGCGCCGGTGCAGCAGGTGCCCGCGTACTCGGAGGACCCGTTCAACCCGACGATGCGCGAGCGCCGCCCGCCGATCGGCGCGCCGATCCTGCGCGACAACACGATGAACTGGTGAGGCGCAGCTGCTGGGTGTGCAGCTGAAGTGTGGGTTTGATAGTCACGACGGATGTGCCACGACGGACGCTCTGGGGCAAGATGTAAAAAGATACCACCCGTTCGTCGCCCCTTCCACTTCTTATCTTCTGCTGCTTCGACCGCTGTTGTGCTTTTTGGTTCGCTGTTCGCTCTGGGACTGGTCTTTTAGGTGTGCGCGTATGGGCGGAGGGCGTGGTTCTGAGCAAGGAGCACCCTCGCGCGCGTGTCTGTGCACTGGGGCCGCTCCCGCTTAACGTCCCCCACGACCTCCCGCTCCTTTACATGTGACGACTTCTGCTTTTTTTCTCTTTCTGCTACTCGTTACCCCCGCGTTTGCGCCCATACCGTATATTCTTTTTCAATATTTATCAGGCTCTGTGGCCGCCCCGCGCGCCGCGGAGCCGCCCCTGTCTGCGTTCTGCTGTCTTATGCCACCCCCGCTCGCGCGGGCGGGCTTTAGTAGTACACACCTTCGCGTCGCGCTGGCTGCCACAGTTTCCTTTGCTTTTACACCTTTACCTTTGTAGATGATGTTTGGGAGTTACTTATTGATGTCTTTTTGTTTGTCGACGGTTGTGCGTACAGGCCTTGGATGTGCTACAATCAGGATTCGGAAGTTTGGAAGCAATATGCACCATGTTGACTGCTATCTCTCACTGAAGAGTGTGGTGTGTTACGCACGATACATCGCTAAGTATCTCTACAGCTGCGAGACGAGCGATGACGGAGAATGGCGCTAGGCCTGGCCCGCGGTGAGTTGATCCTTGAACCGCTGCACGATAGGCACCATCCCGCCCTCATCCACCACGAACCCCAAGCTGAGCGCATACGCATTATCGAACCGCGCAGGCCACGACCCCACGATGCGGCGGTTCGTCGCGTCGTCCTCGAAGCGGATCCGCGCGACCGCCTCCGGGCCCGCGACGCGCTCGAGTGCGCTGAGCTCGTCGCGGACCGTGGCGGTGAACCCGGGCAGGCAGACGACGCGCGTGTGCGCGGCGAAGGCGGAGGCGGGGACGGACCGCGCGAGGATGAAGTTGCGCACGGTCGTCTCGGGGCTCGCGAGCCAGAGCGCGAGTGCGTCGAGCGCGGGGGAGGTGAGGCTGTCGCCGATCGGGCACGTCGTTTCGGCACCTTGGAGGGGCTCGCGGATGATCGCTGTCAAGGGACGTCGTCAGTGGCAGCGTGTGTATGCACCGGGTGGGGGTGCCTACCAGAGATGAAAGCGGAAGAGGCTGCTGCAGGGGGCCCGGGGCGCACAGCGATGGTGGGGAGGCGGAGGATGCGGCCGTCGACGAACCCGCGACGGGTGTATTCGTTGATGAAGAGTTCGTCGATGAGCTTCGCCGCGCCGTATGCACTTTGCGGCGTGGCGATTGTCTCGGGGGTCACTATCTCGGGCTGTCCAAAGCATCAGCCTTCTGGTATGGGGCACGTCTGAGTACACCTACGAGGGGGCCTCCGTAGACGGCGAGGGAGGAGGCGAAGATGAACTTGATCGAGGTTCCTGTGCGCTCTCCTGCATGGCGCGCTGCATCGAGCACAGAGCGGACGGAGTCAACGTTCACCTGCCGTACAAGTCAGCTTCGATGTGCGCTATAGGGCCTACAGCGAAGCCAAATTATGACCTTGATTCCGAGATCGAAGTTATCCTCCGAGCCACGGGACATGATGCCATGGAGGCAGTATACCGTGTCGGGCACACCGAACGCGGTGTTGAACAGTGCGTCCGCCTGGGTGGGATCTGTCAAGTTCGCCTGAACTGCCAGGACGTTCGGCCCTCCATGGGGGCTCTTGGGTTGCACAACATCAGCGAGGATAAGCTTGACATCCGTAGCTTGTGCAGCCGAGTCGGAGATTAGCGTCCGGGCGAGCTGCGATTAGCATGTGTCAGAGTTCGTCTTGCAGGGCATCGTGGGCGTTGCACATACGAGTGAACCGAGAAACCCACCGGCACCAGTGATGAGGATGACGTTGTTCGACATGGCGACTATGGATCAAGAGCACGTAGGCAGCGGCACGATGGGCGCTGTGAGCATGCAAGTAGAGTCTTATGCAACACGTTCACATTTTGGAGCACTCCGAGGCTGAAGCAATATGTCAGCAGACTATTACTGTAGGCCGGGTCCCATGCATACCTTACCTAGGTGTAACTTTCCGAGAATAACCGGCAAGATACCATGGCACGGGAGACCGACGGCCCGGCGGACGGCCTTGGGTGACATACCTCCAAGGAGGGCATTCTGAATCTGAACGGAGCTCAAGACGGACGGTGAAAGTGTATATGATTCCTACAGGACAACGCACGCACAAGAAGAAGCACGCGCGGACGATGCAGCCGATGTTGTTGGGCGATTGCGCGGGCAGAGACCTGCAGAGACTGGGCAGAGGCGACCCGCCGCCGCGTGCACTACTCGTGCCACCCGCGCCCTGGTGGCACTGGCGCTTGATGGCATGATGCAGCCACTACTCTGAGTGCTCAAGTTACACTGCGCCATCCATCAACCTCCTTTCGAGATGGCACATCTCTCTTTGCTTGGTATGCCAAACGAGCTTCTGGTAAATATATTACAGAAAACCGATGCTAGATCGCTCTGTAATTGTCGCGAGGTGTGTAGTTCCTAGTCCTACTGGATGAAGTACTATATCATACTCGAAATCTCACCCATGGGTTTAACATCCCTCTCCCAATGATGTATAGGTGTGCAGCACACTATCAGGGCTGATTCAAACAACACCTATCCTCCAGTATCACACTGAGTTGGTTCGCTCTAAACTCGTCGACGTCGACGAGCACCACAGCATTCCGCTCGAGGAGAAGTACCTACGAGTACAACGTTACCACACAGCTTGGGATACCATGTCTTTTGGCGAATCCCTGCAGAAGATCACTGGAAAGCAAACGCCCCCGCGGCGATTTGCCAGGATAACATGCGTTCACCCCAGCGGGGTACTAATCGACACCACGCCATCAGGAGACGTCCACTGCACCCGCTTCGCGAGCCCACTGGGAATCGCAGAGCAGCATAATTGGACTGTCACGTCTCTGCGGCGCCAACCAGGGATCCCCCTCGATATTGCTATAGATCCATCGCAGGATCTCCTAGCTGTATTGTTCCTCAATCGGTATGTTCTTCCCGTCCCCGTTCATGCCATAGCGATGTTGATCTTTGTGCTTCCTTCGACCAGTGATGCTCGATCCGTGTTCCTCTCGCTCAGGTCTCTATCTAATGGGAAAGCGCACCGTCTCGCCTCGGAGCCTTCAATCGATATCGACGGCGGCGACCTGTTCCCATCCTATCGGCTGTTGATTCATGGCGATCACATTCTTTATCTGCATAACGCGTTCCATTTCTACGTCTGTGGGTTGTTGTGTTGGAAGAAGGGTGCATTCATTGGTGAGGTACGTCCTTGCACTGTCGGGGAGCGCAGCGGCATTATATTCGTTGATGAAAATGCTAATTCCCCCGGCAAGTGCATCCGAAACCCATCAATCCCCTCGGACAATATGGCAGTTTTTCTTGACGATGCTCGCATGATCTTTGTCGGCTACGATGACAAGTTCCTCCATGTCTACGACTACTACACCGCGTCTCACTTCCCGAACGGTAGTCGCGAGGCTGCCACCTTGGAGATAGTGCCCCCAGATACTACATGGCTCATACGCACCATCTCCATCACCACTCCGTCGCTCGCTCCGAATACGCCTTTCTGCCGTTTGGACCCTCGGCAGTATATCTACGTGATCAGGCTGGTCGTTGCGACAGATGGACTCGAGAACAAGCACATTTTCATCTTCGTCCCGCGAGATCCGATCGTCGCTTGCGCCGAGCTTTTCAGAAGAAACAAGCATCCCCGTCACTTCGGCTGGGAGGAGTGGGCTTCGGGAGTGCAGATCATCGAGCGCAGTGGTTGCCTTCCTGGCCCCTCGTACGGCATCTCGGGGTCACGGATCGTGCTAGGCCGCATCCTCGAGGGGGACGAGCTGGAGCTGGAGTTCCTGGATTATGATATAAAGGAAGTTGGCTCTCTGACGTACCGCCCGTCAACACCTCTCGGGATGGACGCCTCCGGAAACGCCAAAAGTAACCAATATGCCGCCTCGGTGCGGATCAAGACTCGTACGACTCGCATACATCTTCCGGTGCAGGGCTTTCTCGTGCGCTCCGTGGCGGCCTGGGAGAATGGCATTATCATTGAGACGGTGAGCTCTTTACTGGACATACCTCTGGCTATCGCACTGATGTATACGGGCACAGCTTCAGGGCTCCTCGATGTTCCTTGCATACCTTGACGGGGAGTCTTAGGGAGTTGCGCCCCGGACACTGGGTGCCGTGCTTTCGTCTAATCAACTGTTCCTTCGTACGACTACGTTTTCCAGGTTGAACAGGTTTAGTGCTTTTCGCTCGCTGTCGTGCACGCCATTTTCCGAGGGTTTTTGGAAATATGAGCGGTACGTCTAGCAGCACTGAGTGTTTGAGCTTACACAGACACCTATACCGTGATTTCACGTGGGATTATGATTTCGTCCGTCTGGACCCACTCGCACCCGAATCTTGTCATTTATGATCCAATGTGAGCGCAGATCTTACATAGGATGTTTTGACAAACAACCCAAACTTCGAACGCGAATCCCGGCTTCTTCGGTCGCTCGCGTGCGTTCGGGCAGGTCTCGGCCGCCCCGGCGCCCGACTACCATCCTTCTCGAGTCGACGTCGTCAGCAACGATGAGCACACCCTGCAGATTGTTCAGTATCGCTCAATGGCAACCATGTTTCTCACAGGCGACACTACACGACTCCGTTCTCGGTGAGTCAGTCGGTGTTCGTGCCATTCTGTGCACCGCTCATCATGCTCGCGTTACTCGCCTACGTTCCCTACACGATCAGCCGCGCGGTGGGATTTGGCGTGGGTACTTCGCACACTTGGATCCTCCCTTCTAAACTCCAGCGCTATATCCGCTGCGAGTCTTCAGTACCTCCCGTCTCCCGTCACGCCGTCCTCCACCATCTCCATACTAGCCCGTCAAAATGGCCACCACCACGGAGCAGCCCTTCACGCTCAACGTCCCTGACGCCGATATCGACCTGCTGCGCAGGAAGCTCGAGCTCGTCCGCCTGCCCGACGAACTCGAGGGTGCCAACTGGGACTACGGCGTCCCCCTCGCGGACATCAAGCGCCTCGTCGCGCACTGGCAGACCGCCTTCGACTGGCGCAAGTCCGAGGCGGAGATCAACATGCTGCCCATGTTCACGCGCGACATCGACGTCGACGGCTTCGGGACGCTCAACATCCACTACGTGCACCAAAAGAGCGAGGTAAAAAATGCGATTCCGCTCCTCTTCGTGCATGGATGTGAGCGCGCGCCCCTTACGCTTCGTGAACTGAACCCGCGCTAACATCTTTATGTTCTACAGGGCCCGGCGATTTCCTCGAGGGCGAGGAAGATCCTGCCCATCTTGACAGCGAAGTCTGCGGATCACCCTAGTTTCCATGTTGTTGCGCTGAGTCTCCCTGGGTTCGGCTGGTCGGAGGCACCGAAGAAGCCCGGCTTTGCCGGCCGTCAATTTGCGGAGGTACACATTCGGAGAGAATAGTATACCGCCCGGATGCTCACTCAAAAATGTACAGGTCTTCAATAAGCTTATGGTCTCCCTTGGATACGACGAGTATGGTATGTGGAATGCGAACGTTACAGTTAGGAATAATGTACTTACGCTATAACATTGCAGTGTACCAAGGCGGCGACTGGGGACACCTTGTACGTGTTTCCTGCCCATGTGCGTCATGGACACCAGTCCCCTCATACGAATTGCACAGCTTGGTCGCCACGCGGTAACCCACTACGGGCACAAGCACATCAAGGCGTGGCACACAAATATGCCGCTGTACGTCTCTCGCACATAACCCGCCTAGCTCTGTCTTAAGCTGACACCCATGCCTTGTTCGTCGTAGAGCCGGCCCACCCAAGTTCTTCTCCAACCCGCTGATCTTCCTCAGCATGTTCCTGCTCCCCTTTAACAGGCCGGCGCTCGCCGCCCTCCAAAAGGCGCAGAAGTTCCGCAAGACCGGCACAGGCTACTTGATGGAGCAGTCGACGAAGCCGCAGACGCTCGGCTACAACCTCGCGGACTCGCCCGTCGGCCTCCTTGCGTGGATCTGCGAGAAACTCGTGAGCTGGTCGGACGAGTACCCCTGGACCGACGACGAAGGTGGGTTTACCGCGCTGCACTTGCGCGTTCTAGGCTACGCTCCGCTAACACCGCCACAGTGATCGAGTGGATCTCCATCTACTGGTTCTCGCGCTCCGGGCCCTCGGCCTCAAGCTACATCTACTATGAAATGACCGGCGGGAACGCGCACGACAGTGCGCAGGGCGCCCAGTGGATGTCCGTTCCCCTCGGCGTGTCGTACTTCCCTGGAGAGATCGTGCACCTTCCCAGATCGTACGTCTCAGGTCTACCTCCCTGCTGTGTCGAGTTTGTTGACAGGTGGTTGATCTGTCGCCAGATGGTCGCATCTGCTGGGCAAGGTGGTATTTGAGTCTGATCATGACAAGGGTGGACACTTCGCAGCATTTGAGCAACCCGAGAAGCTCGCGAGTGATCTGCGCAAGATGTATGGCAAAGGCGGGCCTGCGCACGGCGTCGTCACTGGTAAGAACGGGTACGACTAAGTCACGGGTATGTTGTATCAGCGCGTGTTTTCTCAGCATGGCCGCACCTCATGCTTAGCGTCGTCGGCCTTACAGGAATACTGTCAGCCCATTCGCTACTGTCTGATGCGTCTTTGACTATACCATACTCTTGCTCTATCGTTTTGCGATAACACTGTGTGAGTTAGCTCGTTGCTCGTATTTTCGACAGTGTGACGTCCCGTGGAGGTGCGTCGACGCAGCTATACTTCGCTTGCCCATGGCCGGTGATTGCGATTCCAACCGGGCACGTCAAAGGAAAGCGGGCTGACCTCCCTAGCCCGCGTCCACATCCGGATATCCGACCCGTCCGCCTCATAATCCTCGCATCGCGGCTGACTTCCCCCCACCTACCTTTCCCACCTACCACTACCACCCCACTATCTGCTGCGCAGTCTACCCCCCACACACCCATATTTCACTATGTCTTTCTACACCCAGTCTACTGCTTACGTCTACACCTTCGACTCCGCGACCGGCGCCCTCTCCTCCGAGCTCATGCGCGTCCCCGGCGGACGCTGCGACAAGGATACCGACCGGGTGCTCCGGACGGTCGGAAGGGACACGCAGGGGCTCGTCGACGAGGTGCTCCTGCCGCGCGGCGAGTTCGTCTACTTCGTGGAGCGCAAGGCGGCTGTTGCGAGCGAGAGCGAGAAGGAGAACGAGGGCGCAGCGACGGGGAGGTCGCGCGCTGTGCGGAAGGCGATGCGGGAGGTGCGCGAAGTTGAGCTGATGGCGCGGAAGCTGGAGGCGGAGCTGATGGCGATGGACGAGGAGCCGGAGTGCACGATGATGGGGAAGCGCGGGGTTGTGGAGGTGGACAGCGCGGATGAGGATGAGAGCGACGACGAGAGCGTGTGGAGCAATGACGACGAGGAAGAGAGCCTTTGGGGTGGGGACGACGACGAGAGCGTGGTGGACGATGAGGAAGAGATCGAGGCCGAGGTGGATTCGGACGAGGAGGACGAGATGGCATTGCGGGCGGCAGAGGCGTTTGCGATGAAGGACGAGGAGGACTGGGAGGTCGCGCTCTTCGGCGGGTACGAGGACGAGGCCATCCACATGGACAACGACGATATCAAGGACGAGGACAACAAGAGGACCGTGCCCGTGGTTGATGTGCCGACGACCGCGGAGCAACGGACGTGCGAGGACGACTGGGAGATCGTGGATCTACCCCTGGCGCATATGGATCTGGTCCCCTCTGGATACAACGCTGGCGCGACCCTCACCAGGACTAGAATGGAGGCCGACCCGAGGACGAGGACGAAGACGAGAGCCGAGGCCGACGTGGACCGCAGAGCCGACACCAGGACCAGCGCCGACACCAGGACCGGAGCCGACCTCAGGATTAGTGCCGACCCCGGGAATAGTGCCGACCTCAGGAGCAGCGCCGACGCAGAGAGGACCAAAGTCAAGACCAGGCCGATGGTGCCGATGCGGACGCCGAGGACCGACGGGACTCCCAGGATGGCGACCGCGGCGAGGACGAAGAACGAGCCTGCGCCGAGGATTACCTCGGTTCAGGTTTCTAGGATCAAGGCTATTGCCGGGGACGTACTGGATGTTTTCAGGGGAAAGAAGCGCAAGGCCGACCGGGACGATGACGATAACGAGGACGCGAAGGAGACCCCACCGGACGGCCCGGGCGCGCTCGCAGTGACGAAGACGCTCGCTGGGCTCAAGTTCAAGAAGATGAGGACGTGTCTTTCGAATCTGGGGCCGACTGGGACGATTTCTGGCAGGGTTCCGACGGCTAGCGCGGGTTTCCACACGAAGGCGGACGACCAGGAGCTCCTTTCACGGACGACGGACCCAGGCCTGACAGGACGGAAGCGCAAGAACGACGACAAGGAAGAAGGCGAACTCTCCGAGACCGAGGACGACGTTCCGCTGGCGAAGCGGGCGAGGATGACGCAGGCCCCGAGGACCTCCGAAGATGGCGCGCCGAAACCGGAACGTGGAGCGCGAGGACGGTGGAACGACAGGCGGCAGTGGGCGCAGAGGAAGATATCGACGACGATGGGTCAACGCCGGTCGCAGATGGCTCAGCTCGGGCGGTAAACAGATGTTGGGAGTTGTCTTGTGAGTAACGTCGCTTTACGGAAAACGAGGATACGCATGCTGACCTTTATGCTTAGGTTCCAGTTTCTGTTCTGTCTTCGCGTTTGTTTTGTGCTCCTTGTGAATCCTAATGCCCCATGATTTCATCCTTGCTTCGTCCGATTGTATTGAATCCGCTTCCTTCTATATCATCGCATCCGGTTTGTCGCGCTTTCTTGGTCGATTGTCACAGTCCGTACAAGTGAGTATCTCGTCTTGCGCTTCACTGACCGGTGCTCCGCTCGAGGACTGGACGAGACTCAGAGATGCTGAACCGATCTATCGGGCTTGCGCCAAGACCTCCCTGACTAATCGAAATCGGACACACCACCCTCACCGCCACCGCGACCTTCTTCTGCGCGCTCGATCTGTCTTGAGCAGCGTACATCAGAATTTGTGAGAAGAGAAGCAACCATTCTAGTGCTGACTACAGCTACTCCAGTTTTGGATTGCCCTCTCGCCATCTAGTGATGTGACTCGTCGTGTCCTTGAAATGTGCACCAACGTCATGACCGCGGCTCCGTGTTCGTTTTCGCTTATGAAGCCCTAGCCGATGGTCATGAGACGCATGCGAGCCGCGGAGTCTCATATATACAGGCACGCACCCCTTGCAGTCCTTCAAGTTGCTTCCTGACCTGTTTCTGAGCAGACCTGAGCGACGATGAGCTCCTCCACAGAGCAGCCGTTCACCCTCTCGGTGCCCGACGCGGACCTCAACTTTCTCCGCAAGAAGCTCGAGCTCGTCCGTCTCCCAGACGAGCTCGATGGCGCAGGTTGGGACTACGGCGTACCCCTCGCCGACATAAAGCGCCTCGTCGCGCACTGGAAGGACGGGTTCGACTGGCGCAAGGCGGAGGCCGAGATTAACAAGCTACCGATGTTCACGCGCGACATCGAGGTAGAGGGGTTCGGGACGCTCAACATCCACTACGTCCACCAAAAGAGCGAGGTCAAGAACGCTATCCCTCTTCTCTTCGTCCATGGCTGTACGTATTCCTTGAGTATCGGAGGACTGGTCAGGCTGACACGTTCGACAGGGCCGGGTGATTTCCTTGAGGTCAGGAAGATCTTACCCCTCTTGACTGCGAAGAGCGCAGATCAGCCTAGCTTTCACGTCGTTGCGCTCGACCTGCCCGGCTTCGGCTTCTCGGACGCACCCACGAAACCGGGCTTCGCTGGCCGCCAGTACGCCGAGGTATGCAGCCTAAGACCCGCAATTAACATCTGGGAAGCTTACACACAACTTTATGTAGCTTGTCAACAACCTCATGATCTCTCTTGGCTATAACGAGTATGGTAAGTAGCTCTCCTCATGTTCACCGTCGCAGGGAGAGCTTATCCCGTGTGTTTCTAGTCTATCAGGGTGGAGACTGGGGACACCCCGTAAATACTCTACGTCCATGTGTGTGACAGAATGTCATTGATCAGCTTGTCGTTTAGGTCGGCCTCCACACTGTGACACACTTCGGGCACAAGCACGTAAAAGCGTGGCATTCCAATATGCCAGAGTATGTCCACTCACCGCGCACTATGACGTCCGCTCTGACCTGACCTCCGGATTCATAGCTCCCGCGACCCAACACTGTTCTCGAGCCCGTTGCTATACCTGAAGAGGTATACCACCCTCCGCTTCGATAAAGACGCGCAGAAGGGGTTACGGAACACGGCGGAGTTCTACCAGAAGGGACGGGGCTACGCTATCGAGCACTGCACGAAGCCGCAAACGCTCGGGTACAACTTGGCGGATTCGCCTGTCGGTCTTCTGGCTTGGATATATGAGAAGCTTGTTGGCTGGACGGATAAGTATCCTTGGACGGACGATGAAGGTGTGTCCTCCGTGTTGGTCTGTGTGCACGTCGTTTTGACGTTCGTGTGCAGTGCTTGAGTGGATCTCGGTCTACTGGTTTTCGAAACAGGGCCCTGCTGCGTCTATCAGGATCTACTACGAGATGACTGGCGGCGGCACGCACGACGTGTTTGAGGGCGCGAAGCGGACAACCGTCCCGTTCGGCACGTCCTACTTCCCGGGCGACATATTCTCTCTTCCTAAATCGTGCGTGCACATGATCATTGTCGGCGATGCTAAAGCTGATATGGATCTTCATCTTTGTCGACAGGTGGGCGAGCATACTCGGAAAGGTGGTGTTCCAGGCCGTGCACGACAAGGGCGGGCATTTCGCGGCGTTCGAGATGCCGGAGGTGCTGGCGGGGGACTTGCGCAAGATGTATGGCAAGGACGGGCCTGCATATGGGGTCGTTCCTGGCAAGAATGGGTACGATTGAGACCGAGAAGTACCTTGAGTTGTCGTATTGTATTTGTTTGGATATACCGAGACCACTTTCCCCACCTGTTATATCCCCGTTGGCGGTAGCATATCGTACACATCGCTTAAAAATACAGATGATACATCCTACTGAACCTATGGAACAGAAGCCATCAGCGATTACGCCGAAACTCGAAATCTCGGCTGAGCAAGTACCTTCTTTCACGCCTTCGCTGCGGATCCAAACAGCTTGAAGAAGCGTTCGCAGACCTCCTCAAACACCTTTGTCGCATCGTCGACCGCGTCGGGGAACGGCTTGCTCTGCAGACTCTCGGCGAGTTTCTTCGCGTAGGGGTCCCGACCCCAGCTGTTAATATTGATCTATGTGTCGTCGAGCAGCTCGTCAGCCTGTGCATAATACGAGCACGGAGAGGTCGATCACCTTCGAGATCCCGTTCTTGATGCACTCCTTGAACAGCTCGTCTGGAAGCTGGTCGGTGCCGTGCAAGCAGAGCGGGATCTTGCCCTCGAATGTCTTCTGCAGGTCCTGAAGGCTACAAAGTTACAACGAATTGATCAGGATCTACTCGGCGTTATGGAAGCGGGCACCTACATGTCTTGTCTGAAGTTAGGAGGGTTTATGTACAACCCGTGGAGGTTACCGATGCTCGGTGCCAACACCAGCGCGCCAGTCCTGCGCAATTCAGAATAAATGGTCAATAAGCGACTACGTGTGAGAAGCGATATGGAATGCACCCTTCCATAAATTCGAGTGCCTTCTCAGGTCTGGTGAGCTTCGCGTCGGATATCATGCGTAAACCGGCCTCGCCACCCTCGAGACGACCAAGCTCGACTTCCACGGCGATGCCACATTTCGCCGCTCGCTCAACGTACGGCCGCGCGAGGGCGATGTTCTCTTCGTCTGTCTGGCGATAGCGCATGAGCTTTCGTGATTGACGCATGTAGTTGCAGACATACCTCCGCATGACTGGCGTCGACCATGATGCTGTCGAACGCGATACCCTGCTCGGCGAGCGAGAGCGCGAGTTCCAGGTGCTCCGGATCGGTTGCGTGATCCAGGTTCACCGCGATCGGAACTGAGGCTTGGTGGGCGCTGATAGAAGAGTCAAGCAAGCATGAATAGAATAGAACGATACTGCGTTACTGACGCGTTCAGGCAGAATTGCAGCCATGGACCCTTTCCGAACTCGAGTGTGATGGGGAACATCTGGATGATCGCTGGACTACGAGCGCGCTCGGCAGCGCGCACCAGACCTATAACGCAGTTCGCATCGTAACTGCGTTCCATGTTAGATCGTGTAACAGCGTTGAAAGATGCGCACGAATGAGCGGATCTCACCATGTCTGGGCGAGTATGCCGTATCCCTCTGCCTCTGCTTTGCGCAGGATGGCAAGGGTGCGGTTGTTCTCGAGTGACATCGCTATACGTGAGCTTACTCTAGGTCATACACAATGCGTTTGTTTCGATGGTCGACGTAGTGGGAGCCTAGTGAGATCGTGTTGGGCAGGCTATCAACCCCAACTTGCGATTGCGAGAGGTGCAATGGGCGGCCCGGGCTGCCACCTGACCTCTCCACAGAGCTCAGCCATCGTGAGACGTTGTAGCTGTCTGCGTTGTGGTGCAGTACTATGTCAGGATCCCGTCGGAAGTCCGACACGCCCCACGGGAACTCGCACGCCTGGCATACTTGGCTTTTCGAAGAGAATTGGAAGACGCACCTATATCGCTTCAACGAGTCAAGGCCACAACGGTGTGGTTTTCAGAGGCAATGATACTGTGTAACTTATGTCCCATTGTCAGGTGTGTGCGCTGGTAAACCGATTACTTTATGCGTGCCCGGTGTCGGAGGGGAGGTGCGGCCGCGGAGGCAATTAGACGTTACGAGCGCCTGGAGTAGACGCTGCCACGCGAGAGCCACGCGATGACGTCTTCACACAGACGGTCACAACTTCCATTCTCGAACTACAAAGGCTTTTTGTCCTCTTCCCCACACTCGTCCTCCTCCCTCCTCTCCCGTCTCTTCCTGCTCTCCATTCACCACGCAGACAACGGCCCACGCCACTCAGCTCTTTCTCCCAACCAGAAAGACATAGCAACTATCGCTCAACGGACGTCTCAAAAGACCCGATACAGCTCTGAGCAGGTAAGTGTATGCGCTTTCAGTCCCTTCCCCGCCACCCAAAATAATCCCACATTTCTCGTCCTCTATCTCACTCCATACATGTATGACTTGCAGGTGCTACGTGGCTTGTCTCTTGCCGCTTTGCCCTGTAAGGCACACGTCGTCTCTGTACCTCAAAAAGTCTCCGGCGCACTGTGGCGGTTCTGTGGCGGTCCATATCACGTCTCAGTTTCCTCGTACGTGCCTCTTCCAACTCCGCGTAGTGCACAAAATATATGCCGGATGTGCTCACACGTATCATCCCTCCAGTACTCTGCGTCGGCCTCGGGGACAGTCGTGGGACTACCGAAACTTCCCTTCCTAGTTCTCACCGCGTCCTACTAACGCCGTCGATCGAACACTTCCTCTACGACCTCCTTCTTCTGAGACAACGCTCGTCCATCTACTGTGGCTACCCTGTCTCACATGGTTTACTCTAAATCATCTACCCTCTCGCCTCACAAGGCTACCTCTGCCCGCTCCAGTCCCATCGCAGTCCCAAAACGCAAGTCGAATTATCCACTATGTTCACCACCTAGGGATCAGAACTCTCCCGAGTTTGTGTTCAACTTCGACTTCTCGGTCTCGCCGGATGTATCAGCTATGACTTCCCCGTTATACCTGCAAAATCAAGGTGTTTCCACGCGACTGTTTCCTCTGCAACAGAAAGCGGCGGCATTCCTACCGCTTTCTGCACTCGGCGCCGGGAATAGCAGTAAGGCTCATCCTTACGCTAACGAGCCCTTCCTGTACTCGTTGCCCAAGGCACCCCTGCGGGACTCCCAGAACACATACGGAGACGCATGTGCGAACTCCTCCGCCAGTGAGGTCCCCCCGGTGCCGTACGGCACAAAATCCATCTTCCCCGAACCGTCGTCGTCGGATTTCTCAGCCCCCTTCTTGCCCTCCGCGACATCTTGTCTGTCGCCGGATGTCATGGATTGCGATGAAGATCAGCCCCTCACAAGTGCATTTCGTGCACCTCTGGCGTCCTCTATCGCCGACTCGTCGATATCTTGGAGCGACCGCGACTCCATGTCTCCTTCGTCTTTCTATCGCTCCCCGTCGCCTTCGCCTCCCCGCATGCAAAGCCCTTCTCGACGAGTTTACTCCGGTGGTCGCCCTCGACAACTGCTGCTCACCAAGTTGAAGGCGTCACAGCGTACCGTGGCTGCGGCACCTGTCGTCTCCCTCAATGTCGCGCAAGCGGAGCGTCCGCTCTACGGCTCATCCAGGCACTTTCCGTACCCCGCCAACCCGGAACTCCGTGGGAGACGTGGCTCCATTGCCAGCAGCAGCCGCAGTACAGAGAAGATGCCGGAGCGGACCCGCCGGATGAGCACTGTCGTCGGGCGTGGCGCCGGCAGGATCTTGCACCGGTCTGCGAGCGGCATGTCACTGGTTAGTGATGAAGACATCGAGCGTTCTTTGGAGATGGAGAAGGACGAGGCGGAGGTCTCTGTGAGCTCGCGCGGACGGAGCACTAGTCGGCGTCGGAGGGATAGTTCGGTCGAGCACCTGGTGGAGAAGGAGCGTCGCAGGGAGCCTGAGCCGGAACGAGGGCGGGCGCGCGGTCGCGTACCCCTCCGGGGTTTGGCGGCACCGACTGATGTCGACCGCGCACTGCCTGCATGGCAGTAAGCGTTTGCGCTGGGTATCGTGAGTTGTCCTGCAATACGTATTTGATCATAGCTGATGCTGTTGCTAACCATGTTTGTTCAGATCCCGAGGCGCACGCAGAGGAACAAAACGTAGAGGTCTTTCGATCATCTACACGTCAAGGTAGGCCCCCCGGCGCGGCCGCGCAACATTCTCAACAGTAAACTCGTGTCTCCTCTTTGGACATTGTGGACACGGACCATCTTTCTCCGGCATTTCCCATCCCAGAACGTATCTATTATCGGCCCACACAACATCACAACTCATAGACCGCTCCGCGTCGTCGTACTCCTCACCCGCATTTGGCATCAGTTTCAGGACAATCATCGCATACCATACAGCCCCCGTATATTCCCCCCTCTCTACCCATGCACTAGACACCAAGACTCCCAGGCATCATCCGTAAAACACAGCAGGCTAATTATCGGCATCGGCACATCACCACCACCCTCTAGAAGAGATATTGAACGCGCAAAGTACATACACCGCATCATCATCACTCATGCTTCCGTTTTCGTTTACCTCACACCTCTCCATCTAGACATCCCAGGCTACGCTAGGGCTCCTCGTATAATCACCGTACGGCACATGTCCGACATCTCTCCCCCCCTTTCTCGTCTTGTTCGTTCCCGATTACGAGCGTTGGTCGCTTCGGCCCCCTTTCCCTGATCTTGCAGTTTGGACGAGATCTAGTTTTTGTTCGTGTATGTGTCCTTGGTGTTGCCCGGGGTAACTCGAATAGAGAATAGACTTCATTTCGCAGGTTGAATGTCGGAGATATACGGTGTGGCTGCGCCTGGTCCGCCAAATCGGCGGTGTTTGCCGAGGCGTTTAGTATCGCGCGCTTGTCGAGGTTTGTTCCTTACTCTCGTACACTGACGACCGGACTGCCCTGCGTTTCTCTGTGGCGATTCTACGTCTCGGCCCCTCCAATATGCTGCTAAGTACTCATGCGCCCATTTATCTGCTGCTTCGATCCTGCTCGTACAACTGGCTTCAGCATGTGTTTGGAGGCTTTGAATGCGCGTTTATGACGAATTTTTAACGCCGTTAAACCTGCTGTCCTTAGTAGTCGTCTATCTTACCGCTGCCTTAGTCTCCCGGCCTCTGCTCACTCCTTGTCAAACGGAAACAATGGAAAGCACCGCAGATTGTGCACCAGCCGTCAATGTCCCCGACTCTTGACGCTTGGTCCGCTTGGTCCGCTTGGTCCTCGAACTCGGATATATACACGAGACGCCATGTCTACTTCTATTCCTTTCCCGTCTCCACACATCAACCACGCCTCGGTAGTGCTGCTGTACTGACACGGTCTGTGCCCCCGATCCTTATAGCTGCACTCGGCAGAAGAAATCAAGCAGAGCGATGGACGTCGACCCGTCAATACACTACCTAGGAAGCCAGAGCCGCCCTCCCGCGACCCCGCCACCACCCAGCGTAAGACGTCCATCTCACGAGACCTGTTGGCCCGGCACGCCCGTGTTTGCCTCCCAAGAAAGCGTCTCCTCCATTGGGTCCGTCGACCTGATTCCCGATGTCGATGTCGAGGAAGCGAGTCAGTCCAGCCAGATGTCATTCGAGACGCTGAGCACGGAGGATATGACTATGCCTGGGACGCGCGCGACTACGCCGGTGCAGGAGGTCCTGCAGAGCCAGGGGCTGCAGAGGATGCAGTCTATCCATCCCTTGGGCCGCGCCATCTCGATCGGTGAGTCCTCTCTCCTGTGCTGCACGACTTCGCGGCCGTCTCCCCAGTGGCGCAGCCTTTGGTCAATGCTGACCATCGCGTCATAGACCTCCGCGCCCCTCAGCCTCCGCCTCCTGCCCCGACACAACCGTCGGCAGACAACCTGCACGACTTCCTGCAGCAGCACCTCAAGCTGGGGAAGGAGGGGCAGGAGCAGCAGATCGCGGCGCTCACGAAAATGGCCGAGTCGATGCGCGATGGGATCGCGGAGCTGACGAAGGAGGCCCGGCTGCTGCGTGAGGAGGCGCAGAGGGCGAGTGCGGCGCGCGAGGAGGCGCAGAAGGGGGCTGCTGCGCGCGCGCGTGCGCTGAGGCCTTCTGCGGGCAAGCGGACACAGATGCCGCGGCACCCGCAGTGAGGGCATTGTGCGTTGTGCACTGGTAGGGTTTGTAATGTGACGCGTTCATGTAGACCTTCCGACATACTGGCATATCTCGAGATTCACGAACACCTAGCTTGTAACAACCGGATGTCCAAGATGCGGCGAGAACCAAAAACCAAGGCATGCAAGATGCCAGTGCGGGGCCTTTCTCGATTCATTTGAACATGTAAAATGCGACAATCCAAGGTATGTACGGGTAATCCCCCGTCCTCAATATTAATCGTACCCGTTCTTCCCAGGAACGACGCCATACGCGGGCCCGCCTTTCCCATACATCTTGCGCAAGTCGCTCGCTAGCATCTCCGGCACCTCGAACGCCGCGAAATGCCCGCCCTTGTCGTGCACAGCCTGGAAGACCACCTTTCCGAGCATGCTCGCCCACCTGTCGGGACAGAGGATGATTTAATCAGCCATGTTATCGGATGTCAGGCATAATAGCCTGAACATACGATTTGGGGAGAGAGAAGAGGTCGCCTGGGAAGTAGGACGCGCCGAATGGGACGGTCGTCCGCTCCGCGCCCTCGAATACGTCGTGCGTGTTGCCCCCGGTCATCTCGTAGTAGATCCTGATGGACGCGGCAGGGCCCTGCTTCGAGAACCAGTAGACCGAGATCCACTCGAGCACTTCACGCGAACGTCAGAACGAGGTGTACACGGGCCAAGACGTTCGTGAACAGAGGACATACCTTCATCGTCCGTCCATGGGTACTTGTCGGTCCAGCCCACGAGCTTCTCGTATATCCAGGCCAGGAGACCCACCGGCGAATCCGACAAGTTGTACCCGAGCGTTTGCGGCTTCGTATACTGCTCCATAGCGTAGCCCGTGCCCTTCTGGTTGAACTTCGCCGCCTTCTGCAAATCCTTCTGCGCGTCTTTGTCGAAGCGGAGGATAGTGTATCTGCCCAGGTAGAGTAGCGGGTTGGAAAAGAGTTTCGGATCGCGGGACCTATCGGGGAGTCAGATCAGAGTGGATTCGATAGTGCGCGGTGAGTGGACGCATACTCTGGCATATTAGAATGCCACGCTTTGACATGCTTGTGCCCAAAGTGAGTGACAGTATGAAAGCCGAGCTGCAAGACAAACTGGTCAATTAATGCGGACACACAGGGACATAGAACATTTACTGGATGTCCCCAGTCCCCGCCCTGGTAGACTGAAAACCCTCGGGGTAAGTATACGCTGCTTGAAAGCACACGCAATCAGAGACACTCACCATACTCGTCGTACCCCAGAGATTGCATGAGGTTGTTAAAGAGCTGCATAATGCTACCTGAGCTTCCGGGACATACATTCCTGGTCTCAGATTGCATACCTCGGCATACTGGCGACCAGCAAAGCCTGGCTTCTTGGATGCTTCCGAGAAACCGAAGCCGGGCAGGCTGGGCGCGACGACATGGAAGCTGGGGTTACCCTCAGATTTCGCTGTCAACAGCGGCAGAATCTTCCCGACCTCGAGGAAGTCGCCTGGCCCTATCGAGCATCAAACGAGGTGTATATTAGCCATGTGAGCCCCTGCTTGTGGCAGCGATCGGAAATATACACACATCCATGGTCGAAGAGGAGAGGAATCGCATTCTTGACTTCACTCTTCTGGTGGACGTAGTGAATGTTGAGCGTCCCGAACCCCTCTACCTCGACGTTGCGCGTGAACATTGGCAACTTGTTGATCTGCGCCTCAGCCTTGCGCCAGTCGAAGCCGTCCTTCCAGTGTGCGACGAGACGCTTTATGTCGGTGAGGGGTACGCCGTAGTCCCAGCCCGCGCCATCGAGCTCGTCTGGAAGACGGACAATGTCGAGTTTCTTGTGCAGGAAGTCGATGTCTGCGTCGGGCACCGCGAGCGTGAACGGCTGCTCTGTGGAGGTGCTCATCGCCGTGCAAGTCTGCTTAGTAAAGTCAGGAAGTAGTAGGAAAAAGCTGAGCGAGGGCTACGTGCCAGTATATATGCGACTCCACGAGTATGCGTCTCATGACCATAGGCGAAGGCTTCATAAGCAAAAACGAACACGGCGGGGCCGCGGTCATGACGTCGGTGTGCACTTGAGGACGCGACGAGTCACATCACTGAATGGCGAGGAGGACACATCCAAAACTGGACTAGCTAGTAGAGAGCCAGCAGAGCGAATGCTTCTCTTCTCGATGGGTTCTGATGTACGCTCCTCAGAACATACTGAGCGCGCTGAAGAAGGTCGCGGTGGCGGTGAATGTGGTGTGCCCGATTTCGACTAGTCAGAAGGATCTTGGCTCAAACCCGATAGATCGGTTCAGCACCTCAGAGTCATCCAGAGGCATCCAGTCCTCGGGGTATCGCTCAAAGCGCAAGACGAGATACTCACTTGTGCGGACCGCGACAATCGACCAAGAAAGCGCGACAAACCGGATGCGATGATATAGAAGGAAGCGGATTCAATACAATCGGACGAAGCAAGGATGAAATCATGGGGCATTAGGATTCACAAGGAGCACAAAACAAACGCGAAGACAGAACAGAAACTGGAACCTAAGCATAAGGTAAGCATGCGTATCCTCGTTTTCCGTAAAGCGACGTTACTCACAAGACAACTCCCAACATCTGTTTACCGCCCGAGCTGAGCCATCTGCGACCGGCGCTGACCCATCGTCGTCGATATCTTCCTCTGCGCCCACTGCCGCCTGTCGTTCCACCGTCCTCGCGCTCCACGTTCGGGTTTCGGGGCCCCATCGTTGGAGGTCCTCGGGGCCTGCGTCGTTCTCGCCCGCTTCGCCAGGGGTGTATCGTCCTCGGAGAGTTCGCCTTCCTCCTTGTCCTCGTTCTTGCGCTTGCGTCCTGCCAGGTCCGGGTCGATCGTCTGTGGAGAGAGCTTCCGGTCGTACACCTTCGTGTGGAAACCCGCGCTAGCCGTCGGAACCCTGCCAGAAATTGTCCCAGTCGGCCCCAGATTCGAAAGACACGTCCTCATATTCTTGAACTTGAGCCCAGCGAGCGTCTTCGTCACTGCGAGCGCGCCCGGTCCATCCGATGGAGTCCCCGTCGCGTCTTCGTTAGAGTCGTCCTCGTCCCGGTCGGCCTTGCGCTTCTTCCCCCTGAAAGCACTCAGTACGTCCCCGGCAATAGCCTTGATCCTAGAAACCTGAACCGAGGTAATCCTCGGCGCAGGCTCGTTCTTCGTCTTCGTCCTCGTCGCGGCCGCCATCCTGGGGGTCCCGTCGGTCCTCAGCGTCCGCATCGGCACCATCGGCCTGGTCTTGACTTTGGTCCTCTCTGCGTCGGCGCTGCTCCTGAGGTCGGCACTATTCCCGGGGTCGGCACTAATCCTGAGGTCGGCTCTGGTCCTGGTATCGGCGCTGGTCCTGGTGTCGGCTCTGCGGTCCACGTCGGCCTCGGCTCTCGTCTTCGTCATCGTCCTAGGGTCGGCCTCCATTCTAGTCCTGGTGAGGGTCGCGCCAGCGTTGTATCCAGAGGGGACCAGATCCATATGCGCCAGGGGTAGGTCCACGATCTCCCAGTCGTCCTCGCACGTCCATTGCTCCGCGGTCGTCGGCACATCGACCACGGGTGGAGTCCTGTTCTCGTCCTCGACCTTGGTCTCGTCGGTGTCCATGGGGGCGGCCTCGTCCTCGTACCCGCCGAAGAGCGCGACCTCCCAGTCCTCCTCGTCCTTCATCGCAAACGCCTCTGCCGCCCGCAATGCCATCTCGTCCTCCTCGTCCGAATCCACCTCGGCCTCGATCTCTTCCTCATCGTTCTCCATCATGCTCTCGTCGTCGTCCCCACCCCAAAGGCTCTCTTCCTCATCATCATCGCTCCACACGCTCTCATCGTCGCTCTCATCCTCATCCGCGCTGTCCACCTCCACAACCCCGCGCTTCCCCATCATCGCGCACTCCGGCTCCTCGTCCATCGCCATCATCTCCGCCTCCAGCTTCCGCGCCATCAGCTCAACTTCGCGCACCTCCCGCATCGCCTTCCGCACCGCGCGCGACCTCCCCGTCGCCGCGCCCTCATTCTCCTTCTCGCTCTCGCTCACAACAGCCCCCTGGGCCGCCTTTCGCTCCACGAAGTAGACGAACTCGCCGCGCGGCAGGAGCACCTCGTCGACGAGTCCCTCCGTGTCCTTCCCGACCGTCCGGAGCACGCGTCCGGTGTCCATCTTGTCGCAGCGTCCGCCGGGGACGCGCATGAGCTCGGAGGAGAGGGCGCCGGTCGCGGAGTCGAAGGTGTAGACGTAAGCAGTAGACTGGGTGTAGAAAGACATAGTGGAATATGGGTGTGTGGGGGGTAGACTGCGCAGCAGATAGTGGGGTGGTAGTGGTAGGTGGGAAAGGTAGGTGGGGGGGAGTCAGCCGCGGGGCGAGGATTATGAGGCGGACGGGTCGGATATCCGGATGTGGACGCGGGCGAGGGAGGTCAGCCCGCTTTCCTTTGACGTGCCCGGTTGGAATCGCAATCACCGGCCATGGGCAAGCGAAGTATAGCTGCGTCGACGCACCTCCACGGGACCTCACACTGTCGAAATAAGAGCAACGAGCTAACTCACAGTGTTATCGCGAAACGATAGAGCAAGAGTATGGTATAGTCAAAGACGCATCAGACAGTAGCGAATGGGCTGACAGCATTCCTGTAATGTGGATGACGCTAAGCATGAGATGTGGTTTTGTTAAGAATATACGCACCAATACAACATACCCATGACTTAGTCGTACCCGTTCTTACCAGTCACGACGCCATGCGCGGGCCCGCCCTTGCCATACATCTTGCGCAGGTCACTCGCGAGCTTCTCAGGTTGCTCAAACGCTGCGAAGTGTCCACCTTTATCATGATCGGACTCAAACACCACCTTGCCCAGCAGATGCGACCATCTAGCGACAGGTCAACCACCTGTCCACAAACTCGACACAGCAAGGAGGCAGACAGACGTACGATTTGGGAAGCTGCGCGACCTCTCCAGGGAAGTACGACACGCCAAGGGGGACGGACATCCACTGGGTCCCCTGCGAATTGTCGTGCGCGTTCCCGCTGGACATCTCATAGTAAATGAAGCTTGAGGCCGCGGGCCCGGAGCGCGAGAACCAGTAGATGGAGATCCACTCGATCACTGTGGCGGTGTCAGCAAAGCGTAACCTAGAACGCGCACTGAGTGCAGCGGGGTAAACTCACCTTCGTCGTCTGTCCAGGGGTACTCGTCCGACCAGCTCACGAGTTTCTCGTAGATCCACGCAAGGAGGCCGACGGGCGAGTCCGCGAGGTTGTAGCCGAGCGTCTGCGGCTTAGTCGACTGCTCCATGAAGTAGCCTATGCCGGTCTTGCGGAACTTCTGCGCCTTTTGGAGGGCGGTGAGCGCGGGCTTGTTGAAGGGGAGCAGGAACATGCTGAGGAAGATCAGCGGGTTGGAGAAGAACTTGGGCGGGCCGGCTCTACGACGAACAAGGCATGGGTGTCAGTTAAGACAGAGCTAGGCGGGTAATGTGCGAGAGACGTACAGCGGCATGTTTGTGTGCCACGCCTTGATGTGCTTGTGCCCGTAGTGGGTCACCGCGTGGCGACCAAGCTGTGCAATTCGTATGAGGGGACTGGTGTCCATGACGCACATGGGCAGGAAACACGTACAAGGTGTCCCCAGTCGCCGCCTTGGTACACTGCAATGTTATAGCGTAAGTACAATATTCCTAACTGTAACGTTTGCATTCCACATACCATACTCGTCGTATCCAAGGGAGACCATAAGTTTGTTGAAGACCTGTATGTTTTTGAGTGAGCATCCGGGCGGTCTATTCTCTCCGAATGTGTACCTCCGCAAATTGACAGCCGGCAAAGCCGGGCTTCTTCGGTGCCTCCGACCAGCCGAACCCAGGAAGACTCGGCGCGACGACATGGAAGCTAGGGTGATCCGCAGACTTCGCTGTCAAGATGGGCAAGATCTTCCTCGCCTCGAGGAAGTCGCCGGGCCCTGTAGAACACGCTGGCGTTAGCGCGGGGTCATTTCATGAAGGTCAAGGGGCGCGCGCTCACATCCATGCACGAAGAGGAGCGGGATCGCGTTCTTTACCTCGCTCTTTTGGTGCACGTAGTGGATGTTGAGCGTGCCGAAGCCGTCGACGTCGATGTCGCGCGTGAACATGGGCAGCTTGTTGATTTCTGCCTCGGACTTGCGCCAGTCGAAGGCGGTCTGCCAGTGCGCGATGAGGCGCTTGATGTCCGCGAGGGGGACGCCGTAGTCCCAGTTGGCACCCTCGAGTTCATCGGGCAGGCGGACGAGCTCGAGCTTCCTACGCAGCAGGTCGATATCGGCGTCAGGGACGTTGAGCGCGAAGGGCTGCTCCGTGGTGGTGGCCATTTTGACGGGCCAGTACGGAGATGGTGGGTGACGGCGTGACGGGAGGTACTTAAGGCTCGCAGCGAATATAGCGCCGGAGTTTAGGAAGGAGGATCACCGCAGCAGAATTGACTGAATGTGCGAAGGACACATACAAACCAGATCCCACGGGGCCGCTGATCGCGTAGGGAGGTACGCGAGTGACGCGAGCAAGATGAGCAGTGCATAGAATAACGTGAAGACCGACTGACGCACCGAGAACCGAGCCGTGAAGTGTCGCTTGTGCAAAACATGGGTGTAGCTGAACGAGCAGGGTGTGCTTTGGATGTGCTCATCGTTACCGACGCCGTCAATGACAAGAAGGATGGTGGTCAGACGCCGGGCCGCGCGCGAGTGGCCGAAGAAGCCGGGATGTTCGCGTTCGTCCGGCACGGTTGTTTGTCAAATTGTCCTATGATCTGGTCTCACATGGGATCATAAATCGTCATGATTTGGACGCGAGTTGGCCCATGACATAGTCAAATCAGTCGCGCACTTATACACACGATGCCTTGGACGTCACTGCGTTATTGGCTTGAGCTTTCCCAATGCCCATGGCCAGCGCTACACTGGATGCGTTTGACTCACTCATGGCAAGGTGTTCCATCACTGTGGAAGCTCGCAAGACGCATGAGCTCTAAGATAAGTATCCAAGACACGGAGGTCAGTCCCCGCGACAAATGGGCACCCCCATGCGCTCATGCTGCGAGTAGATCATGATGTGAGTGCGAATCTCATCAATATGATGTTACAGCGTCCCGAAGCCGATTCAAATAACAATGACGCACCTTGGCGGCGGAACTTCGAATTGGCCGACGAGGGCGCCCTCAAGGAAGCCAGTCAAGCTGTATAAATCACATGTAACAGTGATGGAACGCTCAGTTGTCCAAACTTTCAGCGACAATGTGCATCGGCAAAGTTGCACAGACCCTTATGGTCGGTATATAATATACATCAACTCGGAAAGGAGTAGCATGTGTACAGTCATCATATCTAGCACGCCAGCGATGAGCAGAATATTGACGCAAAGGATACGTCAACGACGTACCAAAACACTCCAACTCAGTCGTATCCGTTCTTACCCGGGACAACTCCATGCGCAGGCCCGCCCTTGCCATACATCTTGTGCAAGTCGCCCGCGAGCTTCTCCGGCTGCTCAAACGCGGCGAAGTGGCCACCCTTGTCGTGCGAGGACTCGAACACGAGTTTCCCGATCATATGCGACCATCTAGCCTCGCATCAGGATGTCAGCTGGAGTCGAACGAACAGATGGTTCCGGGGGGACGCACGACTTGGGGAGCAGCGCATTTTCGGCGGGGAAGTAGGAGACGCCGAGCGGGATGGACTGCCACTGGGAGCCGGTGTAGAACGAGTGCGTCTGCCCGCCCGTCATCTCGTAGTAGATGCGGCCGGCGGCGGTCGGACCCGCGCGGGAGAACCAGTACACGGAGATCCATTCGATGACTGTGGGGAGAACCATCAGCATATCGGAGAAGTGTGCGAGGAGGGGAGAGTAGATGCAGCGAGACGCACCTTCGTCGTCGGTCCACGGGTAATTGTCCGACCAGCCCACGAGCTTTTCGTAGATCCACGCGAGGAGGCCCACGGGGGAGTCCTCGAGGTTGTACCCGATCGTCTGGGGTTTCGTGGCTTGCTCCATGAAGTAGCCCATGCCCTTCGTGCGCCACTGCGCGGTCTTTTTGAGACCGGCCATCGCGGCCTTGTCCCACGAGAGGAACAGAGAACTGAGGTAGAGCAGGGGATTCCCGAGCAGAGTGGGGGGTTGAGATCTGGGAAGGCGCAGCTGGAGTTAGTTAGGGTTGGGTGGATTGCATGGGGAGAAGCGTACACTGGCAAGTTGGTGTGCCAGGCTTTGATGTGCTTGTGCGCGTAGTGGGTGACGGCGTGCAGTCCGAGCTACGTTGTTTGTATCAGAGGGGAGCGTATGCGGTGCACGCAGGTAGGAAACGCGCACGAGGTATCCCCAGTCTCCGCCCTGGTAGACTATAGGAACACGAGATGAGCAAAGTGTAAAGCCGAAAAATTGACACTCCACCTACCATACTCGTCGTATCCCAGCGCCAGCATGAGCTTATTGAAGACCTGTGTTGTGTATGAGACGCTGCTGGGTCTGTGTGTAGAACTTCGAATTCGCGTACCTCGGCATACTGAGCACCGGCGAAGCCAGGCTTCTTCGGTGCCTCCGAGAAACCGAAGCCGGGCAGACCGAGAGCGACAACATGGAAGCTGGGATTGCCCTCAGACTTCGCTGTCAACAGCGGCAGCATCTTCCGAACTTCGAGGAAGTCTCCCGGCCCTAGGAACGAGAAGTAAACGCGGTCTTCTGGGACACAGAAGAGCTTGGACGTACATCCATGCACGAAGAGGAGCGGAATTGCGTTCTTCACTTCGCTCTTTTGGTGGATGTAGTGGATGTTGAGCGACCCGTGGCCGTCTACTTTGATGTCGCGCGTGAACATGGGAAGCTTGTTGATCTCGGCCTCGGACTTGCGCCAGTCGTAGCTGTCCTTCCAGTGCGTGACGAGGCGCTTGATGTCTGCCAGAGGCGCACCATAGTCCCAGTTGGCACCGTCCAGTTCATCTGGAAGGCGAACGAGCTCGAGCTTCTTGCGCAGTAGCTCGAGGTCGGCCTCCGGAACGCTAAGGGTGAACGGTTTCTCCGAGGTATCGACCATCTCGAATAACAATGGTGGGGGGTGGCGTGGGTCGATCACGGACAGGCGGGGCGTTAAGGACGGGTTAAGTATGGTACACCGGTGTTTTAACCGGATATGACAACCGGCTGTATCGCACTGCGACGACAACAAACGATTGACTAAGCGGGACGAGGATGGGTCGGATGTGCTGTCATTACTTGTGCGATGGGCGACTTGCGGGCTCTCCCCGGTCGGACGGTGTGCAACGCGCCAAGAGCGGGCGAGGAGGAGATGACAGTCAGCGCATGAGCAAGCCGAGAAAGTCGGCCTCGGGAATGGCCGGCGGGCGGACCGGGAGGCCGGGACGCGTGGGTGGCCGCGTTGTTGACGCGTTGTTGTCCCGCCACTCTTCCCTCTTCCTCCCTTCATATGCGCACGACGCGTACGGTGGACCCTCGGGGGCGCGTATTCGCTGCGTCAATAAAGTCCTCCCTACTATTGCAACTTACCAAAATTAGCCATCTCCTCGAACCAAAAACAACGTGAGTCAGCACATGATGTACAAAATCTAGCTGTGGTAGGAGCTGCTCACTGTTGCCAGACTTGCCGCCAAGAATGGATTGACAACTCACATAGATTTCGGAGGAGTCTTTACCGTTCAAGGTCAGCCCCGCCGCGTCTTCAGACCATTGTCAACACGCCGGTCTGTATGGTCATCTCATAACCTGAGTTCAAACTGAGCGACCATTCATAGTTTAAAGGGCGCTATGACGGGCAACACACGGATTCCATACTTGACCTATGTGATACACGTCACGTAGTGGATGTTGAGCGTGCCGAAGCCGTCGACCTCGATGTCGCGCGTGAACATGGGCAGCTTGTTGATTTCCGCCTCGGACTTGCGCCAGTCAAAGGCCGTCTGCCAGTGCGCGACGAGGCGCTTGATGTCCGCGAGGGGGACGCCGTAGTCCCAGTTGGCACCCTCGAGCTCATCGGGCAGGCGGACGAGCTCGAGCTTCCTGCGCAGCAGCTCGATATCGGCGTCAGGGACGTTGAGCGCGAAGGGCTGCTCCGTGGTGGTGGCCATTTTGACGGGCTATGGAAATGTTGGAGAACGGCGTGACGGGAGGTACTTGAGACTCGCAGCGGATATAGCGCCGGAGTTTATGAGGGAGGATCACCGCAGCAGAATTGACTGAATGTGCGAAGGACACATACAAACCAGATCCCACGGGGCCGCTGATCGCGTAGGGAGGTACGCGAGTGACGCGAGCAAGATGAGCAGTGCATAGAATAGCGTGAATGCCGACTGACGCACCGAGAACCGAGCTGCGAAGTGCCGCTTGTGCAAAACATGGGCGTAGCTGAACGAGCAGGGTGTGCTTTGGATGTGCTCATCGTTACCGACGCCGTCAATGACAAGAAGGATGGTGGTCAGACGCCGGGCCGCGCGCGAGTGGCCGAAGAAGCCGGGATGTTCGCGTTCGTCCGGCACGGTTGTTTGTCAAATTGTCCTATGATCTGGTCTCACATGGGATCATGAATTGTCATGATTTGGACGCGAGTTGGCCCATGACATAGTCAAATCAGTCGCGCACTTACACACACGATGCCTTGGACGTCACTGCGTTATTGGCTTGAGCTTTCCCAATGCCCATGGCCAGCGCTACACTGGATGCGTTTGACTCACACATGGCAAGGTGTTCCATCACTGTGGAAGCTCGCAAAACGCATGAGCTCTAAGATAAGTATCCAAGACACGGAGGTCAGTCCCGGCGACAAATGGGCACCCCATGCGCTCATGCTGCGAGTAGATCATGATGTCAGTGCGAATCTCATCAACTTTATGATGTTACAGCGTTCCGAACAACATTGACGCACCTCGGCAGCTGGACTTCAAATTGGCCGACGGGGAAGCCATCAAGAGTCGTCGAGAGCCAGTTCAGGCTGTGTCAGCCACATGGAACACTCACTTTTAGCATTAGTGTACATCAGCATTGGGCAGACATACGGTCGGTATATAACATCCAGATATTCGGAAAGGAGTAGCATGTGTACGGCCATCATATCTAGGACACCAGAGATGAGAAATACAACGACCCAAAGAATATGTTAGCGACGTACCAAACCACTCCGACTCAGTCGTACCCGTTCTTGCCCGGGACGACGCCATGCGCAGGCCCGCCCTTGCCATACATCTTGTGCAGATCGCCCGCGAGCTTCTCCGGCTGCTCGAACGCGGCGAAGTGTCCGCCCTTGTCGTGCGTGGACTCAAACACCAGGTTCCCAATCATGTGCGACCACCTACTCATGGTCGTCAGATCTGAGATAGACTCGAAAGAACAGATGGCGCGGAGGGACGCACGACTTGGGGAGCTGCGAGATCTCGGCGGGGAAGTAGGAGACGCCGAGCGGGATGGACTGCCACTGGCTGCCCGCGGAGGGCGGGCGCGTCTGCCCGCCCGTCATCTCGTAGTAGATGCGCCCGGCGGCCGTGGGGCCCGCGCGGGAGAACCAGTACACGGAGATCCATTCGATGACTGTGAGGGTTAGCATCAGCATTTCAGAGCAGCAAGGGTAGGGTGGCTAGAGCTCACGCACCTTCGTCATCGGTCCAGGGGTAGTTGTCCGTCCAGCCCACGAGCTTCTCGTAGATCCACGCAAGCAGGCCCACGGGCGAGTCTGCGAGGTTGTAGCCAAGGGTTTGGGGCTTCGTGGCCTGCTCCATGAAGTAGCCCATGCCCTTGGTGCGCCACTGCGCGGTCTTCTTGAGGCCGGCCATCGCGTCCTTGTCCCACGAGAGGAACAGAGAGCTGAGGTAGAGCAATGGGTTTCCGAGAAGTGTGGGGGGACGGTATCTGGGGAGCCGTAGATGGGATTAGATGAGGTTGAGGGGAGCTCTAGGGATAGAGACGCACGAGGGCATGTTGGTGTGCCAGGCCTTGATGTGCTTGTGTGCGTAGTGGGTGACGGCGTGCAGTCCGAGCTAAGAGGCTTGCTGTCAGAGGGTCGCTATGCGGCGCACACAGTCGGAAAATGCGCACGATGTATCCCCAATCTCCGCCCTGGTAGACTATAGGAACACAGGATGATTAAAGTGTAACATCGAAATCTAACACTACACTTACCATACTCGTCGTATCCCAGTGCCAGCATAAGCTTATTGAAAACCTGTGTTCTGCATGAGATGCTGATGCGTCTGCATGTAGATCTTCGAATTCGCGCACCTCGGCATACTGAGGACCGGCAAAGCCAGGCTTCTTCGGTGCCTCCGAGAAACCGAAGCCGGGCAGACTAAGAGCGACGACATGGAAGCTGGGATTGCCCTCCGACTTCGCTGTCAACAGCGGCAGCATCTTCCGAACTTCGAGGAAGTCGCCCGGCCCTAGGAACAAGAAGTAAACGCGGGCTTCCGAGACACAGAAGAGCTTGGACGTACATCCATGCACGAAGAGGAGCGGAATTGCGTTCTTCACTTCGCTCTTTTGGTGGATGTAGTGGATGTTGAGCGACCCGTGGCCGTCTACCTCGATGTCGCGCGTGAACATAGGAAGCTTGTTGATCTCGGCCTCGGACTTGCGCCAATCGTAGCTGTCCTTCCAGTGCGTGACGAGGCGCTTGATGTCTGCCAGAGGCGCACCATAGTCCCAGTTGGCACCGTCCAGTTCATCTGGAAGGCGAACGAGCTCGAGCTTCTTGCGCAGTAGCTCGAGGTCGGCCTCCGGAACGCTAAGGGTGAACGGTTTCTCCGAGGTATCGACCATCTCGAATAGCTATGGTGGGGGCAAGAGTGAGGTGGCGTGCGTCGATCACGGACAGGTGGGGGCGTTAAGTATGGGGTAAGTGTGGCACACCGGTGTTTTAACCGGATATGACAACCGGGTGCATCGCACTGGGACGACAACATAGGATTGACTAAGCAGGAAGAGGATGGGTCGGAAGTGTTGAAAATGCGCGGTGCTGTCATTACTTGTGCGATGGGCGACTTACGGGCTCTTGCGGTCGGACGGTGTGCAGCGCGCGAAGAGCGGGCGACGACGCGATGACAGGGAGCGGATGAGGCGCAGCGTCGAGCAAGCCGAGAAAGTCGGCCTCGGGAAAGTCGGGCGGGCGGACCGGGGGGCCGGGACGCGTTGGTGGCGGCGTTGTTGACGCGTTGTTTGTCCCGCCACCCACTCATCTCCTTCTGCTTATGGACATCTGCAGACGACACCGTGGCCTCCGTGAGCTGCGTCAACAGTACGCCGACCGTCACTCATCTCACCCAAGCTAGAGCATATGCCAATGGGCCGGGCGTTTATGAGCTTCAACCAAAGACGTGAGTCAGCACATAATGCAGCAATATCTGATTATACTGAGTTGGAGCTGCTCACTATGGCCAGGCTTGCCGCTGCAATTGGTGGACAACTCGCATAGGTATTGAAGTCGTCGTTACTGTGCAAGATCGGCTCTGCCGGGTCTCCAGACCATTGTTAACACGCAGGTCTGTATGGTCATCTTATGACCTGAGTTTGAATTGAGCGACCATCCATTGAAGGGCGCTATGATGGGCAATACACAGATTTTGTACTTGGCCTATATGACTGAAGGTGCGAATCCCTTGAAGAGGGTGCGCGGCCTTTCGAATAATGCCGTTACCTTTTTGTATCAGATGGCTGACGAACGCTCGCGGCCCTTCCGCGTGAGTTCTCACAGCGTAATTCCGATAGCAGGGCTCGAACGCTGAACCTGATTCTGTCAGAATCTGCTGGCACACGCGTCTACCACCACGAAAACACTGCGCCACGCCACGGCGTGCCTGCCATCCAGCGCCCTCCCGACCGCAATCTCGAGGTCTCCCGCCCCGTGGCGGCCCATCCGCACGTAACGAGGAGAACGTTCCAAGGACCCCGGCGGGGCGCTGGGCGGTCGCGTTTCACCCCCGGCGCGATTCGTTCCCGCCCAGCCGCTGGTGATATTCCTGCCGCATTATGCGCGCTCGTTCCGACCGGCGTCGGACCTCCTGAAGCAGATGCCGTTCGCGGAAGCTCATTCCAATTCCTTCCCTGCGAATTCGCGCCTGAAACGTACCCGCAACGCCCCCCGGCCCATCTCTCGCCGCTTGGTCAAGGCACTGCGGCCGTAGTGTGGGCCGTAACTTGCGCTAGAAGGACCCAGTACTCTCGTGCCGGTCGAATGCATTGAATGTGCGTATCGATTCAAGTTCATTCGGGTCTCCGGATTCTCAGTGCGTGTTTCTGAAGCGTGTCTCTTGTTCAGAGATGTTTCCGTGTTTCTAGGACATTGAAAACCGTCCGTCATTGCCGCAAGAGAGCAGAAGGTGAGGAGCACGCGTGCTTGATCACGCGTGCTATCGGTGCATTCACTCCAGTGAATCACTGGGTCTCTGCAGCGTACGTATGAATGGAAGGCGCGACAACATATTGCGTCCATAACCACGCCAATCAAATATCACACTGCAGCGCATTCGCCAAGTTCCCCGAGGTGAGCGTGCCGATCGTAACGTGTGCGGGCGCTGGAGCCAATCTGTGATATAGCGTATCGGTGGTGTAGAGGAGGTCTGTGGGCGTAACTCCGCACTTCTGTCCCCGCAACATGGCGGTCTCTTGCGACTTGTTTCGTGGCTACATGGCCACCTCAAAAGCTTCAAAATCGACTCAGGCGTCAATGCAAGAGGCCTAGGTGCGTGTATGATTTTCTCGCGCTGAAAACGCTCGAATTCACACAACAGACCGGCTAGTATATGTCACGGTCGGGACCGGGAGAATTGGCTCAGGAATTAGCTAAGCAGGACCGATCGGCCTCGCGAGATTCAATGGGCGTGAGGCAGTCCTGCCCCGAGCTCGAGCCTCGCTTGCCCGCCGCGAGTATCAAGGTTTGCGTTTGATGAGCGCGCGGGGGTGCGCACATCGTTTTCGCGAACAGCCCCCGGTGCGTGTCCTTCACACCCCGTGAGGCGGCGTCGTACCCGCTTGCTGCATTCGCGCCGCACAGGGCGAGTGCTGCCCATTGACTCCCGGCGATAGGCACGCGGGGCGTGGGGGGCGAGCGTGCGGAGCACATGGGCATGGGGGGCGCTGCGGCACTCGAGGAAGAAGACCCGGCGCACCTGACGAGATCGCAGTTCTCCCGGCGGCTGCTGCGAACGGATGGCGAGGGGACGACGCGGCGGAGCGGCGAAACTGTTTGCGGCGCGGGGTTGGGCGTTGGACGCCGGGCGACATGCGGTCGACAGAAACTGCCAAACATCGAAGATCGGATGCCGGTTTGGGCTTCGGCGAGCAGCCTTTCGCCGGTGCGCTGGGCCACTCCCCCGCTACTCAGCCCGTCTTCGCCCCGGGGTGCGAGCGTGGGCGGCTGCGCGCCCGACAGGTGGTCGCACGCGAAGCCATCCCTGCGATCTTTCGTGCACAACGCCGGTAACTCACTAGCTCCCCTGGGCAGCTGCGGCCTTGGTCTGGTATCTCTGTGCGAGTCACCCTCCGGCGTTCCCGTGCCAGTGCTTTACTTATCTGAGTACCGATGCAGGGTATTAAGCTCGCAGTTCTCGCGCAGAACTGCGCGAAGAGGCCGAGAAAGGGCGTTCTTTCCGCAAACCATTACGACGAGGTGCGCCCGAGGACACTCTAGCCCCGGAGAGCCGGTGGAGGGCATCGATCTTTGTCTAGAACCGACAGAAAGCGTCACCCGGGAGGAGATGGTGCGGAAACGCTATCTCGCCATTCAACGTGGTTCGGGCCATCCTCTTGCCTCTCCAGGAAAGGCTGAGCAGGGCGCCAGCCGCCGATGCGTTCCCCCGTCCACGGGCGTGGCACACGGAACACGGCGGCCGCGCGTGCCCCTGCAGACAGCCCTCCTTTGGGGCCGCGATGACGAGAGCGGCAGGTGCGGTGCGGGCGGTCGGTGGGCGAGTTGGACTCTTGTTGGGTAGCCACGCCCGGGGGCTCGCGCCCCAGTCCACCACCCCGCGATGGGCGACTCCGACCCCGTCGCAGCGCACCCACGGTGCGGTCCACACCGCTGCGCACAATTTGAATATGCGCCTGCTTCCAGGCAGAGCCCTGCTCGTCTCCGTGCGCGCTGCTGCGACCAGGCGCGTGCGCGCCGCGACTCGGGAGAATTGTGCTGATGTCGGGGCGTTCTTCTAGACCCAACTGCACCCAGGGCCGGCTTGGGCGTCCTCCGGAGGGTCACGTACGCGCTGCCTCGTATTCTCCCGCGACTGGTAAGCCTCGCACCGCGTCTGGGTATCCGGATGCCTTGCCTCGTGCGGGCGGTCGCGAGGCGCGTTCTTCTCGCTCCTGCGTCTTCTGCGAGATCGGAAATCTGATCACGAGCCTCGCGACCGCTGCATTGCATCATAGCGTCCGGATATCCAGACATGCTGTCTGCCTTGCATACAGTCCACCTCTGGCGCACTTGGAGTCTCCGCACACCGCGCTGGGCGGCAAAGAGTCGCACACCAGCGGTATGTAACTCAAGTTCCGCACCGGCGGCCGTGCCCCTGGATCCCCTTCTCGCAGGCTGTTGGCCTGTTTGGGGCGCGGAAGCGCAACCTTGTATTTCGCGGGGCTGCCAGAAGCGGGCGTACGCGATGTGGCGGCGGGGGTGACGTACTGGGCGTGTCGCCTGTGACCTCGCGTCCGCCCGAGCCGCCCGCAGACTCGTGTTGTTTATGTACACGGCTGTGATGCGCCACGGCCCGCGTCGAATCAGCCTGAAATGCAGACGGAGGTGAGTACAAGGTGCATTAGCGACTGAACGGGCACGAACCGCTGTGCGCCGCGTACCTGGCCCTCTTCGGGACCGCTGGGCTGGAGAGGAGTTAGGTGGGACGCAGAATGAAATGGGGAAGTGCAGAAGGGCGAACACGTTCTCGAGAAGGCGGGCGCGTGCAGAGCAGCGTATAGGCTGAGGATAGGTGGCCGGTACTTTTGCGTTTTTATGCGTATGCGTGCCCGTCAGGCTCCCGGCAGGCTTCCGTTGCCCCCACTGCCCGGTACCCCCGCCGGCGAGCGTCGAATGCGCCAAAAATACTGCTGGTCTGCAGCCCAGCTCAAACTCCTATACAACATTAGGGGTTAGAACCTCCCCGGGGCGAGCTGAGATCTCCTGCAGCACGCCCGGCCGACCTTCTTGCCATCGCCATCGCCATCGCGAAGACGAAGGCGGAGGGGGGCAGGATGTCGTCACCACGGCGCACCCGGTCCCAGCGCGGCGAGGGGCATCGCGCTCGGTGCGTGAAGCTTCAAGGTTCGCCATCCGCCCGCGTGTGCGGGCGGCGATACGGGTGCAGCACGAGCCCCGCGGCTGGGGTGGGAGGGTGGGAGCGGCGGGGGCTTCGCGCTTCGGGCGTCGAAGATCATGATCCCGAAGCGGGCGCGCAGCTGCGCGGGGTGATGGCGTGCACGCTTGCGAGGACGCGTGGGCCCGCGAGCCGTGCGCGCGCTGGAGCGCGTTGGAGACTTGCCATGGGTACGAGGCTACGAGCGAGGGAGGAGTGGGAGCACTGGTGTTGTTGGGATGTGGTGGATTCAAGTCCGGCGCCACCGGGGTATGCACAGCGATCGTACTGGTGGTCCTGCTCTGCTTTGCTCTGCAGAGGCTCCGAGCCCGAGCGTTCCCAGCGCGAGGCGCGCGGCGCACGGTGCGGTGGTTGAGAAGAGGAGGAGTGGCGCCTGGGCGGACTGTCGAGCCTGAGCCTGAGCCTGCTGTGCTCGCGATTCTCCCGCGCCACCTCCCCCTCGCGGGCACGCTGCTTGCCAAACCCGCGCGAGCGCCGCCGAGCGGTGCACAGTGAACGCATCGCGTAGGCGCAGAGCCGCGTTTCACACCTGGCCTTCCCAGCTTGCTCGCCCCAGGTGTACTTGGAATCGGAGCGCAGCCCCGGGGCGATGTGATCAGCACGGGCGGGGGCGAGTAGGGGTTGCGGCGCGCCGCCGCGGCCGTAGTCCTGCATACAATGAATGCTCATGGATCATCAGCGACGCCGCTACGGTGCTCCCCCGGCAGGGCTGGTATGCAGCGAAGCACGCCCGGGAGCAGATGAGCGGCTGGGCGCGCGGGCGCGGGCGATGATATCAGCGGCGAGCGGAAGGGAAGCTGCGGCACATCTGAATACACGCACGGAGTGCGCGTGCTCCAGTCACCCTCGGCGGACCTCATACGCCCCCTCCGCCCGCGGTGGCCAATAAGCGTTCAGGTAGCTTCAAATTGGCCGGGCCAGATACATGATCACGACCGCTGTATCGCTTGTGGCCCAATCGCTGGCTCGCTCGGCGACTTCGGAGCTCGCTAGGTGCTGGGGAGGCTTTTGAGGGCCCGCAGATAGATGGGCGAGATAGACTGGCTGGCCCGACGGTCGAATAATGTGGCACCCGCCACGCGCCGCGCGCGGTTCACCCGGAGGGGCTGGGTGGGCTGGGTGCACTGAACGGGGGCGTACCGAGCATGCGCGCGGTGAGACTAGCGAGCGAGAGATCTGCGCGCATCAAATATACGTTTACGGGGGATACAGGCAGGGCGGGCGGGCGAGGCGCATCACAGGGGCGCGGCGACGATAGCAGGAGTGCTGATCGGCCTCTTGCAGAGTACGTACGATGTGTGTATCACGAGCTTGAGCGTGCGTACTTACGAACGAGCGAGCACTGTATCAAGCTTGCAAGTGTAAACTTACCGAGGCGGAATTGAAGTTCGGCTGGGTGAGAGGATGAGCAGGAGCACCACCAGGCACGGCGGTGTCATCGACGAGAGCGCACTCGCGAGTCCAGAGTATGTCGTGCCTGCAAAGGACCGATGTATTGCGCGATCGCGACGAGCGTGCGTGTACAGGGAGGATATAAATGACCAAGAAATGAGCACAGGGGGCAGGCAGCGAGCCGATCTACCGACCGCGCATAGGGGCTGAGAGGGAGAGGAAAGCAAGTCCGGTGTGTGCCAGCGATAGCAGCGAGCGATCGAGAGTCCCTCTAGAGCGAATAAGTACGACACGAGGCGTTACTAGGTGGTACATGTACGATAGGTATATGATACGAGTTCGATGCGATGCGATACGATGCGCGTGGAGTGTATGGGAGGTATGGCGGAAGATGCGGGAGAGCGGCGTAGGGGTACAAGGGGGAGGCGGGACGTATGGCGAACTCGTCGACGCTCGCCATAGCAAAGCAGGGGAGGTGGATGCGGGGGTAATTGCGGACCGGCGTGGTATCGAAACAGGGGAGAAAGGCCACATAAGCGGGGACCAACGTACAGCGACGGCATAATAGCACACGATAGGGATATAGAGAGCAAGGAGGAGACCGACCAAGAAGGTGCATGCAGCACAGTGCACGACGTTTTGCGAAGATGAATGTACAAGTCCCGGCGCCCGCGCCGTTGTGCGCGCCGCGGCTACGACGACGATTGACCAGAAGACGACGCGGGCGAACGAGGAGGGATGAGACGAGAGCGGACGGCAGCGGGTGGTGGGGGCGAGGGGGCTTGGAGGGAGGGGACCAGGAGGACGACGAGGAGAGGGACCCGAGTAGCCGGCCGAGGAAATTAGGGGCAAAACAAATACGCTACTTTGATCGGGATTGTCCAAACAAAGAGACACAGAGAGCAGAGCGTCTGTCCGAATCGGGCGAGTGCGGGCGCCACGACTTACGTCCGAGCGCGTCGTTGGGGTCGATGCCGCCCCGCGTTTAGCTGGTCGCAGCAGCCTCGAGTCACGGCGGTAGCAACGAGCGTTCACTGCGGCGTACCGTACCCTGACCCGGACTGAGGTCCCGGCGACGCCGAGTGCTCCGGAAACCGGTACCCGCTCTGATCGTCGTTTCCGGGCGTGAGCACGCGTCCGCTCGGGCTCTGGCTGGGGGCCGCGTGGTGGCTGCCGCTCTGCGCGTAGCTTGCGCTCTGGCTGTACATCGGCGACCCGCCCATGTAGTTGCCACCGCTGCTGAAGAACCCGCCCGGGCTCGTCGAGGAGCCGCCGTGGTGCGGGTGTGCCGAAGAGGGATGAAGCGCGGTCGTACCGCCATACGAAAGGCGGCTTTGGGCATACGAATCGTTGAGACCGTAGGGACTGTGGCCGTGTCCGTGGTGACCGAGGCCCAGGCTGCCAGCAGTCGCGTGGCTGGACGACAGACTCCGGGACATGTTCACCATATGGCGGGTGGATATTTGGTGATTGTGCGGATCGTGGGCGAGGGACTGGAGAGACATGGGGTAGTACAACTGAAGGGTATCCGTGGGCATAGACATTCGGCGGCCGGTGTCGAGAGCAGAAGGGACACCGAGGCCACCCATGCCCGGAGCAGGCATGCCCATGCCTACGCCGCCGCGGGAAGCAAAGGGAGTCGTCGTGGTAGGACCGGCAGTGCTATGCCGCGCGGGCGCGAGGATGCGCCTGCGTGCCTGTGGAAGTTGTGAGCGACGGATCACGCGGAGAATAACATGAGAAAGAACGTACGTTGATCATCCAGTTGGAGACCTGCGACATCGACAGCCCGGTAGCATGGCACAGCTGCTTCTTCTCCTCCTCCGACGGGTAGGGGTGGTCGGAATGACGGTGCAGCCAGTCTTTGAGGAAGTCAGTGACCGGCTTCGGGAGCTTGCCGCGCTTGCGTTGCGGGGGACGGTCGACCATGCTGTTAGGACTGCCGGCGGGTGCTGTCTGAGGGGAGCGGTTGGGCGAGCCGGTGACATTAATCGCGGGGCCGGACGCGCCGGCACCGGCAGACATGGTGGACGCGGAAGACATGCCGAAGTCGGGGGGCGAGTTGGGGAAGTTCCAGTCGCTCTCGGACTTGATACCGTTGGGTGCGCCGAGGCGGGAGGAGGGAGAGCGGTCTGCGGAGTGTCCGGAGATGCGCTGGACGCCACCAAACATAGACTGGGGGCCGCCAATCGAGCTGTGGCGGAGGGAGTCGACGGTGCCGGGGGTCGAGCTCGGGCGGGCAATGGATGCGCCGGACCAGGAGTCGGGATCTGACAGGCCCGAGGGAGAGGCGGCGGAGCGGCTGCTCACGGCGGAGAAGTCGGAGGAGAGCGGGGAGAAACCGAAGGAGGAGGAAGAGGAGAGCGCGGCGCTAGGGAGCGAAGAAATGTCGCTCACAGCAGATCCGGGGTATAGCGTGTCGAGACGCGGCCGCTCTGGCTTGTTGTCTCCCTGGTCGTCGTGGGACGGGAACTGGTAGCCCTGGAGGCCGGACGACGAGGACTGGGAGGTGCGGTGGCCCTGGCCCGGATAAGGCAGGCGGAGACGCGACGCGGGATTCTCCGAGTAGAGGTTGGGGAGGGAGCCGCGGCGAGAGTCGTGGCGGTCGCTGAAGGTGGACGCGAGCGAGGGGAGCTGGACGCGCGAGGAGTCGAGATCGGCGGGGGCGGGGAGGCCGGAAGAAGCGTGGTCTGGCGTGGCGGGATCGGACCAGGGCGAGTCGACGTTAGGGCGGGAGCGCTTGGGGAGGGGAGAGTGCTCGGGGGTAGCGGTGTGCTTGTCCGGACGGGAGTGGAGGCTGCTGTCAGAGGTGGCAGAGCTGGACATGCGGCGCGAGTCGTAGTCAATCTCCCTACGCGCGGCGGGCGGGCGTCAGCGGGGACGATCTCTGCGGCGGACAGGGAAGACGGAGAAGCAGGAGAAGGGGACGTACAGGAGACGGGCGTCGAACGACAGCGGGTCTGTCTCGGAAGACTTGGCGTGCTGCTGGCTGCTGTGGGCGGAAGGGCGGGTGAGCGGCAGATCGCGCAGGAGGAGGAGGGGACAACGCACTCGAGGGCGTACTGGAGCTGGTGGACGTGGTAGGAGTCGATGGCAAGGGGGTCGGGGAAAGAAGGGGAGCTGTCGACGGGGAGCGTGTCGATCATTGAAAAGCAAAAGGGAGGCGGGGCGGAGGCGGTAGACGACGGCGGCGGCTGCGGGGTCCCCAGCGAGCGACGGCGAATAAGACAGGTGTGGTATAGCCTAATGGAGAGCTCGAATATTTAATTAAGTCGCCTCGATCGCCGTGAGCTCGCGTCCGTGGTGTCGTAGGGTGGCAGTAGATCGAAATTCCATTCTGCCTCTGCACGCGCCCTATTTATCCTTCCCTGTCATCGCTTTCCTCTCCCAAACCTTGCGGGCCCTGCTTCCCTTTCCGCACGCCCTTCTTCCAATCATCGCTCGCTTCCGCTCCTTCGGGTCGCAGACAGGTACCGCGTACCCGAGCCAGATGGCTGTGCTTTCCCCCCGCCTGCAATTAATCATATCTCCAATCCTCCGATCTCGTCCAACAAACACCCGTCAACAGGAGAGATTTCCCCAGATATTCCCTCCGCTTTTCCCACCTGCAAACCTTGTTCCCGATGCGTCCCATTTTAATTACCGCGAACTCCCGGCCGCCCTCCGCGGGCCGCCGATCTACACATTGTTTTTCGCCCTCTCTTCCTTTCCTGGCGCCGCACTTCCTGCCTCGCTTGCCGCCGCCGCCGCCACCATCAGCGCAAGACGAGGACGAGCGCGTCTCCTCCGGTGAGCAGCGTACATCCTCCGTCGTCCACACACTGCCCCAGCGAGCGTGAGTTTAGGACCCCCGCCCTCCCGACGTGCTCGTACGCGCCGACAGGCACGGCGCTGCGCGCGCTCCGTGGTTCTGCACAGTGCCTCCTGCACCGGGCGGAGGAGGGTCGGCCGGGGAGGGCTTGCGAAGTGCCTTCTTCGAGGACGTATTACGGCCGGGAATGGGCATATTGCTAGCGCCCGGGCTGCTTACCACACCTTCGAGGCCCTCGCTCTCCGAGAGCCCGAGTCGCTCCCAGGGTGCGAGTCTGAGCGAAATCGCCTGGGAGCGGCCCGCTGATTCGCCCCCTCCTCCACTGTATCGCGCGCTGCATTGCATTTGCATTCCAATTCGATGGCGCGCGCGAGGCGATATTGACTGGCGAGGAGTCCCGTGCATCCGTGATGTCAGGCCAGCCGCGGAATTCGTTTTGTGCTGGCCTGCGCACCCCGGCGACCTTGTCGAGATGGCGGGGTGGCCGTGTATGGGAAAGACGAGCTTACGGTCTGCGCTTGCCCTCGAACGCGTCGGAAGGACTCAGGCACGCACGCCCACGGTGCGTCCCTGGCGGTGGCTGGAGGGGGAGAGGAGGAAGACCGGGGACTGTGATGGGCCCGCTTGCTCGCCTCCAGATCCGTCTTCCATTCATCCCATCTCGTCCGCGCCGGCCACCGCTCCCACCGCCCTCCTTCGCGCGTCCCGAGCAGCCCACCGGCCCAGACCGCCGCCCCTCCAGCTTGCCCGCGCAGAGGAGCAGCTTCTGGGGAGAGATGTGCGCACCGGCTGCTCCACAAACAGCCGTGCTTTCTCCGCTTCCGGCCTCGACGCGATCCTCCCCGCGCCTACCTGAACTTTGTACAGAGCGCTTCGACGCGCACCGCCCAGGGGGCCCATCGCGCACAGGGATGTGCATCGATGCCCACAAGAACTACCTCCGGTCGCGCGCGACACAGCTCCCACAACCAACAGGGCAAACTCCGCGTCTCCTCGACGAGCCGACGCCGCCGCCGTGCAGATCCCCTCCGGTATCGCCAGAGCCCATCGCGCCCGTCCCCCTGCACATCGCGCGCATCACAGCGGGGTGTCGCCGGGGGCGCGCTGTGGCGACTCCGAGGCGAGCCAAACGCGAGTACTGTTTGTCGCCAGGCCCATGACGCGCGCCGGCGGTCTACATCGACGTCGTCGGCGCGGGCTGTGCGTCGTGCCGCCCCTGCGTCCAACCTGCAATGTCGCGATGCCATGGCAGCCCATCTCGCGCTGCAGAAGCAGAAGCTGGCGGCGAGATCATATCATGAGCATATCATGTCGCGCGCATCCCGTCCCACGGCTCACCAGCTCACTCCCAGATCTGCGTCTGCGATGCGCTGTCTGGGCTGTCGCGCGCAGACAGACGTGCCAATGCCGCCGTCTGTCGGTGTCGCTTGTCTGTACAGCGGAGCCCCTGCTGTTGTTGGTGCTTCATGCCTGATCACGCTCGGGCTGGGATTCGCGGTGCGGAACGCAGCTGCTGCCGCCCGCTCGGCGATCTCTCTATTCTCCGATGGCAGCACGGCCGTGCTCCCTCTTACCCTCGCACAGTGGGCGTCCGCCGTCAAGGATTGTGTTGCCGGTGCTGTGTACCCGGAGACGTCCTGCGACCACGACGTGCACCAAGACACCTCGAAGGCGGGCGCGTCCTCGCCAACATCCTGCGCACGTACGGCGGAACGCCTTCCGCTCGAGCCCTCATCTTCCGCCCGGGCGCAGATGTGAGCTATGGCACGGACGCAGCTCGGCTCAGGGATATGAAGAGAGCTGCATCAGACCCATGGGTGCCCGCTGATAGATTGCGGCCTCACGCGCGCACGCACGGCTCGATGTGCACACAGACGACAGTACCCGTGGGCTGCCCTCAATGGGCCTCATTGCTCCCGCGGCGCGTGTGAGCGCGGTGTGCCTTGCTCTCTGTCGGCGGAGCGCTGGGCGAACGAGAGACGGGCAGGCGCGCTGCTCTCTGCGGCCGGAAGGGGTCTCATGCGCACTCAAGCTCGGGCGGGGCGCGCGGCGTGTGGTCTGGGGTGCAATGCACTATACAAGGCAGAGGCGCGTGCACGGGTACGAGAATCAGGTGCGTGAGCGAGTGGGGGTTGTGTGTCCCAGGGCCGCCGCGCTCGCTTGGGCAGCCGTCCTCGGGATCCCGATTCCTGTGTGCTGCTCGGGTGGGCGGGATGTCGGCACTGGGCAGGGGCGCGGGAGGGATCACGCGTGCGATGCAGCCCGTTAATGAAAAGCGGATCCCCCGGGGTATCCGGATGGCGCATTTCATTTCGGCGCACGCGGGCGCTGGAGACGGGGACGGTGGGTGCACTCTATCTTCCCGCTGCAGGTCTATTTCCGCGGACGCTGATTGATGCTCGTTGTATTTATTTTACAGGACGGGCCACATGCGTATGTACCAAGAGCGCGTACGGCGCGTGGGTCGCTGGCCAGCCCAGCCCAGAGCGAGTGAGTCCGGGGTATCGACGCGCCGCGCCGACGGGAGCACTCGCGCTTCTGCAGCTGCTGGGGGGTGATCTTCCGCGTTTGGGACCGGGGCTTGTGGGCTGCGCCCCTCGCGGTGCGCTTGCGCCCGGTGTGGGTCGCTGGGTGGGTTCTGTAGGGTTGGGTGTTCCCACGGAGAGCCCGGGGCGGGGTCAGAAAGAAAAAGAGATCGCAGGCAGAATGCGCATCCGGGCGCGCGTGCTGGGCCGAAGAAGATGTACAAGGTAAGGTGAGTATACGGGTGGCAAGATGGAGGGGGCGGCGCGGCGGCCGCAGCGCACCCGGCCGCCCGGGTCCTTGGTCTTCGGCGTTTGCGTTCGCGCGTTCGAGGAAGTGATGCGGGGTGACAAGTATGAATGAATGCATAGTGGAGTGGCAATGGAGGCAACGCAGGATCAGAGCAGCGCAGTCTCCTGGGACGGAGGCGCGCGCCCGCGGGATGGGAGCCGGCGGTTAGGGGGCGGATGGGGAAGGCGCGAAGGCTGATGCGGGCGATGGCGATGGGGACATTGCACATCGCACTGTGCAGATGGGAGGCGGAAGAAGCAGGCGTGTTCCGGAGGTGAGTCGTGCGTTGAGTGGGTTGCCAGATTGGGCGGGCGTCGGATCGGTGGGCGGATTAATATTGATGGAGATGCACTCGGGTGACGGATGGATCATGGGCGAGATTGGGTTGCATTGAGGAGCTTGAAGTCAGGTGTGGGTGTGGGCGCAGTGCGAGGAGGACGGGGCGTTATACGCGGGGAGTGGGCGTCGCAGGCACAGATGGGGCGGGCGTGCGACTCCGAGGCTGATTTGCCGGTTCAGGAAGGGATTATGGTTGGATGCACCGGCCGCGGTGTGATGGCGATAGCTGCAGGTTCAAGCTTGCTGATCCACGTTCGTTCCTTCGCTCGGTGAGTGCGTGCGATTGGGCGTGACTGGGACTGACGCGGTGCTGCGCAGGTACGCGGGTGTGACGGTATAATGAAGTCAATGAACGCCTCGAGGGTGCGCTGGCCGTCGAGTGTTCGCGAGCGGTGACCGCGGCTGGCGAGCACGATGACAGAGGGGCGGTGCCGGCTGCGACGGAGGACGCGGGGCCTGCGAGGCGTTCCTGTATGCTGTCCGGTGGCCCACTGCAAAGGCTGGTGAGTCGCCGGATTTGTGTTGTGAGCGTCAGCGAGGATGTTCTGCGCGACAAGTGGGCGAACGGGGCGGCGCACTTCTCTTCCTTTGTCGGCGCGGGCGCTGAAACGCGCTCTCGCGCACCTAGGGTCCGCTTCTGGCAGGGAAGGTGCGCTTCTGTTCGTAGGAGAGGAGGGGCGCGCCATCTTGTTTCGCACAGATCCTGGCCGGGTTCGCTGCTTCCATTGGCAGTGATCATCAGTGCACCCCATCAGCTCGCTGTCTGCCCCCCAGAGCGAGTGCGCTATGGAGGGGACCCACGCTCGAGGTGTGGCTCTGGCGTTTCCTCGTGGATGTGTGGAGTGTCGCGCGGACGTCGCGACGTGCTTGTCTGTGTTGCCGGCGGAGCTGGACGGGGCGTGCTGGCCCGGGACGGCTGTGGGACTGCTTGTGTTATGGCCCGGGACGTCAGTGTGCTGGATCTGGGAGGGTGGATGCAATCTGTCCTTGTTGGTGTGCAAGTGGAGCGTCTGTTCTGCTGGAACGCGAAGCGCGGTTCTTGCAATAAACTGTCAGGCGTGGGCACGTCCGTGTCAGATTGCCTGGCCCGGTCGGGGTGTTCGGCAGAGCAATGTTCGGGCTCGGCGCTCAACGGAGAAAGAAGGAGGGCGGCTCGATTGGGTTTTGACCGCGGCGGCGGGGGATGCGCCCCATCTTCTCACCGCTCTGACGAACTTTGGGCCCCCTATCCGCGTCTGCTGTGGTCAGAGAGGTCAGAACGTCTGGTCCGCCCGCAATACAAATTGACGACGCCGAGGACGACGGTGGTGCCGTCAATATTATGGCGGTGCGCATGGCTGCCGGTGCATTCGATCCGGGCCGCGGGGTGCAAGCATCCATCGGCATTGCCGAGTCGACCGACTTCGGGCTGCCCATGTCCATATGTGCGACGAATAATATCACCATCTTCAACTGTTCGTCCCTGGGCGCTCGACCTCTCTTGTGTGTCTGTTCTATCCTCGTACTTGTTTGCGTTTGCTGACACGCGCATATCGCACCCCCGTAGCACGCCGTCCTACGGTCTCAACAGGCCAGACGTGCTGCGCCTATGCCGTCGTCCATGCCGGCACGCTCTCGAGTCTGAACATACTCAATCGACGGGGGAATCTCCCCCTCCCTCGTTCTCCGCGATTATCTAAGCCGGGATTTCATCCCATCGTGCCCCCCTAACCGCACCTTGAATCACCGGCGACGATACCCACCAAGTCGTCATCCAGCCGTGACAACATACGGCACCCCACGCACCGTACGGTACTACCACCCCATCTCGCCCGAGTAGTACGTTCGCACCCAATCGCATTTCTACCGTACTTCGCTGCACACCTGCATTATTTCTCACACGACGAGCCCGCAGGCGCACTCCATCGCATGCTCGTCGCCCCGCCCCCTCCCGCGACGCCACATCTCGTGCTGCACCGGCCCCCGTGAGAACCCGGGTGTCGACACCATCGAAATCTATGCGTCCATGCCAGCATCCCCGCAGCGCCCGCCCGCCCCCGCGTGCTACGTGCCACGGTAACAGCAAAAATGGGGGCGCGACCCTCCGAGTCCGAGCGCGGGGCGAGCAGCGTCGCCGAACTCGGCCTAGTGCGCCCGGGTCGAGCCCACTAATCGGGTCCTGCCAATGCGCCGCCGCCCCCTCCTCGAGTTGGGACGCCGGCGAGCCCACCGCCTCGCGACGATCCACCGTCGAAGCGGACGGCTGTCTGCTAAGTACTGAACCCTGGGGCTTCGCGGCGAGATCAGCGGGCCGAGCCCTGTGCGGCCCTGTTCCAGCTGTCCGCGAGGGCGGCGGCATCTGCGCAGCGTACCCTGACTGGGGCCTTGCGGGGCGACTGGCGGCTGCGGACGAGGACGGGTGCGGGTGCGTCGCTCTCCGGGCTCGCCGCTGCTGTTTCGTTCTCACCTACCGTCGATGTTCAACGGGAGCGACGGTGGCGAGCAGGGTCGCTAGCTGGAAGCTGGGCCCGCCGCTGGGGAGACTTAGCTTCGCCTCGGCCGTGGACTTGGCGCAACACCCCCGGTGCGCTCGCACACGCCATCTGGCTGCTCGTAAATGCTGCTTCCCTGCGCTGGGGCCAATCTACATCCTTTCGGACACGCATACGCCCCTTCAGGCGGGAGACCCGATTTAGGCACGGAGCTCAGACTCAGCGACGAGGGCCACCATATGCGACTCATGCGCCTCGTGTGAGGTTCTCCGAGGGCGTCGTGCAGATGATGATGGGGGTGCGCCGCCGCTCGGGTGCATGGGCGCGCGCGGACCCGGATTTTCTGACAGGACGGAGGCGCTGGAAGGCGGGAGGGCGGATTGGGCGCGGCGGCACGAGGAGGCTTCGCTGCCGGGCCTGTTTGTGTCGTTGTGGATGCTTGGAAGGGTATGTACAGGTTTTCGGGGCCGGGGGATATCTAGGGTGTCCGACGGCGACGGTGTGTATGCACGCGCACGACGGGGACGATATAGTGCACTCGTACGCGTTTTTTCGAGCATGGGGACTGCTAAAGTGGGGCAGTGTTGCCACCGCACAAATAAATCGATTTAACACGGACACAGCAAGACAGCGCTAAATTGCGACGGACGGAATAACTGAGAGCAACAGGACCACAAAGCGAGAACGAGATGCCACTGCGTAAGGATATAGTCCGCGGTGTGAGCCGAGAGGTACGACGACGTATGGTGTAGTAGATGTGTAGAGTACATGTGTGCGAGAGATCTTCGTGAGCGGAAATCGTGAAACCAGGCTGGGCGCGCGAGGCGTCTGAAACGCACCCTCGCCCTGTATCAGCGTGAGGCAGGTCGCCGCCCTGCTCGGCGGTGGCAATTAGGCTGGCGGGGTGTGTCGAACCTATCTTGAGGAGTGGTAATCGGCCGGACCAGAGGGGAGCGGAGGAGAACCACCGCCGTGTGGCCCACCCACACTCCACCTTCCGCGTCGCCCACAGAGCCAACATGGGCTCGCACCGAGACAACGTAGAGTTAGCATGCCGCCGTCCCCGCCCTGCATGCGGCGGCACCACACGGCCCCTTCCCGCCACCACTCCTGCGGGAGGGGACCGTCGGTGCCCATCAGTCAGACTAGCTCGCCTCTGCACCCGCGCCCGCACCCACGCCCGCGGCTTCGCGCGCGCCCCCTCCGCCCGAGGCGCCGAACACGCTCCGGAGCAGCTTCTCGGCCTTGTCGCGCTCCTTGCGCTCCACCTCGACGCCGTCGAGCAGCCGGATGTGCGGGCACGCGCGCATGACGAGCCCGCGGTACGCGAGCCGCCCCACGTACGCGTCGTCGGGCAGGTCCCGCCGGAACTTCGCGTCCAGCTCGCGCCAGAGCTGCTCTTGGCGGCCGCGCTCGCGGACGTGTGGCCGGTCGACGTCGTGCTCGGCGTCCGAGGGCGACTCGCCGGAGGCTTGTGGCGGGAGGGAGACGGCGCTGGGGGAGGTCGAGGAAGACCCGTGCCGGGCGGTTGAGGACGGGTGCGATTGTGAAGATGGACCCGAGCCTGAGCTCGGGGCTTGTTGTTGTTGGCTGTGGGGCAAGTCTTTTTCCGATCCTTGGAGTGCGGATCTTCGTGGACCTTGGCCAGACCCGGGGGCTGGAGGGAGTGCTGTAGTCTCGGAGGGGCGATTGCCATCCGACGGCTGCAGAGCCCCTGGAAGGTCCTTAACGAGGAGAGGTAGATACCAGCCAAGGGTGCAAGGGTTCATCCTATATCCACAGGAACAAGGAGGTGAGTATGGTCCGACGAAACAACAGTGCGGAACAGGTTAAAGTGGCCGAGCTTCTGTACGCCCTCACGTGCGTGATGCTGAGAGCTTTCGATAGCCTATTGCCCACGCCACAAACGCGCCCCGCAGGCGTCGGTTATAACGCGCGCGATAGGGCTCGTGTAGGGAGCGAAGCTGGCGAACAAGGCGAGGAAGACTTGCCTGAAATCGATCATCTCCATGTCCTTCATGCCCCGAAGGACCCGCACGAGCTGCTTCGCGCCCTTGATCCGCGAACCGATGATCGTCAGCTTGCGCAATCGAATGAGGCCCTCGAGAGGACTCGGGTCCTCGAGGAAGTTGTAGTTCAGGTTCAGGACGCGCACATTGGGCACCGTCCGCGCAAAGTCGGTGGGGAGCGTAATCAGCCGACACGCCGCTAGTTCGAGATAGACGAGGTTGTAGCACGGCTCAGACAAGAAGCCAGGCTTGAGCGGATTCCCTGGGAAAACAGAAGCCGGCGGGAAGGATGGACGGATTGGTCAGCAACCGTCAACCCCGCGAACACGCGCAAGGCACTCGTCCGGAAACACCCACCAGACAGGTACAATCGCTTTACGTCGCGCACATCCCGAATCGAGACCGTCCTGTGCACAACCCCGTCAGTAGCAGCACGTCCCACTCTGTTGGCAGACTCACAGCCCACCGCGCCCGTTCTGATTTCGCAGGCTGAGGTTCTCCAGCTTCGCTAACCGGTAGGCTTTCACGATCGTGCCGAGCGAGTTGTTGTCCGCATATAGAGTACGAAGGTTCGGGAAGGGCGCCGCGTTCAGCGTCTGCAGTCGATTCCCACTCACGCGTAAGATTCGCAGGCGCGACATCACCACTTCAGGCTCTAGTGCGCCCAGAGAGTTGTTATCTAAAGGAGGTCACGGCATCAGCGTTCAGCGTACATAACCATATCTGTCACCGGAGGCAGCGAAGATCAAGCGCAGCCCACTAGCGAGCCTTCCTGATGCAGCCCGAGTGACGTCGTGGAGACTTCAATGAGAACGAATATGTCTGCCCGTACTCACCGAGATTGAGCGCGACAAGTGACGGGACTGATCCCAGCCCGCCGACGTCGTTTATCCGATTTTGGCTCAGGTTCAACATCTCTAGCCGAGTCCTGTCCAACAGCAACATAATGAAAAGTGCCGTTAGTAGACGTGATAGATGAGCGAGCGCCCGTCAAGGGTCTAAGGTACTTCCGCCGCTAGGCGACGAAGCTGCACGCACCATTTGTACTCGTGCAGGTCGAGCTCCCGGATTTCATTCGCCTGCAGGCTGAGCTTGATTAGCCCGTCCATCTTCTGCAATCCGTCCACGCTGTCGATGCGGTTGCCATCAGCACGCAATTCCCTGAGGTGGCGGAGACACTCTAGTTCTGAAAACAGAGTAATGAAGATCTGCACTGGTGTCAATCAAAGCGGTGGGGGCACACGTACGACGGAGGGAATCGATCTGGTTATGGCTGATGTCGAGGTTCTCGAGGTTGAGCAGGTGGCTGAAGGACGTGACTCCGGTGAGGCTATTGTGTGGCAAACGTCCACCGGTTTTTTAGCAGAACACCTAGCGGTCAGAACGGGGGCAAACGTACAGATTAGACGCGACGGAAAGTGTCCGCACGCTGCCCGGGACGCCGCTGAGCCAGGCCAGCTGGTTAGAGTTCCTGTGGATGCCACACCCCGTCAGCGGTCCGCCGGCAACCCCAAATTTTGTTGCGCGCGCATCGTCGCATAGTGCATCAAACACCGTCGGAAGAGGCCCTTCCGTCCGTGCGTGCGTCTCATGTCACTTTGCCATGAGAACCCACGCCCGAAGGTTTGGGCTCAATGCGCGACGGCACTCCGCAGCCCCTGCGCCGTGCGGCACGATGCAATAGAGTGGAGATACTCACAGCGACAGCGAGTCTAGCCGGGGCAGGAACTCCTTCAGCCGCGCGGTGCTGTCCAGGTTGCGGTGCGAGAGGTCGATCGAGCTGAGCTCCTCCCAGTACGGCTCGAACGGCTGCACGTCCGTGATCACTTGCACCAGCCGGTCGTGCGCCACCCCGAAGCTGCATTCAGTCAGGAACGTCGCGTTCCCACTGGTGCCCCGCGGAGTCGGAGGCACCCGCGACGAAACGCGTCGCGGGCCAGACCGCATGGGCGAGTCCGCCGCCCCCGGTCCAGTGCTAGGCCGGCGAGGCGGTAGAGGCTGGAGTTCGGCCGTGGGCGGTCGGGAGGCGGAGCTAGCTTTCGAGGGCGAGTCGTCCTCGAAGTCTGCCGGGAGTCAGCTGATAGCCAGAGGCGATGCAAGAGGATTGGAAGCCTACCGTCATCCCCCAAGTCGTCGAGCATGTTGGCGATGCGTTTCGACCTCGCTGAGGGAACCAACACTGCGCTGCCACTAGCTTCCCCTACTGCTCTTGACCCGGATGCGAGCGGACTGTCATCATCGCCCACTGCAGACACGTCCGGTGTGGGAATATTTCGCCCTACGCCAACGATAGGCCCCTCGCGCTTTCCGTCCGAAAAGCTCACCGACCGGCGGTGACCCAGTTTCGTGGCGGGAGTGTAGAAGCGACTACGACCAGGATCCTTGAGGGCCGAGACGGGCGTGATGCTCGCGCTCTTCAGTACCGACCGTGGAGCGGGAGTGGGCGCCATTCCACTCGCAGAGCGGCTAGGAGGATTGGGCGTCGCCAACACGCTGGCATGCTGAGAGGGACGGGCCGCAGGAGCGAGGTACTGGGGAGGGGTGTCGTCGAATGCGGGCTCTGCGGTATGTTCGTCGTACTGTCTAGTGTCCTGAGGCTCCAGCGGCAGGTCGATCGTAGCCGTCGGCACCATACCCTCCGTGTCCTCCCCCTCGTCGTCGGGCACGGTATCGTCCGTGTATCCCGAGAACTCGTCCATCTGCTCTTCATCCTCCGCAGGCATCGCCGGGATGTAATCCTGCGAGGGGCCGTCAGTCGAGAACGACGTCAGCTCGGCTTCTTCTGCGTCCTCGACCTCGGACTCGCCGAGGACCTCGAACCGGCTCTTCTCTATATCCATGTCCATCTCCGAGTTATCGAGGAACATGGACTCCTCTTGCTCCTCCCCCTGGGGTTCGACCGCCGCATCGCGCTCCTCGGAATCGTCCTCGCGCAGGCTCTCGATGTCGCGAAACGGGTCCTCGCTGTTATCCCCCTCGTACTCCTGCGTGACGTGCTCCTCTACCTCAGACATCGTCCCGGTCGCGAGCGCGGTAGCTTTCACCCAGCGCATCATCACGCGATCGAATACCATCTTGCCTACGCGCTCCGGGAGGGCGGGCACGTCGTTCGGCGTGATGTGCGTGATTTGCTTGGGGCCCGCGTGCTTGACGAATGACTCGGTGCTCCCGACCGTTACGGTGGTGCCCGACGCGGTGCTCGAGGACACGAAACGTGTGAGATCGGCGTTGCGTCCTGTTCGGAGGGACGAGGTGGGATATGCCGGGGCATCGCCTGAGGGCGGAGCGAGCAAACCAGGGCTCGCCTTGATGGGAGACGGCGGCGCCGTGGACGTCGAGGCAGACACGAGTCGCACAGGTGGCGCAGGGAACTGTCCGAGTACATGTGAGGACTCGAAAGACAAACGGGTGAAGTCCTCAGCGAGGTCTTTCGCAGCATCCGCGATGGACTCTGCTGTCGCTACCCGCTGATGTCGTGGCGACTTGCGCGGACTCGCTGCAGTCCTCTCTCGTTGCTTTCCGCGCGACGTGCTTGTGACGCGGTTAACCGTGGTAGAGGTGCGGCGCATTTGCGCCTGAGAGCTCGAGAGCTGGCGGGGCCGGCTCTGAATGACAAAGTCGCCTCCGCGTGTGCGCAGAGATGGGACGGTGGTATCCGCCGAGATCGCGGATGCTTCTGTGGTGTCATCGCCTCGCAAATGGGAGGCCTCCGTGTCTCCGGAGAAGATCCTCTTGGAGCCCTTCATGTCGCTCCGGATTTGCGCCATGAGGCTGGCGGCCTGTTGGCGGAAGGCCAGGGATGAATATGTCGACTGTTTCCCGGAGGAGAGGGTCCCGGCGGGCGAAGGATCTCTACTGGAGCCGTTGTCGGGCACAGTAAGGAATGAGGGACGTCCTAGAGCGCGAAATATTCAGGATCCCCGACAAGAATGAGCAGGGGTTGTACATACTTAGAGGCGGCTGGACCTCTTCTCTAGGTTGTTCCTCTACCTCCGGGGATTCCTGGCGATCCGCCGCAGGTGACTTTGCTGTCGCGACGGTAGACACGGTAGAGAAATCGCGGGCCTTCCTGATCTGCTCCATTAAGTTCCGCGACTCCCCCACGTAGTCTTTACGCGACTCAGGGCGGATAATGATTGCGGCACCATCTCCCTTCTCGCTGCTATAGTCACTGGCGGGGCTGAGCTTGATACGCTTCGCACTTCGTAGACGGGTGAAGCTGGTTTCAGCGACAGGTGAGAGGCCGGATGGTGTGGACTGGCGGGATCCTTGGGTGGCCGCAATGCCCTCCCCGGATGGCGTGTTCACTGCGATAGAGTCGACCATGGCGGAGAGGTGGTCGCGCGTGAACGTGTCATACTGGAACTGGAAGAGCCGGAGGCGGGGGTCTGTAGGCGGAGCGTTGAGATGTCGCGCGGCCACACCAGGCCCAGGAGTACTCGTTGCTTCTGGAACGGGGCCGGCCGGATTGAATGGGCTAGGACGGGGAACGGAGAATGTGAACTGGCCGTGTGCGCCCTCCGCCTCAAGCCCATCGTTCATCAATATGCTCCCGATGGAGTTCGGCATTTCCTCTTCGTCTGCTTGGGCTAGTGAGTGATCAGATGGAGGAACATAGACTTGGGAAAGGCGCGAGGGCACGCTGGGGGCGGCAGTGGTAGCTCGAAGAGATGGTGGGGGTAGTGATGAAGAAGGATGCGGCGGCGATGGAGGCTCAAACATTTTCTCGAGGGCGAGAGGACTGAAGAAATCCTTGACGAGGGCTTTCTTGTTGCGGCCCGGGGTTTTGGGCAAGAGCGGGGCCTGAGGCATCTCCTCGCGGACGATGAAGGTGCCGACGGAATCGCCGGACTTGGACGCGTCGGACGGCGAGCAAAGATCATTGTTGCGCACCAGGACGGAGCCTAGGGGTTGAGTGAGGGAGAGGTCGGAGCCAGAGTGCGCAGAGTCGATAGACTGTTCTTCATCTTGCCAATCGACCCATTCGTCGACGTCTGCGAGCTCATCGGTGAGCCATGCCGGCTTAGGCTGTCCGCTTGCCATAGCCCAAAAGGGAGCACAACTGAAAGGCAAGGGAGGACAGCCAGGGAGCGTGCAGGTAGGAGGAGGGAGGAGGAGCAGGTCGACCCCCATCTCTCCGTCCTCCGCCACTCAACCCCCCGCGTTCAGTCACGTGACCGCGGTTCACGTTGACATACGCATCGCCCAAATCGGGCACTGCGCCCTCCTGGACCTCGGCGACACTTCCGACGCATTCAGCTTCGGTTTCAAGAGCCTCAGCTGTAACACGAGAAACCGAGAGCATGAGCTTGTTGCTCGCGTGCCGATGTGGTGAACGCACACCCCCGGTCCCGCTGCCTCTGCATGCAGTGTCCTTGAATCCTCGGTGTTGCCCTGAGCCCTCATCCTCTTTTCGGCGCCATCATCATCTCTCTAACACTCCCATCAGCCTCTTTGGCCTCGAGAACCCCTGGAGAGCACGCAAGGTGGGTACAAGAGCCTCTTGCTTTCACTGTGCACCCGATATCCCGGGATCAAGCCTAAGAAATATGGTGAAAACCTCATTTCACCGGGTTTAGTGGTGCAAAGTTGAGGGTGGTGATCAATATCTTCAATAGTAATTTAAAGTGGTCCCTTATAAGGCAATTGCCAGATTTGGAAACACATTATGTCTTGCTGCGTCCTGCAAAGCAGGGGGACTTCCTGGAGGCTTCAAGTGGGACATTGTCATAGTGTATATACCTGTAGATGTGTACGAGAAGTTCTAGTATGCAAAGAGCTACACTGCTGTACACAATTCTTGTGTGATCCGGATGGGGTAGCCGGCTGCGTAGGCCCAAGTGTGTGACCAGGTGGAAAGGGGCAGAAATGCACTGGAAAAAACCGGTGCAGTAGGTCACATGGAAAATAGATGGTCAGACAGGAGGATCCCACATGGCTCCCCTGGTGAGACGGTTCCCGCCAACGGAATCCACCAGTATCGCCGTGTGGCGGCGCGGGTGCTCCGGCGCTTAGCAGGCACATGTTATGCTCTGTGCGCACCTCCGCTCTGAACTCCGGAATTCCCACGCTTCGGACTCCGTACTCCGAGTTCCCGCGCTCCGGACTTCATACTCCGACTTTCCCGCACTCCGGAACTCCGGATTTCATGTGTACGTTCCCTTACGATTGCATCATTCTTTCATCATCTTGTCCTTTAACAATAAGCTCTATTGTCTTTGTCCCCGGACTCCGGAACTCCGGAATCTCCGAACTCCGGATTTGATATTCCTTACACTCTTATTGTCTTCCTTAACAATAAGGTTCTGTTCCTTAAATACGCGCCCGGAATGCCGTAGTACCTCAGTTCGGATATCTCGTTACCCCTCTTGTTACCCATCCCATTTACCCCCTCGCTACCTTCTGTTTACCTTCCTTCACGCTACCTCCCTTGTCAATCTATTCCCTTGGTCTACCTCTGTTCCGACCTCCGAACTCCGACCTTCCTAATCCGGTAACTCCGAGCCTACAAGCTCCGGAACTCCGGACT